GGGGGGGGGCTGCTCTTCAGCCTCGAGACCTACGGCTTTACCGGATATTCCTCGGCAACTTTCATTATTATGATTGTGATTGGCTTCCTGCTTTTTCCGGTGTTTGCTGTTTGGGAGAATTTCTTTGCTAGAACTGCGTATATCAAGTGGGAGCTTTTAAAGTCACGGACAGTTCTTGGAGCTTGTGGTTTGTCCCTGTGAATTTTTTTTTTTTTTCAATTACTATGTTTGGGACCAGTACTTTTACTACTACGTACAAGTTGTCTATATCCTAGACATATCGAAAACGGGATATATGACGGAGATTTATAGTGTTGGGTCGACCATCTGGGCTGTTCTCTTTGGGATTTGGATCCGGCAGACCAGGCATTTTAAACATATCTGCCTCTACTTTGGCGCACCATGCTCAGTCTGTCCTCCAGCATCGGCGGTGCTCTTGGTTACACTGTTACAAGTGCTATTTACACCAACACTTTCCCAAATGCTCTGTTACGCGCCCTTCCGGAATCAGCCGAAGCCGACTATGCCGCCATCTATCTCGGAGTGTCGACCGCCCAGCTCCAATACTCCCCCGGCAGTGATGTGAGAAATGCAATCGACTATGCTTGGGCACATAGTCAAAAGTACGAGTGCATCGCAACCACTGTTATCGTGGCTCTCGCCTTCCCAGCAGTTGCTGTTTGGCAAAACTACAATGTCGGTCGGATGCAAGTGAATGAAAACGGTCATCTAAACTCTACTAGAAAAAATTGGGTAATTAACGCTTTTAGTAGTTATTTTGGGGTCTTGGGCTACTCGGACAAATATCTTGCACAGGTTTATAATTGTTGGAAATCTAAATGGATTTCAATAGGGCGGAGTAATGAGAAAAGGATTGTTTTCAAAGATGATCACTAGCAATCTCTCGATCCCTACGTCCTGATAGCCATAAGCTGGTATTTAACATACAAATCCAATCTTCTAATACATTCTGTCAGATCTCCTTGAAACACCCCTCTTACAGTATTCCTTATAGTTGGTATAAAGGTCTTTATATGAGGATAAAGCCCTTTTTGTGATGCCTCATACATCTCAGTCGTTCTCCGATTCCTATCGGCAACCTCCGAACGGTGCCTGATCGTTCAGGCTTCCAACAATAATTACATGACCATGATCGCTAGCTAGTTATGTGTAAGCAAAACATATAACTAGTCAATACTAGTTACTGCACTGCCTAAAATGAGTCAAAGTCGGCCCCCATGTTCCATCTTCCCTGAGGTCATTTCCAGACACGGTGTTCCGTCTTTAGATTTATTTGGCCTTCATAAACAGACCAATCAGATATCCTACACATGATACATGGCATTAATCAAGCTAATAATGAATGTTGTTTCTCCTTCATTCGATATACACGGGGCCGGGACTCGGTATCTGGGTAACTGCACAAGAAAGAATAGGTATTCGGTGGACTCTCTCAGACCAGCATACGTATAGCGGAGGCATGACAAAATAACGAAAGCAGAGATGCAATACTGTTCAACTTGACCCATGACCTTATGCCCTTGCTTTCAATACTACGTACCGGAGATAAGATCAATGGAACATTGAACAATGAATAATTAAGAATAGCTTCTGACCAGATGTTTCCAGTAGGCCCGGTCTGGTCTGACCTTCCATTACCTAGGTACTATGACAATTGTGGAATGTTTCATTTACCTCTAATAGGTATCTCAACAGTGAATAAGTACGTTTAAGTAACTAGTGGCCAGCCACCTCCGCTGATCAACGATATTAGCTAGCTGACAAGTGAACGCCCGACATGTAGCATCATATAGATGTGGATTCGGCCCTGGCATTAGCACTGGCGTTCAAGTTACTGTGGCCGACAGTGAGTTACCGCGGCCAGGTATAAGTGCTGATTCCGAGTCCAGGTAGACTAGAATAGTACCTATACATGTAGGGTAACCGACACACAATAAGCAATAGAGGATTGGGATTTGGATTGTGTGTATGGAGGTAAGGAGAGAATCTGAATCAGTTTGCTTCAGTGTTAAATATGAATCGGTAGCTTTACTGCGGTTAATGAGTTGAATAGTGCTGGTGCTTGCTGCAAAACCTCCGAAAGGTCTCTTAAGAAGTATGACGTGAATCTAGTAATTAATCCAGTATGAAGAAGAATACATCCAAGCCAGAATCTGTAAGGATCAGCATGCCACCCTAATAATCGAATGTACACGCGTCTAGGGTAGCATTCGACGGGCAGGGGCTGAGGCTTTCCGTTAGTAGTAAGTTTTGTCGAGTTAGGGCTGGCCTGCCTATTTGACCACCCACCCAGAGTCTGTTTCTGTCCAGATTTGGTGCCCTGCCTTTATATGTGTATTTAAGTATTAGAACACGCTGCTTAAAGTGCAAGCTCATCTTTTCTATTAGTTCTAATACTGTGTTTCCTCTGTAATGCTGGATACGCGTATAGCCTACATAATAGGTGGGCATCGACGTCCTCTAATTACATCTATCTATATTTAACTAACCAGGTACAGAGCCCTGTTGCAAACTGCTACCCAATTCTCCTCTTTTCTTAGCCCGCCGTTCGCTGAAGTCTAGTACTGAAAGTGACTCATAAACCACCCGTGCAAGGTAGTATTCGTTGGAATACACCTAAACTTTAAAAGAGCTGTATGTGGAGTTTCAAGCTGAGCCACTTGTATGATTCTTTTTCTTGCTAAGGCTTGCTCCTACTCTTTATCTAAAAAAGAAAACAATTTCGGCCCTTCTTGATCAATTACATTGCTAAAGTATCCAAGTAGTATCTTGGTGGCGCCCCCGCAATTGACCATATGCTCTTAGCCAGTGAGTGGCTGTTTTAGTATTGTGTGCTAAGTGGATGACATATTACAAGAAAAATGAAATAGAAATCAGGAGTTCAGTCACTCAAATGTATAGATATACACACGTGGGATTTCTGGAGTCCAGAGTTTCCGATCGAATTACTTGCATTGATGATCATAGATCCAGACACGATCAAGTGCGAACAATCATTGCCAAAAGAAAAACTGATAGTTATCTACTGATTAGGAACGGATTTCCAAGAACTAGACATGGAATTGATTGGCTTTTTTTATTTTTGAACTACTAGTACATACGTAGTAGATTTATCAGGTGACAGAGAGACCCTCGTGTTAGTTTTGCGTTGGGGGCGTTTTTGATCGACGTTTAGTCTGGACGGTGGCGTTCAGTCTGTCAGAGAATCTCTTACGATAGTAGAACTATGTAACGACCTGGATACCTGACATGCCGTACGCCCAATTGCTAAATGAGCCGCAGCTTCCGGGTTTGTACGTGGGTACATATATAATATAGTATAGACATGAGGCTGCCTCGCCCCAATGGCCCTTTCTCCGTCATCGGTACGCATAAGGTGGTACTCTTCTACCCAAACTAGCCCTCGAATTTCTTGAAGTAGGCAAAGTCTTAGCACTTGATCCTTTAGTTCCATGACTCGCCGATGCAATTTTGCCCCTGGAATCCCAGGGCGGCCTTCTCCCAAGGTTCCAAATTAGTACCCACGTTGTGTCGTTACATTCCCTATCATTCACACGAAGTAGGGCAAACGCCGCGTGTTGCCAATTATCTACTCCGTTAAGTCCACTCACCTGAAGTCATTACTGGGATAGTTCTAAAATATTATCTTATCTGCTCTTATGAAGATGATGGTAGTACTACTAGCGATGAGCAGTTCCACAAGTTAACTAACTTGTAACTTAGAAACCAAATCATACTTTGGAATTGCCTGATTTGTCGAAGACTCTCTTCTCTTTTTTGAATCTGTAGATAAAGATTATGAGGCTGTTAAACCTTGGGGTAGATTATTGTTTTATACGCCACCCTCGACACTATGTGTGCGTCTACTCCTGCTATGTAGGCTAGTTAAGAGGTAATTCCAGCCACTGCCCTAGACTAGATACGTCTCGGGCGGTTTACACGTAGTACTAACAATTTTTTAATACTCCTTAGCATGTCTAGGTTATGATTAGGCTTCTAGCGAGTTTCCAACTACCACCTCGTTAGGTAAATAAGGAATAGGTCGTGAGAGATCGACAAATGCTACAAAGAATCAGCATGCTCAAAAAGGGCATAGGGTCTCGAGAAAAGCAGGGATTATACTCGTGCCTAGCCAGAAGTGGAAGTCCTGGAGCTCAACGTGGGATTATTTCTGTATACCCAACGCTGTAACTTCGGCAATCTGACTGTTTGATAGGGCCAAATGGACCATGGATTTTTCTTTTGGCCCTCTTTTAGGAAATAGTCTAGCTAGAAGATAGAGGGAAAGAAGCTCGAACACGAACACGACGTTGAGATCCTCGGCCATGTATATAATGATGTCCAAATCCCGTCTATCCTGACCTTTTTTTCTTCTTCATCATTGATTCAGTCGTCTTCTGATCAAGCGTATCGAAAACGTTCAACTCCCTCCAGGTCCGGTTACCTAGACATTCCTTCTTAAAGAGAATATTACACTCCTTTTGAACAAAATTCATTCCTTCAAACAAAATGTTTGCCAAATCCGTTATCGCTCTCTCCGCCCTTGCTGGCGCTGCCTACGCCGCAACCAATGAGACTGTCACTGTCTCTGCCTTGCAGGTTACCTCCATTGTCGACGACGATGGTGTCGGTGCTGGTGCGAACACCTACACCTTCTACACTGGTGATGGATCTACTGCTGCCGGATGGCCAGCTCTTGATGACTGGTTAGTTCAAGCCCTTTGAAGATTTGCATGGATTCAATATATCATGGAAAGAGGACGTACAGCCTAACTCGGATTACACAGGGTCTCCTTCGAAGACATGTTCACCGCCAATCAAGAGCTCATGACCTCGGGCTGCGGCCAATATGACGTTGCCGATGACACTACCAGTGAAATCGACGAAATCCGCAGCGCCATCAACGAAGTTGCTCTGGCCACCTACGTTGACCACCGATTCATCCTCGCTATCATCATGCAGGAGTCGACCGGCTGTGTCCGAGTCCCTACTTCCTCCTACTCCGTCCCCAACCCGGGCCTCATGCAAGACCATGACGGTTCCCACAGCTGCAACAGCGACGGCACTGTTCAGGACCCATGCCCTGACTCTGAGATCGAGGGTATGATCAGCGAGGGTACCGCTGGTACCGAGTCTGGGGATGGTCTCGCCAACTGCATCAACGAGGCCGGCGTCTCTACCGTCGAGGCTTACTACCGTGCCGCGCGTATCTACAACTCTGGCTCCGTCGCCTCCTCTGGTGACCTTGGCGTTGGTGCTGGTACTCCCTGCTACGCCTCGGATGTTGCCAACCGTCTTACCGGCTGGACCACCGCTGAAAGAACTTGCACTCTTGATTAAGTGCTTCTTTATCGGCTTTTCTGATAAGCTGTTTGCTGTTGAGCCTTCTTTCACTTGTTCAGCAGATAGTTTTTCTCACTGTCGAGCATTATTGCTTTTGTCGTCGTTGTTGTTGGTTTGAAACTTGTTTGGCAACCTAGTTGCTTCGTTTCGTTCGCTTGAGAAGGCTTGTATATTGGACTGGATTATCCTTTTCTTCTGTCTGTACAGCAGACTGACTGTCGTTTGAGATTCAATGTATATATTTACGTTCTGCATATACTTGGAAAATGGAATATCAGAGACCCATTCTTATCCCTATATTGTAGCGCTTATTTCAGTACACTTAGTACTTTACTTGCTGATTCAGGGGGGGGGGAGAGAGTCGTCTTAGGGCAAATCTGTACATTGGGTTGATCCTTCAATGTTCTCCCACTGTTTTCTGGCATGGTTGGGTAATCTTATAATAAAACATTATTAGGTGAAATACCTTAATTCTCAGTAGTATGAAGTTTACTAGTTATTATTGGATCTGACATCACCGTGTTGCAACTTTCCATTTTCGCATGTTTTCCTGCAATCCTTCGACAACTTGCGCTGCCCACCTCCTGGTAATCTGCACAACTCATGAACAAATAGAGGTATCTATTGTTTCGAGGTGTGTGAAGCAGAAAACTTCATATCAGGCTGCTTCGATGGTCTCGAGACAGGGCCCAGGTAATCAGCAACTCAAAGTTCAGGGGGTTCCAGGTATCTATCTAACACCGTGCCAATTACCGCCAATAAAACACTCTCAGTCGGGAGTTGGGTTTGGCGGTCCAACACACACTCTGACCCCAACTGTCCTGATATTCAACTTTTGACGGCTTTGGTTCTTTGAATCTCCAAGCTCTATTCTCATTGAGAGGGAGTAAAAATCTGGACGACCGGGCCTTACGCTACTCCTAAAGTAGCAATCGTGAACATGCCTACTTCAAATAGGGATTTATATATGGCAGCCAGCGAGTCCAGAGTCATTAAAAAGTCCGAATAGATTCTTAGCGGATTGGAGTAGAGAGAAAAGAAATCTTATTAAAGATAACTAACCATATTTAACTAACGGTAATCTAATAGGCTCGGGCTGCTATTTTAACACATAAATGTGACGGCCTGAAGCACCTCGCCTACCCTGTCTGCTGTGACGTTTTCGAGTCTCTGACAGAGACACAAAAATTTTCAGGTGCTAAAAAGTTACGCTCTCATTTGACTTAGGGCTGAGACTGACCCACAACACAACTGTAGTGGCTTGTATTTATTGAGTTTCTCATTGGAAACCGAGCTAGACTGATGCCAATCAATGGCAGGGACTTCTCAACCGCATCAATCTTGTATATTAATGTTCAGTTGCTATCAGGTGATGTTGGACCAACGGTTCTCTTGAGTTGCTAGAGTGCTTGCATTTGTTGATGAAGGTTATACCAGTCCACGAGTAGTTAACATACTATAGAAAACCAACCAATTGAGACATATCTCAATACTACGGTATGTGTATAACTGTTCACAAAAGCCTCAGTGCTAAATCAACCTGAGAAAATCCCAAAAAAAAAAAAACCATTTTCGTCTCAAATCTCTTCAAATGGAAAAAGGGCAATCCAACATCTTGATAGTTCAGCCTTATTCCCGTCTATCAAATTCTGGACTATCGGACGTATGAAAGAGCAAACGTTACGTATTAGCGGGCCCTGAGTTTCATGTAATAGTGATATGACCTGCTCGAAAATGCGGTCTGTCACATGAAGATTCCTGCTTTACGTTAGCTTTTTGATCGTTTCGGTGAGAGTAGTGTTTGGACAGACAGTAAATATGCCAACTCGGTTCCGCGCGTCGCCCCTTGCGAAGAGGTACGCATCAATCCAAGGATTCCAATGCCAAAATATCGAACCAGAGTACTTAATCTTTTACCCACTCTACGTAGCTGCTTGACTTCATTGAACGTGCAGGATGTTTTGTCAGGTTCTGTGTCTGGAAAGATTGACATCATCATTCGTAGTGTGATCTCAGTATCTTGTCGAAGAAAGGGATTCCCGGATTTCTTCGTGCCGCAATCGAACTGGGTTGCATTTATAAATTGATCCGTCTCACTGCCGCGACATTCTTGATAGAGCTGGAGGATATGATTATTCCGAATCATATCTAGATAGCTGATCTTTCTTCCCAATTTCTGTATGACAGTATACCTCTCAAATGGAGACAACTCGGTTGTGGGTGGATGAAGATACTCATGCTCTGCGTGCACAACAGAATGGACTTGACTTTTTAGCGTAGCTAATGTGCTGGGACTTGCAACATCTTGGAAAAGAACTTGCAAGTGCATGCCTGTATCCGCTTCGAGTTTGGCAATACGTGATTGGGCGTCCTGTTCGGGCATTTCTTGAGGGTGTGGGGATGTATTGAGTCGGTCATTAGGACTCTCCTCAGCATCCACGGACACATCTGAGGTAACAATGTATTGTGATGCTCGATTTTGTACCGCCAAAGGTGTTGGGACTTCTTTCGATGGAGAGAACCAATTTAGATTCTCTAGCACGGATAAAGTTGTCTTGTTACAATCCGAGTCCACATATACTGCTCCTATTAAAGCGTTTATTGCTTTGTTAAGGGTTTTGGCAGAATGAGGATCAGATCGAGGGTTCAAAGTCATGAACTTTGATATGCCTATCGTTCGTGCAATGTCAGCACAACGTTTGTTGCCTGATAAACGAGATTTCAAGATACTATTGTTTCCTACATTCATATTAGCACGCATTATGATTGAATAATTCATAGCATACCAGGATTCGTGTGGGAAATGTATCCGAATCTCGTCGATGCCAAATCGACGAAAGCCTTTCCAATCTGGGCAAGGGTTCTGTTGCCATCATAGTTATCTTCCTTTGCACCAGCTGCAGTCAACGCTTGATCTAAAAGGCTCTTATCCCGAAACACATATCCGATTTGTTGCGCAATAATGGCTTGGTTGGCGGACGCGGACATGTTTACGAATAAGAAGTAGCACCAATTGTAGTGAATCCCAAGTGGACTTGCCGGACGTACTAGGATTGCTTCCTGGGATCCCAGTATTTATATCTTGAGACGTAACGTTCGTACCAGTACTCAATTAGGAATTTATGAGCTCAGTCTTTCAAAACCTCCAATTCTGGTATAGTAAACTGTCTAACAGCAGTCGACCTTCTGCCGAAGCAAGGGATAGAAGAAGCATATTTGCTTGGCAAATGCATCTATAGAAAGTCGGTGCCCGGCCTTGGGGGGAGGAAACGGTATGCGGCCATGTTGCACAAAGTCACTACATGAGGTTCGAATGTTGAAAATCTCGGCAGCATGAGGTACATTTTCATGCATGATGTATATGACTCAGAGAATTGACGGGAGGATGTCCTCCGTGAGGCGCCTGCACCGGACTCCGGCATCAAGTACGTATACATATACATGCCTGACTGGCACATAGAGCCCAGAGCGATGGGCGACCCCGGCAATGCTTCGTGCACCGTCCGCTTACTCAACCTTTCAATCGACGAACATGGCCCGGGTACGGTTTGATGCCTTTGCGCAGTGGCGGCTATCTAGGGTTATACCTGCAGCGACAAAGCAGGCAGTATGAGAAGAGCTGCTAGAGCGTTGATAAGCTCGCCATGCACTGTTAATCCTTCAATAATGCTTTGCGATGTTCTTTTCTTTTCTATAGGTCCTTGTCTAAGCTGACTCCGATTACCAGTCATGTGTGCAATCTGCGGGGTACACAGCCACCTACCTTTAGCTAGTCAGCCTCAGCTTCAGGCGGAAGAGTCATGTTGGAAAAGAGACTTCTGATACATACCGAAGCCCAATACCGGAGTTTTGGTTCAAGGTTCTGCTCATTGAAAGCAAAATGACGACCATACCCACAGTCGATCAGTTCCCATCTTTTGCCGATACAGCGTCGTGGCTGAGGAAAGAAGCATGCCGGTGCATTTGGTATCTTCCTAATAAAAAGAGATGCTGTCTTGTAGGCATTACCAATGAGTACAATAAGGCCGCCCTTGACCTAGTGAAGACCATTTTCGACACCGCCTTTTCAATAGAAGAAGAGCTTCGGGTTCTGGCAGCTATAGCAGAGAAAAGCTGTTGTGGTCGCTATCATCGCAATAAAATCTGGGGTTCTGGTCTGAATTTACAGTTAGCGAGACGGTGGCAGAATGAAATTTCTTCAAGAAAATATACATATCTATCGAGGTTGAGGGTGCCCAGCGAAGGTCCTGAGATTCCTATTTTCAAGCAAGAGGAAGAGCCTGTTGACCAGTCACGCTTGAAATATCTACCATTGAATCAAACTACTTCTGCTTTCTCTACCGAGGAAGCAGTCGTATTTGCAAGGCACGAGCCTTTGAAGAGCGAGACGCTACTTTCAAAGCTGATGGAACCCATTAATTCCAACTCCGCAAAGAACGGATCTATCTACTTGTACACACACGCCGAAAAGGAATTTTGTGGTTTCATCAAGATAGGGTACACCGGGAGGCCCAGGATCTATGATCGACTAAATGAGTGGGCTGAATGTGGCCATGGAAATCCGGTTCTGCTAAGGTCCTACAATGATATCAGATACCCTGGAAGAGTTGAGCAACTGGTCCACTTCGAACTTGTAGGGTGCCGGTATGACCTCAGATGGTGCAAATTTCATCGACAAGCACACATTGAATGGTTTCAGATAGCTTTTGAAGTCGCAAGCTTAACCGTTCGCCTTTGGTCACAGTGGATTGAACGCGCCAATCCTTATGATAGGCGCGGTGCCCTTAAATCTTTTTGGAAAGAAACCATTGGCTTTCTGAAAAAGTACGATATTGCAATTACAGCTCAGTTGATGATCGAGATCCAGGAAGTCGAAGAAGGATCATCTGACCTGCCCGACTTCATCACGGATGAGAAGTTTTGGAAGCGGAAGAATTTGGTTGTCAAGCAAGAACCCTGATGCTCAGCGCGCAAATGTCCATGGAGAAAAGATTGATAGTGAAATGACTGTGATTTTCAAAACTTTCAGAACGTTTTCTTTTTTCTTTTTTACTTTTTCTTTTTTCTTTAAAGAAATAGAACGAAAAAAAGGGGGGCTAGTTGTTGTGCTACTCGACAGAACCTTGCCCTTGCACATTAGATCACTCAGCTTCTATGACCATGCCATTCACCGTAATGCCTCGTCCCCCTGCATTACAGTGACCGGCCTTGCAACCTTCGCATAAGTCACTGTAATGAGGCCCGCTCTTCTTGGTTGAATAAACGGGTGGGATTACCTGTATTCCGTTCCACTTTTTAAGCCGGTATACAATCCTTTCCGCATACGACTCATTCAGGATAGGACGGCTCAGGCCATTGCACCTTTCGCAACGTTGGTGATAGACTCGTGCATTGTACTCTGGCCCAGGGTACGTTCGGATGGTGATTGCAACCACCTTGCTCGACCATCCATCAGTTGCACATGAAGTATTGGGACATTTGAACCGGCCCGTGATGTTTGTGTCGTGGCTTCTCGTGCAATCATTTCCGTCGTCGACGTTGTTGAATCCATAGAAAAGACGGTCGGCTCCAAGCAGGCACGAGACGTCGCCATGGAGTTCTGGATACATAGACCACGTCCGAGCTTCGGCTTCGTTCACTGGGATGACCACTGCCATTAGAGATTGCTGATTTACCAAAGATCGAAACCTACCAGACATTGTGGTGTAATTTCTTCGTGGTAGAATGCTCCAGAAACATGAGACAAGTAGAAGTGCGGCAAAACCTCGATAGATTGAACGTCTTTCCTCGGCGGAAGGGCACCCAGTATGGAATATATATAGTGAAGAGGGACGAGTATGTTGTGATCTATGTTTAATTCACAGTGGTGACTGCAGGAATGTATTGCACTACTTGATTACCAGAGATATATCACGTTCACTACAGAGTCTGTGGATTGGTCAAGCTCACGCATCCTGTACATCTCTGCAAGAGTCGCAAGGCGCGGCGTGAACTATAATCAGGTGAAGTTTTTCAAACTAGAAAGCCGCTTTGGCTTATAGACTCCATGATCTTCGATGCTCTAAACGCGTAACATAAAATGCGGACCGCTATTTCATCGACGACATGCCCTTCAAAGCCTTATAGTGTCTCAGGATTCCTCACATATGCTTGCAGCCCTTGAGCTTGGCGTAACTCACTAAGCTCGATATGGAGTTTAAGAACCGATCCCTTTGAAACATCCTAATTAAGAACTATAATCATGACGGATCGTCGATTCAATTTGTTCGCCATCCATGGCTTCCTGAAGGAACGTGAATGATAGATTCCGGTAAGCTGGCGTGGTGTTGACGTCCAATCACAGAATCATTTGGCATTAGCATTCTCGCTTGGCGCATGGTTGTTGAATAGGTAGGGCAAGATACATTCTCAATGGTACTTCTGCCTCCCGCAGAATGGTTGTCGCAGCTACAAAGGCCAGGCACTTGACTCGACAGGGATTTTCGGTTCCCTGAGCTTGACAGCTCTTGATTATAAGACGTGGTCTAAGTCCAACGTCCAATGGGAAACTCCGTACTCGAGTCTGCGCCATTTTATCTTGTATCCTGCCTCGACAAGGCTGAAACTCGTCCTACGGAATGTGATTCAGTAGATGCGACTAGCAACAATCCGTCACAGATGCATGCGGCGTAGGAGTGAGGGACCAATAAATCAATCATTCCTTATCACAGAGCAACGATGTCGAACACGGCCTTGTCGTCACACAAGCTGCTTTGCGCCAGACAGTGGTGGCTATGACTCGAGAAACCTAACAGACAATTAAAGGGCGTTGACCAGGCTTTCCAATCGTTAGCAGCGACTACGTCAAACCCTGCTGCAAGGCTAGCAAGCCCGAATTGGTCAATGATTATCCAGAGAACTCACAAGTACCAATTCTTTAAGTACCGGGCTTTTCTCAAGTTCAGAAAGCTCTGACAGATATCAACAAACATACTCAAATATATTCCTAGCATCATGCCCACATCCTTTACGCCTTCCATTATGTCCCTTGGGGCGATGAAATATATGTTTCATCATGTCTTTCTCCCTCCCAAGCTTCCACAAGAGGATGACTATAATCCCGAATACGAGCTTGCGCTTCTTGACAGCGTGATCCAAGCCCTGAAAATGTTTAAAACCTATGCAAGCGAGCAGCAAGATGGAATTCTGGCTTCTGTCATTGAGATGGTTGCTCGTTTGAAACGCCAAGCTGGATTTCACGGAGATGTGAACGAAAGTAAATTGTTGCAAAATCTGCAGAATTTAAATCATCACGGTATGTAAGCTGCTCCACTACATATCTAAGATTTACCAAGCGATATTCTGATCGACTCTAAAGAGGGCTTCCTTCCCATCTATGTTCACAGTCAAAATGCTGCGGTTCTATTGACTGCAGGAAAGAGTGAGATCCAGATGGAGGCATTCGAGTTATCGCCTAGTAATAAATCTGTGTATAGCACTGTGGGCCGGCTACAGCGTCAGTTCCCCGGCCCAGCATTTGCCATGGATCGGAACACTTTTGAGGAGTCGACCCTCCAACATACCATTGCGCAGACTCTCTCCAGGATGAGCTGCCAGTCCGTTGCTGGGACCACGCCAAAGGTGAGAAAAGCTGGCCAGTTACACGAAGAGACTAGGGATACAACCAAGCCAAGCATGGTGACTGAACTCTTCGTCACCTTCTTACGACCTCAATGTCATGTCCTGGAGAATATACAAATACAGAAGAATACCCGCGAAGAAGTGCTATGGTCTAAAACCAGAATGCCCTGGCGGCGCTCTTCTTTTTGGCTTCTGATTCGAGTGCTTCTTCAACTAATCCTCCAAAGACTTTGTGTAGACGAAGGATTGACGACAGAACTTTACAAGCATTTCATGGTGTTCTACATGAGCATGATTCTCCAAAGTTCCAGTGAGAAGATAGAAACCGAAGAAAAGTACATCATGACAGCTAAAATCACTCGCCGATTGCGGAAACTTGATCTGGCTATTGCTCCCGCTTGGTTCTGCATCGTTGAAGATGCTCTTGGACAAGCCAACAGCAGCATCCAACAGGCTTGGGATGTAGTTGTGTCACAAACCAGACTGAAAGTCGGGTCATATCGCTTGGAGAATTTGAAATCCAAAGAAGACATCTATTGTTCGCTGCCAGGTCTAGATGAATGGCTTGAAAGCATTCACCGACGTCAAAGCATTTCAGCGTCCACAGACTTTCAGCCGCAGCCAAAACTGCGACAATATCAGCCAACGGAGCTTCCCTCTTGTCTAGACTTTGACGATCCAGAGTATGGCCTCTTTAACCTCGCCGCTGTAGAGAGCTGGGTCGAGTCCCATCTTGAGAGCTGGCTGGGGATTCATTTGGCCCACGGAAGGACCTGCCAGCAGCTGAGAAACCTGATCGATCATTACCATAACGTTGCCCTGCCAGTATATTCCACCAACCCAGAAGCCATTTCAACTATGCTTCTCACAATCTTGGAGCTGTGGATCGCTTGTGACAAGTCCGCAATTCACCTCCACCCAATGCTCCGTGAATATGATTGTAGCATTCCGATGACCATCTATTCGTCGCTCGTGTTACCCTATCGATCTCAGATGATACGATTGGAGCATGCAGAGGAATATATGGAACAGCGGCGATCTCGCGTACTGTATCGTGGCCCAGGCATCTTCAAAGATTTCGGTACTTCCACCTGTTTCCCGGTACGGTATTTCGATAAATCTGCAGACCATCAGAGCTTATTGGTAGAGATCGAAGAGCAAGCTGTGCGCGCGAGAGAAGCTAAGCGGACAGAGCTTGAGCTGAAGCAAGAAAATTATCGAAATTTGTATGCTCTGGTCAATGAAATGGAGTGCACATATATCGACACTATAGTGGATTTTCGTTTTGATATTCATGAATCCCGCCATAGCCCATCGTGCAGACGTTGTTTGTATGAAGAGCAAGCACAATCAATCAGCATCGAGGTTCACGAATGGCCCTTGTCAGATAATCACCTACAGGCGAAGTCAACTGTTTTCGAATTGATGAGACCACAGCCATTTGCCTGGTGGCGTGAAGCTACGCTGTGTTTTCTCAGCATTCTGCACGTCGAGTACTCTGTCTATGATCGACCACGAGCTGATTATCGGCCTCAATCATACCGTGGACTATCGTACTTTTATACACATATCGAAGATGCTGAGAGAATCCACCTTCTTTCGCAAGTCAAACCCAATCTTGGGACACACAGGAAAGACAAGCAGATTATTCATGTGACCAACGAAGATGTGTGCGTTAAGAATGGGATGTATTTCAAGTACCATGACGATTCCGCTCACTGCTTTGTGGCGGACTTGGACATTGGAAATGAAACAACTGCAACGTTGTGCACCTATCAGCTGCCCGAAGGAAGTTCTTCGCTACAGAAGTTTCTATCTCGACCAGCAGCTAGCAGTGATGGACCGCCCCCTAATACGGTCATTGCCTCTCTGGATGCGTGCCCAGAGGCTATGACGCTTGCAGAATATAGAGCGCTCTGCGCAATGCCACTTGGTATTCACATACAGTGGCAAAACATCCTCCGGCAGTTAGCCATGCCAAGTGTCGTATGGAAAAAGACCGAAACATGCGTTTTTCTCTTACAAGTAATTAATCAGGCTGGCCCGACTGGGGACTCTTTTCTAAGAACAGGACATGTGATTCTCAAAGACGACCGATTTGCGGTGGCACTGTTAACTGAGATCAGAAAGTCGGCGGAACGGATACAAGAGAACTGGGAGTCAGCTCAGGAGCTGTGGGCGCTGATTCTGATTACCCAGAGAGTGCTTTCCCTTGCAGATTCCGCTGAAATACACAATCTATGCTTTGATCATCTATCATACCTACGTGATGTTGCATTCGGCTGGGTTGGCATTGTCAGGGACAAGGCAAACAGCACAGTTGAAGGCAACCATCGTACCTATTTGATGGCACACAGTGCTCACATAGCCCTAATATGTGTAAGCACCTTTGATACCGAGGGAGCACATCTTTCTCGAGCTTTGTGGGAGCCATCGGCTGTGACAATTTTCTTCCAATGCTGTATGATGATTCACGACAGGAAAGGTATTCTGGACATGCAAGCCAATACCCTGCTCCCAATCCTTTTATTTCGATGGAAGTCTTTGTCTTATCGTTACTACCGCGTCATAGCCAAGAGTAGCATTCGCTTTCATGAACAATCCGCGGGTCTCGATGAGGCTATTGCGCGCACATGGGCCGCATACCGCAAGGGCTCTCCTTGGTCCGTTATATCAAGAGAGAATGACTACTGGTTAGTCACTCGGATGGCTCGCGAATCCTCACAGACTAGCGGCTTATGCGTCCATTACAACATTCTGACAGGGGAACTCCTCATTGATGGCCGCCCTCTTGCTTCTCTGCCTTCTAAGTACGAACGCCACCATACGTATCAAACATTGTTTGGCCGGTCATTAGTTGAGGTGATGCCCAGCAACCTTCCCGGGATGCAGTTCTCCGGACAGCGGAGACACATGGGCTATACTATACATTTTCGAAAGCAAGCAGTTGCCGGATCGAGAGTATTCGACCTCTGCGTTCGTGCGGTGAATGAAGGCGAGACCTGGGAGTTCATTCCGTCAAGATTATTCACAGGCTGGTTCCCTGACGCCTTCGTGGAGGATTACGCCCACTGGTATAACGTGGAACAGGGATACGTGGAATTTCGACCCATCAAACAGCCGTGGCTAACATCAGATGGCAATTGGAAACTTCAAAAAGATGATGCACAGCGCGGGTGGTGTGTTGTGAAAGGCAGCAACAGTTTGGTTTGCTTGCAAAGCGAGACGGCGAAACGGATATCTGAAATCCTAAGCCCCGTGGAAAATGCCTCCAAATTGCAATGCATACTTGTAAACTGCTCCATCGTGGAGATTGAGATACCCCGTCTGAGAACCAGTTTTACTCTTCAGGTGGGAAACTCTTCCATCCGATCTCGCCAATACCCTGGCATGGTGATCGCTGAGGACCAATCGCTTGGAACACTCGTTGGTCTATACAACAGGCTAATTCTGAAGAATGAAATCACTGGCGATCGCATTGTACTTATCCCTGAAGGCCATGTGACATGGAAACGTGTGGCAGACCACATTGCAGTCGACATCAAGTGGCAGCCAGTCAGCTGTCTCCATTCATACTCAGTAGATAGTCAACTAGGCCGTCTGGTCGACAATGGGAGCCTACAGAGCAAGCTCCTGCTGTGCTATTTACATGCTGTCACTTCCTTCTGTATTCCAGACCCTCTTACTGGAAAGACGGGGACTGAACAGTCGTTATCTATTCTTCGATCCGCGTCCTTGCGTTCTTTCACACAATTGCAGCTGGACAACATCACGATTCTGGCAAGACTAGCTGAACTCACTCCGCAAAGGCAGTACTATCCCGCTAATGAGAAATCGATGCAGAACATTGAATGGCAGAAAAATCTTAGTTGCTTGTCGCATCATGAGGACTTTCGCAAGGAGGTGGTGGAAATATTCGACCAGGACCGTCGGATGAGACTTTTCTATCCCAACATCCGGATAGATTTGCCTGCATTGCCAAAGTCAGATCCCGATTTGCTGCAACGAGCTCGAATGCGTTCATCGACCTTTAGAGTCTCGGATTTTGGAGCCGAAGACCACACAACCATGTACGATCACTTCTATTCTGGTCGTGACAGAGATTACCAGTCCGATAAGTGCAGTCGCATCTATACTCTTTGTGAAAGTCTTTCTCAGAACTTTGGGTTCCTTGGAGGGATGGGATCTGAAACTGTGCTCTCTCATCTTTGGAATCTTCTTGCAAAGTATGACAGTATAAACGGCCCTGAAGTTCGGATGGATTCGGCCAATATCCGATACGATGCCAGCTACATATTGGATCCAATCAAGTTCATTGCTACAAACTGGTGTGGTATTCATCGCTTATTCTGCGCTGACCTCTCTCGCCCGAATAAGTACCAAGTCATGATCTGGCTTTCAACCCTAGCGTTTTCGAAGAAGTCAGACATGGTGAGTCTAAGAGTCCTTGCAGCGATGTATACTATCATTGATATGGGGGTCTTATGGCCGCCTCGCAAACCAAGATTCCAGCCCAAAAGAGGATTTGAATTAGACGAGCAGCGACTCCGATCTGATATCAACAACGCCATTCAATACACGACCCCAGAATCCAACTTGTCTCAACCACGATGGGAAAGTTACTCGGCATTTCAGAAGCGAATAAAGAAATGTAGAGAGGAGAACCGAAGACAAGCATTGGATGGTTTTATGCGAGACTTGCGTCTTCAGTGGCCAACCGCTTCCCCAACCGTTCCTCGAGCCGGGGGCAATCCCACTTTTGCTGACTACTTTGATATCAACAAAGCCATGCACCAGGTGAATGAGAGGTTTTCCGTGTGGTTCGACAACAGACAGCTGAGGCACTATCTTATGGACATTGTGACTACCATTATTGTTGAACCAGTCAAATCTAGAGCCATGCCACCACTTTCTTTCCAACCCGCTGTGAACCCTGCCTCTTCACGCCGTAGATCAGTTTCGGTCGACGATATTCTCAGCGATGACCTTGGTCCACTTCCTGTTGTCGAGTTGGATCCGCCTTGCTTAGATAACATTTTACGCACCTCTTCTACTTCTGATCCGCAAGTGCCGAGTTTGGTGTCAATACTCAGTGCTTTCGAGTCGCAGCCCAGATCGAAATATGAATCGCAATACCTTGAAAGGCTGCAAGCAAGCATCAAGTCTCTACAAAGACGACAAAAGTATGAAATAGCATTGTCGACTGATATCGACCTGAGAGGTGTTATTCAAGCTTACGAAAAACGGTGTAGGGATCACCTACAAGGGACCTACAAGGCAATTCATTCACGACTGTCGATCTCATTCGCAGCGGCAAACATGACGAATGCACCTACGAAAACTTCCCTCAGAGTTTGGCAAACTTTGTCAAAGGGGCATACATGGCCGAGACTATCCCCGGACCTTCTGCTCCAGCAATTAACGCGGAAAAGGTGGCCACGGATACCTGAGAAATGGAAACGATGCTTTCTCGCTTACGGACGTTCAATCACAGTACTGCAGCGCGCAAAGCGCTTGTTGAGTCTGGTAGACCGTCCTGAGGATCTTATTCAGGAGCTCCAGAACCAGGGCCATTCCAACTGGGATCCATACGATTACCCAGAGTCACTGCTGCTGGAAATTGAGAATGGAATCTTGATTCGAGACGTCCAGGAAGAGATAGCGCGAAAGATGAGAACGCTGCAACCGGGCTCTAATGTAGTCATGCAGCTAAACATGGGTGAAGGCAAATCCTCGGTCATCGTGCCCATTGTTGCAGCTGCGCTGGCCGACGGATCTCGTTTAGTCCGCGTCCTTGTCGCTAAGCCACAATCACGTCAGATGCTTCACATGCTAGTCTCAAAGCTTGGAGGCCTTCTGGGGAGGCGGATCTACCAACTGCCTGTGTCGCGGTCACTCCAAATAGGCGTGTCGGAGGCGGATGAGATTGAGCGTATGTGTCGGGATTGCATGAAGGACGGGGGAATTCTCCTAGTTCAGCCGGAACAGGTACTATCTTTTAGGCTTATGTGCCTCGAGTCCTTCATCAGCGGTCAGGTTGAGGTCGGCAAATCCATTTTTCGAACGCTTCGATTGTTCCGCGATTCATCGCGCGATGTAGTGGATGAGAGCGATGAGAATTTTAGCGTCAAATTTGAGCTAATCTATACAATGGGTGCTCAACAGCCCTTAGAGTTCAGCCCAGAGAGATGGATCGTTGTTCAACAGGTATTGGACCTGGTAAGGAAGTATGCTCTAGATGTGAAAGAGAAATTCACGCACTCCATCGAAGTGTATCAACACCGGCCAGGGAGATTCCCTCGAATACGATTGCTCCGCGATCATGCGAGTGAAGAACTCCTCCAGCGGGTTGCCCAACACATCTGTGAGAATGGTATCGACTCTCTAGCGATCTCACGGCAGACCGAGAAGTCGAGGGCAGCCATCCTAACATATATCCTTAGCCCAGAGTTGTCGGCACAAGAAATTGACGCGGTTGAAGACGAAGGCCCATCCAGCTTTTGGACTGAAAGCACAAAAGACGCACTGCTTCTTTTGAGAGGCCTTCTTGCTGGGGGTGTTCTGGCTTTCTGCTTTGGGCAGAAGCGCTGGAGGGTCAACTACGGTCCTGACCGTAAAAGAAACCCCCCAAGCAGGCTTTCGGTTCCATACCGTGCGAAGGACAACCCGACTCCACGCTCAGAATTCAGTCACCCTGAAGTCGTCATCGTTCTCACTTGTCTTAACTATTACTACGGGGGCCTGGATGATGATGAGGTACTCCTCGCGTTCAACCATCTAGTCAAATCAGATCAAGGGCAAGTTGAATTTCAGACCTGGGTCAATGATGTGCCAGAGCTCCCACAAGTATATCGTCAACTAGGCGGTATCAATCTCCAGGATCGATTTCACTGTGTGGCTCATGTTTTTCCTCACTTCAAGTTTTCCAAAGGCGCCATTGATTACTTTCTAAGTCATATTGTGTTTCCCAAAGAGATCAAAGAATTTCCAAGCAAATTGTCTGCGTCTGGTTGGGATATCGGCGAACTCAAGCCGAATCCAACGGTTGGTTTCAGTGGCACGAACGACTCCCGCGAGACTCTTCCTCTGAGTGTAACGCAACTGGATCTTCCAGAGCAAAACCATACAAATGCGTTGGTTCTCGAGTACCTGCTACGCCCTGAGAACTCGGTCACATTCACCCCCACGAGGGCCAACATGTCCAGATCGGATGCGCAAGTGCTGCTGGACATGGTCGTGACCCTTGATCCGCCAACACAAGTTATCCTCGATGTGGGCGCCCAAATCTTAGAACTCACCAACCTGGAGGTTGCTCAGGCCTGGCTGGGAATGACATCGGAAGACAGGAAAATGCAGGCCGTCGTTTTCGTCAACGAGCTCGATGTCATCTGCGTAGTTGATCGCTCTGGAGTTATTGAGCCACTTCAGATATCACCATTCGCACAGCAGCTTGATGCATGCTACGTCTTTCTGGACGAAGCCCACACCAGGGGGATTGATTTGAGGTTGCCGCCAACCTATCGGGCAGCAGTAACTCTGGGGGCTGGTATGACAAAAGATAAGTTAGTACAGGGTAAGTAGTACGTATCTTCCTTCATTCCTGCAACATGTACTGATCACATCAAAAGCATGCATGAGGATGCGAAAGTTGGGCAAGGGACAATCCGTTGTTTTCTGTATTTCAGAAGAAATTAGCACCAAGATTTCCGCTTTGACTGGAACATCGGCCGGATGCATTGGAGTACCAGACGTACTACGCTGGGCCCTTACAGAAACATGGGTTGACACCTATCGCAGCATACCCCTTTGGGCGGTTCAGGGAGAGCGTTTTGAGTGGCAGGCCGCGCTATGGGATATGTATAATGATCAACCAGAGATACCAGCCAAACAGGCAAAAGCTTTTCTCGAAGAAGAGTCTCAAACCCTTGAACAACGATACCGGCCACGCCGCTCGTCCGACTTCAGGGTTGGGACCATATCTTCCGGGACAGGAAATCTACAGCTTATTCGACAGAAATGCCGTCTATTCAGTGACTTAAACTTCAACTCAGCAGAGCTACAAGAGGAACAGGAGCGGGAACTCGCACCGGAGATCGAGCGAGAGCAGCAGGTTCAAAGGCCGCCGCCAGCAAAACCTAAAGATCATCAACTTCACGAGCACGTTCTCTCCTTTGTATCTACCGGGGTGCTGGCGGCATCCGCGGCCTTTCGACCCGCGTTCGAGATTCTTAGGAATACATCCGCCGCCGACCATCTGGATCTTTCTGAATTTCCTCCTGGACTCCTCGCTACCAGGGACTTCGCGGAAACTGTCTTGAGGTCCAAGGGGCGTTCATGCATGGATGATTACCAGCGCCCGGTCGAGTGGCTCCTGACCAGTCATGATCCGTCTTCCTCAATTGTAAAACACATGCTCATTATCAGCCCTCACGAGGCTAACAAACTGCTTTCAGAAGTTCAAATGTCCGAAGTAGTTATGATGCACGTATACGCGCCACGACAGAATCGGAACCTTCTTTCTCTTGACGAACTGAATCTATACCCTGTTTCGAAAAATGTGACAACGTTTCACATACCCACAGTCCTCAGGATACAGCTGAACCTGTTCGCAGGTCAACTTTATATATCATCTTATGATGAATATCGTCAAATGTGTGACTTCCTTGGCGTTTTATCCACAAAAACACCCAGTGGCTACGTCGTTGCTGCAGACGGCTTCGTCATGGCAATGGACAAGCCATCAACGACGAGTTTCACTAAAAGTCCGCTCAAATGTCTCAGGACACTTATATCTCAGATGAGAAAAGATGGCCAGGAAATTGGCAAAACTCATGTCGGAAAGATCTTGGATGGAAAGTTATTATACCCCAGCGATTTTGAGGAAGGTGATCAGACATCAATGACCATGGCGTTGCGCTTCCGGCCGTTTTGAAGCAGTGAAGAAAATGTATTTAGATTATCAAGGATTCATGGTCATGGCCATCGTCCACGATTCTATCAGGGTTCCGAGGTTCAGGAATATGCATTCAGCGTCCTCCATCTTAGGCTTCGGTCCGATCGCTTACTAAAACATAAAAATATCAAATAGTTAGTTAGCTTGCTGTATGGACGTATCTATAGTATTATGATCTTTATAGTCTTATCCAATATACATGATGGCGATCGCTCTAGATACATGGGCAACGCCTTTGGCCACAACATTAAAGATGAAACAGCGTTAAGCCGCGGATTACAGAGCACATGCCTCCATTTTCCGTATTAGTACGCTTTTACTCAGCTAAGGTGAGTTAACTAAGTGTTAGCCCGGCTGCTCCAAGGTTACAGACGTTTTTGGACCCCATTCCAATGCGTAACTGCGGCGGTCCCTCGGCATTGGACGGAGCTTCTAGAAATTATAGACTGAAAATATGACGTGGTCTCCTTGTGCCTCGATAGCCAGACAAACGAACAAATCTTTGCTACTATATTGGACATTAATCAGGCAGTCGAGATTTTCAAGACTATATGGGACATGGACTGGTGAGGTCGTATATAAAACGACGCCAGCGAGAAAGTTGTCTCAGAGACACAAATAGTCAAATACTGCGTACTTGTTCATGATCATATTATTGTTGAAATGATTCCTCATGCGTGTATTGACAAAAGTGCCGAATTCGACGAGCTCATCCCCATATTCCTTTTTGGGATTACATGATACGACGCGAGCGAAGTTAACTACTGATGAGAAATGATTAGGTTGTAAATATTATTTTAGATACATAATCCAGGTCAGCAGATCTTATACGTAAATGCCGCAGTTAACTTAATAGCAGCCACTGAATCGGTCCATCTGCTGCGGATGTTACCTTGCGAAGCCCTAATTCAGCGGGGGCTGATCGCACGTCGGCCCAATTGAGGCTTCTTCCCCTGAGTCAATACACTTGAGATTCTTCTATGAGCTAGTTAAAGAATGGTAACAATGGCTGAGAAAGCGTCGCCTCCTTCGTACCTACGAAGTTAATCTAAACTAAGCTCCAATTTGCCCCCAGCGTTGCCCATAGATTTAATCGACCGTGGTAGAAGCAGACATGCAGGTATATACGTTGATGACCCTCTCCACTGATTTACTAAGTGGATAAAATATTGAATAACTAAGCTAATGCTCGAACTAGATAAGCATCCATGAATCAACCTCTACCTTATTCCTGGCTCCAGGCTATACGAGCTGGAGAACATGCGCCTAAGCCCAAGTCTCCAGTAACGGCGCGAAGTTGCAAACCGGACTTGCAGAAAGAGGAAAGTGGTCTTAGAGAAAGCCAGCCTACAGCTGACTTGATGTAAAGCAAGAGTAGTGCTGTAGGTATATATAGCTTGTTGAGGCTGGTCTGGTATGTTGATCTTCAGGGCTTCCGAATTCTTCGCTGTGGGAATCGTGCGCGAAAATACCACACAACCACTGTCTTTTGTTTGATTCGCTCCCCGGTCAAGGTGCTCTCGTCTCCGATATCTTTACTTTTTTGCTTCTTTGCTTCTTTGTTTTGATTATCTCGCCTGGCAGTAAATAGAAAATGACCTTGCTGGTCGCGCTGTTGGTGGCCTTGCCGTTTCTGGCAAGCGCGGCTGCAAGGGCGGACCGCAACGTGTCGCAGTTTGTTCCTGACAACGACTACACACCGCAGAAGAGGTAGACCTCGTTCATACCGATCGCAGCTTGAAAATTATTCATGATCTGGTTTGGCTGACATTCAAGCCAGCGGCATTCCATTTCCCCTGCAGGATGAGTCTATCCAACCGTGGGTTCACCTCGGTCAGCCCTCAAAGACAGCAGAGTCTGGCGAAGCTGCTGCGGCATCCAGCTGTACACCTCTGACAGCTTCATCTCCGACTGCCTGGTGGTACGAAGACGTCGCCCACAATGGCTCGTCATCCTTCATGTCTTCCGAGTACAGGAGCGACTACTCTGTCTTTCGCAATGTCGTGACCGACTACGGCGCCGACAACACTAATAGTACCAACGCCGCGACCGCTATTCAAAATGCTATCAATGGTAGGCATCCGAGCACTCTGTCGCTATGTAAGAGCCCCTTTTCAAATCTCTCCAACTAACGGTCATTTAGCTGGCCCTTCGAATGGTGGCCCCGCCAGAGGCTCTGGCAACTATGGAACAACCGGCCAACCAGCAGTCGTCTACCTCCCTGCTGGTACTTATTTGATGTCGAGCAGTATTCAGCTCTATGTCGGCACTTTGCTTGTCGGGGACCCCATCAACCCGCCAACTCTTGTAGCTACTTCCGACTTCGCGGATGATCACATCATTTACGCAAAGGACCCGAACTACGGAGGCACCGTCAACTTCTACATTGGTATCAAGAACATCATTATTGACTCCACCGCGGTCGACCCCTCCACAAGCTTGGGTCTCGTCGACTGGACCGTCAGCCAGGCGACCCAATTAGCCAACGTGGTTTTCAACATGCCCGACTATTCCACTGGCCATGTGGGCGTCACCGCTGAGTATGGCTACAACAGCAACGTCATCTTGAATGATCTGACGTTCAATGGCGGTGCCTATGGGCTGCAGCTTTCAGGCCAACAGTGGATCTTTAAGAACATCAAAACCAGTGGTACCACCACCGGTATTTCTGCGGGAGGATTTAGCGTCGTCTGCCTCTCCTGCTCGTTTGAGTACGGTGCCGTTGGTATTGACGCCACCGTCGTCGATGGGGTAGTCAGCGTGATCGATACCTCAGGCCTCGACCTTGAGTATCTCGTAAGCGGAACAAGCAGTGGCGGTGCAGGCTACTCTATCGTTCTGGAAAATGTCTCATACGACGGAACTACTGTTGCTATTGATGGTTCCGAGGTCTTGTCTGGCGACGTCACTGATACCTGGGTCTATGGCAATGTGGTAAGCAAGTACTATTTGAATTTTTGATATGTTTGAGATCGTAGTCAGACTGACAGCTGGATTCCTTTTTTTTGAACAATTTAGTATTCCAGTGGCAGCTCCAGTGCTAGTCTAGCCACCGGCAGCACAGAGTCGACTCCCCGCTCTTCGTCGCTCTTGTCCGATGGCAAATATTTCATCACTGAAAAACCGCCGACATTCCAGGAGTATTCTGTCGATCAAGTTCTCAATATCAAATCGATTGCTGATCTGCCCGTCTATGGTGATGGTTCTACTGATGACACTGCTAACATCAACTCCATCCTCTCGCAATACGCTGGATGCTATGTGATCTATTTCCCAGCCGGAACATATATCGTGACTGATACGATCACGATCCCGTCCGGATCTCGTATCTATGGCGATGCTTACGGAACAGCCATTTCGGCCATCGGCAGTAACTACTACAATCCCGATGCTCCAGGGACCATGATCCAGATCGGAAATGCCGGCGACGTTGGCGTTGCACAGATAGTTGACATGATCTTCACAGTCGCAGACGTTCTGCAAGGATGCAAATTGGTGAGACTAGACAATTTTACTACCTCTCTATTGTTATGAACCTTGCGTGCTAATTGATCCCTTAGGTTGAATTGAACATTGCTGGCAGCTCACCTGGCGATGTTGGCATCTGGAATTCTCATTTCCGTATTGGAGGTGCGGCTGGCAGTCTAGTTGAAACAAACTGTGGCGGAACTCCTGATGAGTGCAAGGCTGCTTGGGGCTTGCTCCATCTCACCAATACCTCCTCTGCCTATATCGAGAACATGTGGGGTTGGACTGCTGATCACGACTTGGATGGAGGCAATACTCAGACAATTTCAACTGGTCGTGGTGCACTCATCGAAGCCACTTCAGGCACCTGGCTTATCGGAACTGCCATGGAACATCACACTTTGTACCAATACAACTATAATAACGCAGAAAACGTCGTTTCCGCGTTTCAGCAAAGGTATGCTTGATTAAACCCCTGAAGGCTTTTTTTTATTCCAACCCGGAGCACTTTCTAACCCTTTTGACAGTGAAACACCCTACTGGCAGGGTCCAGGCAACGACCTCGCTCCCGCCCCTTGGACGGACAATCTTATTGCCTCTGATCCTACTTTCGATAACTGCGAATCCGGTGACGATATCTGCTACATGGCCTTTTTCGAGCGCATATCTGGGTCGTCCAATTTGTTTCTGTACAACGGCATGGTATGGGTGTTTTTTAATGACGACGGTGATTGCACTGGCAATTACTGCCAAGGGAATGCCGTCGATATCACCGATTCAAGCTCAATTTACCTGTATGGCCAGCAAGTCGACTCGGTCCAAAATATCTTCTTGGAAGATGGAACCGCTATAGCCACGGAAAGCGCCAACAGCGGAGGTTGGGGAGGAGTTGTGGCTGCTTATTTGTACAACTCTTGAGCGATGCAGCGTTTGCTTCGCTCTTCGAGGGGCCCCCTTGTAGATATTTTCTGAGATCGAATGGCAATCAAGAATGTATATTTTCGTGCTGAACACTAACTACCTACTGAGGTAGCCCATCAATCGTCAAGCCCGAGCTATGACTCATACACGATTTTCTTGTGTGACTAGTTATCCAGCAGCACTGCCTACTGCATCCCTGCAGGTAAAACAACCATACAGTTCGTCAAGAAGCAAACAAGCAGCTCATTGCCCATCCCTTGCATTTCCGGTTACGGCAGGCGGTGTACTCCTTTGTTGCTTATCTCCAGCGACTTTCTGCCATGCAAAGAACCATAGGGCGGGCAGGGCAGCCCCGCAATTCGCCATAATATATTTTTTGAGTCATCGCAGGGATCCATTCCCTTCTGTTAACACTTGAACCCTCCGTAACCATGGCGAAGACAGAGCCTACGCTGCCAATCCCTGGCAAACGGAATATCCTCATTACCAGTGCTTTGCCCTATGTGAACAACGTTCCGCACCTGGGTAATATCATCGGCAGTGTGCTCCCCGCAGATGTCTTTGCTCGCTACAACAGGGCGCGAGGGTTTCCCACGCTGTACATTTGCGGTTCTGTTAGTCTATCTTCTCGTTGATTTGGTCGATGCTCAGAAAGGAAAGGCTAGAGCTAATCGGTGTGAAAACAAAAAAAAAATTTAATAGGATGAATATGGGACTGCGACCGAGACCAAAGCCCTTGAGGAAGGAGTAACGCCAGAAGAGCTATGCGCAAAGTACCATGCTATCCACAAGAGTATCTATGACTGGTTCAATATTGAGTTCGACATCTTTGGCCGAACGCCAACAGCCCACCAGACAAAGATTGTGCAGGACGTTTTCCGCGGATTGTGGGAGAATGGATATATTGAGGAGCGCGAGACTACCCAGCCCTACTGTCCCGTGGAAGGCCACGCGACTTTTCTTGCGGATCGATTTGTTGAGGGCGAATGCAGTATCTGCGGCGACCCTGGTGCGCGCGGAGACCAATGCGACAAATGCGGTAATTTGTTAGATCCGCTAGAACCCGATGCGAAAGAATCAGGACAGGGGGAGCAAGGCGATGTCGAGGCTAGAGCTACAGGCTGGCTGATAAACCCGCGGTGCAAGCTGGATGGCGCTACTCCCGAGAAACGGAAAACCAAACATCTCTATCTGCGGCTGGATGCGCTGAAGGACAAGATTGTGCCTTGGTTCGAGAAAGTAAGCAAAGAGAATGAGTGGAGTATCAATACGAGCTCGATTGTGCAGTCGTGGATAGACAGGGGTCTGAAGCCCCGTGCCATCACTCGGGATATCAAATGGGGTGTGCCGATTCCCACGGGTATCAAGGGGTTGGATGAAGAGGCTTATAAGAACAAGGTATTTTATGTGTGGTTTGATGCGTGCATTGGCTACGTCTCCATCACTGCCAACTACACGGATGGAGACAATCTTGACGGCATGAAGTGGGAGCAATGGTGGAAGCATCCCGAGGATGTCTCACTCTATCAGTTCATGGGCAAGGATAACGTGCCATTTCACAGCATCATTTTCCCCGGCTCGCAATTGGGTTCCGGCATGAAGTGGACTCAGGTGCACAAGATCTCCGCCACGGAATATCTCAACTACGAAGGCGGCAAGTTCAGTAAATCCAAGGGCGTTGGAGTTTTTGGCACCAGCGCCAAGGATACCGGGATCAATGCCGATATCTGGCGGTTTTACTTGCTCTCTCGCCGGCCAGAGACCAACGACACCGAATTCAAATGGGACGACTTTGTCAACATCAATAACAACGAACTCCTCAAGAACCTGGGCAACCTTGTTGCGCGCGTCACTAAATTCTGCATTGCCAAGATGGACGGTGCGGTTCCTGCGCATTCAGAAGCCGCAGCTTCATCCATCCTTGCCGAGCATGAAAGCCAGGTCAACACGCATCTGAAGGCATACAACGCCTTCATGGACGCCACCAAAATGCGCCTAGCGCTCGCCGAGCTCATGCACATCTCGTCCCTCGGCAACAAGCTCTTGCAGGACAACAAACTCGACAACCGCCTCTTCACCGAAGAGCCCGACCGCTGTGCCGCCGTCATCAATATTGCCCTCAACCACCTGCACCTTCTCGCTAGCATCCTTTCCCCCTTTATGCCAACCATCTCAAAATCCATCTTTGAGCAACTCGGTACCGAGCCAGTGGCACAAATCCCTGAACAATGGACGCCAGGATCTGCTTTGAAACCGGGCCACAAGCTTGGGGAATCGAAACTTCTCTTCTCCGTCATCCCGGCCGCCAAGATTGAGGAGTGGCGCGAGGCCTTTGGTGGCGAGGAAGTGCGCAAACAGAAAGCACTCGAGGCCGAGAAGGCGGCTGCTAAGAAAGCGGCCAAGGAGAAGGAGAAGGAGAAGAAGAGGCTGAAGAAAGAGGCGGCAGCAAAACAGAAAGCTGAGGCGGCGGCGGCGGCGGCGGCTGGCGCTGAAGCGGCTGCTACGGATTTGGAAAAGAAGCTGACTATCGATGATGGAGAGAAGAAGCTTCCATAGAAGGATAGAATGGGGTAGGATAAATTATGAAGGGTATATGTCTAGTTATCGAGAGACGTGACGAGAAATACTGCAATACATAGTCAACAGTCTTATGAATGGTGTCTTACGAACTTGAGCGAAATGTAGTACTCTTTCGCATATTAGCGAAATCTTGTATCCCAAGACCGATTGTCTAAATCTACTGCGACGGTCGAAGAATCGTCCTCCCCCTCGGACCGCCATGCTCATACGTGACCAAAGCCCTATTCGCATCCAGCGCCATAATGCCGGGCCAAAAGCTCGAAGCCGGCGACACGACGACCGGTGGACTCCAAACAATCCTCCCATTGCACGGCCCTGTGCCAAAGGACACCTTGACAGCAGCATTATGAATCCAACTCACCCTCTCCGCATCATCATCCGTCATGAAGACCGCCGCCAGCGACCCATCCCCAAACGACGCAATCTGCGGCGCACCAGCATTATGTCCGCGCGGAGGCACATACACCTCATGGCGATGCTGCCAGGTGGCGCCATCATCGTACGAAACGACAGCCTCAACATTGAAATGCGGCGCATAGCGCGTCGTCTCGAATACCATCACCAGCGCCATCCGCCCATCGCCACTATCAACCGTCTGCGTAATCCCCGTCATCCCATCGCGGAATCTATCCTTGTCGCCCTCCACGCAGCGCGGCACAGACCACGTCTTCCCCAAATCATACGACACCACTAACATCGTCCGCTGATCATCGGGGGCAAACTCATGCGAATAAACCAGCTGCACCTCCCCCTGCACCCCAATCCGCATAAAGGGCTCCCAAATCCCCAACGGCGGGTCCTTCTCCGCCGCCTGCGACAGATACCTCCACGTAAGCCCCGAATCTCTAGATTCAAAGACAGTGAGCCGATAATGCCGTATCCCGTCCAAGTCACCGGCGCGATTGGTTCCAAAATCATGGTTCCGAAACGCCGCTAGGACATGGCCCCCCGGCCTGATTTCGAGGATGTGCACGTTGTCGATTTCGGCGTGTCCGCGCGTCACTTCGCTGAAGTCGTGGAAGGTTTGGCCATTGTCGGTGGATTTGGAGATTTTGAGCGCTCGGAGCTTGTCCATGCGTCCTTCTTCGCGCCAGGTGAAGCCCGCGAGGATTGTGCCGTCGCTGAGGCGCGCGAGCCGGATGTAGGTGCCGTTGAGCCTGTCGTCGGAAATGTCGCGCTCGTCTTGGTTGATGATTAGGCTGTTGTTGTACATGTTGTTATAGTTGTAGCTGTGATTATAGTTTGGGCTGTAGCTGCCAGGGCCAGTCGTCCATGGTGATGCTTGTGCTGCTGTTGGCGGTGCTCCGGCCCAGACTGGGGGATGCGGAGGTACAGGCGGAGGCTGTTGACTTGCGGGTTGTGATAACCCAAAACGCTTGAGGATTTTTTGGCCGATGCCTGGCATGTTGTACGATTGACAGTTCCTTATTATCTTTCTTTGAGACCTTTTGGAGAACGAATGTGTATGCTGCGTCGGGATGGTGACGACGCATGGATGGCTGAAACACACTAGCCACTGCTATGATGTCACAGGTATGGCACTCTTAACTAGTTACTATAAAACTTATAAACTAAGATGATCAACGAGAAAGTTGAAATTCGTCAAAAAGCATTGGATTGTATTGTCTTCAACTCCGTAAAACAGCAGACAGGCAAGGCCTAACTATGAAATTGACATAACATGGACATTCTGGTATAAACTCATGCCATACCGAGCCTGCCACACGGCTCACACATAAAAAGCATGCGTGCAGATAAGGTTGATTGAGAGATTCGTAGTTTTCTTGTTCCTGAATGGAGGTGTGAAAATAACAGGGCATGTGAATCTGCATTCACGTAACTTTTCATCAGACCTCCGATGCCTCTCTTTATTAATTGAATTATTATTTTTTTTTTAATCTTTTTTTCCATTGGCCCTCCCTTAAGCCTAGGCAGCTGCGGCAGTTTCCTTGAATGCCTTGGTTGTGTCGGCCAAATTGGTGGCTGCTGCCGCAGGTCGCTTTGATTCGTAGTTCTTAATAGCAGCCTTGATGGCGTCCTCGGCCAAGAGAGAGCAGTGAAGCTTGACGGGAGGAAGGCAAAGTTCGTTTGCAATCTGGGTGTTTTGAATCTTTCCGGCTTCCTCCACTAAAGATAGAACGCATGATTAGCTTCATGTTCCGAGTTGCGATCTGCAAAATAGAACCACATACAGGTCTTGCCGGCTAAAAGTGTGGTGAGATATGAGCTAGAAGCAATGGCGCTACCGCATCCGAATGTCTTGAATGCCGACTTGACAATCTTGCCGGTCTTTTCATCAACTTGAATATCGAGTCGAATCTAGGACAACTTGTTAGGTCGGTGCATTTTCAGGTTTGAATAGGTGAATATTTTGAACATACGACATCGCCACACTAGAAGGAAACATATTAGTGAGAACTTGACTGAACGGCCACTGCATGAATCATAATACATACTGCTGGAGCTCCGACAAGACCAGATCCGACATCTACAGACCTATAGCATTGTTAGAATGGATAAGAATCGAATACGAAAGAACGTAACAGAGTCCCAAGTTTCAAGGACAAAGGCGACGTACTTGCGATCCAGAGAGCCGACTATGTCACAGTTAGTATGTTTCATAAATAGAATATTAGAACAAGGACTAATAAAACACAGCCAAAGGTGAAAATGATAGAAAAGGCAAGAATGCAGAATGCGTGAAACAAGGACAATTGGCACTTGAAGATATTCCACGAGGATCTTCCTGGAAATAGAACTGGGTATACATTGTCGAAGAGTGCACCACACCGACGAGACGACGTAAAACCGTGAAACTGAGATTCATAGATATGTTTGAAAGAGAGGTATCCGCGTTCATGAAGTCATCCGTATGTGTTCCTCGTATCAACGATAGACATTCGCAGTCTGTCCGCAGTCGCATTCCCCTTTCAACATTTGGGCAACAGGCCAACCCGAAGCGAAGATAAAGAGACGTGTCCTGTCCAGATCGACTCGATGGGTGTTTGAACTGTCGAATAGTCTGTGTCAAGCCGAAGCAACGATGGCGCCGAAACATATCGAGTCACAGTATCGAGTTGTCAAGACGCCAAAACCTGTCCCAACGTTCACTCCAAAAAAAAGGAATTGCTGTTGAATTCTCTGTCGTGATATGGTGCACCCTTTCCTTCTAACACGAAGAATATTCCTCGATATTTCCAAATAGGCAGAAACGCATTGCGCGTAAAGCGAACGAACAAGAAAATGCGAAAAAGAGAAATGCATACCATTCCTGGGATTTGTGTAATGATCTAACAGTTTGAGTAGGTCAGCATTTCAAAGCAGGCCAAAGTACAAGCCAAAGGAACAAAGAAAAAACATATCTTTCTCGTGATATCCTCGGCGAGCGGCCACATTCAGGACTGGCAGAGCCGGCGACCGCAAAACCGGTCGTGCCGAAAGCATGTGTCCTGCGCGCACGATATTTCTGACGGGATTCATAATTGTTGCGCTGTTGATATATTGGGATTTGTCGATGGGCAAGGTAGATGGAAAAGAGTTGGGTGAGATTAGTTGTTTGGGAGAGAGACGAAGTATTTTGTGGCGAACGAAAGAAATCACTAAGCAAGCAGGGCCCCGGCCCATCGGTGACGTGAAATGGGGTCACGTGAGTTCCGGCATCGGCGTTTTCGGGGAAGATTTATCAGATCGTCCGGTTGGGCCAATGGAAAGCGCGCAAATAAGCTGGGGTGTTATCAGATCCTCGGATATAACTTCTGCGGGCAAATGCCACCAATGAACATTGCCCGTCTTAAGGCCGACTCCGAACGCTTCTCCGCGGACGCTCCGATGGAACAATATATGATCAACAGACACCCACTAGTTATTTACCTACAGACTGGTATCTCGCCTTGACTTCCGCTCTATTCCCTTGCTAATCCAGAGTTGCAACATCCCGGACAGTCTGTCCCTTATGCGACAAAAGGACAAAAGCAATATAGCCCTTGCTAGCTGTGACAACGCACCTCCACATCGACTTCATCACGCATATAATCGATATCAAGGACACGGACTAGATCTGCGTCCAAAAGTTCATCCGTGCTGTATATCAACATTGACATTTGGTCGCCTTACCTTTAGCGTCCTTACAAGTTGACATCTGTATACTGCGGCTTATAGCACCGTGATATCATCGGACAGCATTAGGACTATAATTTAAAAGTATTTGAAGGTAGGGGAGACTGCGCTATGCTATTAACACAACCAACACAGAAATTGCCTGAGCAGGTTGATGATAACTCTGTGTACAGTCTACTCGCCCTTCTTCATAAATCTCGTCTGCATGTATTGACAACGAGGGGGTCGAACTGTCCGCGAGGTTGTTTGGGGCTAGGGCTGACGGGGCTGACGACCTCCGAACATCTCTGGCTAGAACTGACATGGTGCTACTTCATATGTAGTTAGTGTACGAAGTATTTCGAGGCTTGCATCGTATCTGCAATTTGAATCTTGGAAGATTTTTGATTGATTCAGACACCAACCGGCTAGTTAGTTCTGTTGGGCCTCAACATCGTAATCGAGATGCACGCCATGATCTTTCGGTCACTGCAGGCTAACTAAATTTCCGAGAGAAACCAAGGAATACGACCGTCGGCTCTCATGCTATGGATACGTATACACCTACGTATGTTGTCACGTCAAAGCTTGTAGTATTATATGCAGAAACGACCTTGAAATCAATTCACTATACCTAGGCAGAGATCAAGGCTTGTTATCTTCTGGTAGTTATTAGAGCCGGAGCTAGTTAATGTGCTCAACATAGTGTTTACGCGAGGCTACCCTTGTAGACACTGATGTGAAAGCACGCCGGATAGCCCGCTTTCCGGTGCCGAGCGCCAAGCCCCCAAACCACATTTAAGGTAAGAGTGGGCCCGGGCCAAGGACCCTCTCGGCTAGACGAATCAGCCAATGAGAAGAGCCGGGTTACGAGGACGGGTACGGACTCAGCCGTTGCGGATAACAACTACCTACCTACTGGGAGCGTGCATAAATTCATCACTTCATAATTGAATCCGATAATATATCATTTTGACTTTGCAATACGAGGAGCGGGACAGTGGACACCGTTGTACTTTCATGTCTCGACAGATCATTGGCTCGGATGCCTCGTAATCCGATGACGCTCGTTGAGTCATTGTGAGTGGTCTTTCTTTGTGTTGTTTATCTCTACGAATGGACAATACAGACAATACAATTGTTGTTTGCAGCGCGTATTTCATATACATGGATCAGTGCACATGCCACATACTTAGAGTCGTGTTAAAAGTACTCAGTGGATACGGAGTACAACGGCGTAATTCTCGTATGCAAACGTCCCAGGCCACGTGTATCGTGTATTTTTCTTTTTATTGTCCCGCCTCTGATTGGGCTACTGGTACAGGGTGCGATCACGTGGCGAGCAGCCAGGGCCAATCAACTTGCATACCCGTGCACGGCGACCGGGTCCATGCGTATCCGGAGGAAAGATTACTGCGTATGGTACAAGAATCTCGGGGACTTAGAAACGCCCGAACAGGCATAAGCGAAGCATATCTTGATGCTATACGCTCGGGTCCGGAAACAGCGTACATGCCAGACGACGTAAGACTAGGGGTGATGTATCGCCATCTGGCATGTGCAGTGTCTCCCCCCTGTTATGCAATCGAACGGATAGGGCGCGAAATGATATGCCGGTGTTTCATAGCAGCTAGGGTTGCGTAGCGTCGCAACCAATTCGTCCGTAGCGAGGTAGCGAGCCCCCTAAGTTGGAGATGTGTCTGGACTCTGATGTGAAGATCCGGATTTTAGGCTTCCATCTTCGTTTCGATCGAATTTTCGTCCGGAATGAGAGACGCGGCCCCGTGGCGACGCCCATCCCGATTGGCGGCGGCGCTGGCCCTCTTTTTCTCTTACTTTTCCCCTTCATTAACTCTTTTGGGTAACCGCTGGGCGGCTAGTCAGAAGCCGGACGCAGCAGCTGCTGAAAGTATATATCTCCGTTTAAGTTCCCGGCGAGCGTTGATAAAAATTCTACCCCCTCATTCTTTCAGCTGGACTGGTATTCGTCCATATGCTGTGTGAACAGGGATAGGAATACCATCAGATTGAATTGTCAACGAAGACCAACGTCCCTAACGAGATACCTACTCACATCACTATAGAGAAGAAAAGGGTGCGCAACTACCTGATACTGCAGGGGCCAGAGGCCACAGACGAGCGAAGTCAAGATGTCGTTCGCTCTTAACCCTAACCCGCCGCGGTCGCAGTCCGTCGTCAGCCATAATCTCAGCGAAGAGCGAGTCATCAGCCACTCGTTCAGCGAGGAGCATGTCACGAGCACGCAGGATGTCAGCAGGGAATCATATCTGGAGAAGAGCGAAGATGACGAGACCCTCCAGGAACGGGAGGAGAAGGTTGAGGCCGAAGTGAGCAACCTCGCCCGCCAACTGACGCGCCAATCCACGCGGTTTTCCACCAAGGGCGCCCTCTCCAACCCATTCGTGAACGAGGACCCGGAATCGACTATCAACCCGCAGAGTCCCAATTTCCGAGCCCGGGACTGGATCAAAATGCTGCTGGAAGTCCGTTCTCAGGACCCCGTAAAGTACCCGGATCGCAAGTCGGGTCTTTCCTTCCGTAACTTGAGCGTCCACGGCTTTGGCTCGCCAACCGATTACCAAAAGGACGTTTTGAACTCTCTGCTGGAGGTTGGCACTCTAGTCCGTCGGCTTGCCGGAGGCAAGAGAAACAAAATCCAAATTCTTCGCGATTTCGATGGTTTGATTAGGAGCGGTGAGATGCTGGTCGTGCTGGGAAGACCAGGAAGTGGATGTTCCACGTTCCTGAAGACCATTGCCGGAGAAATGGGTGGTATTAATATTTCAAAAGACTCGGTGTTGAACTACCGAGGTATGTAATTTTCTCGACCTCGTCATTTGAAGGCGCTGCTAACGTGACCCCCCTAGGTATCCCTGTCAAGGAAATGCACAAGAACTTCAGAGGTGAAGCCATCTACACGGCTGAGACCGATGTTCACTTCCCCCAGCTGTCCGTCGGCGACACATTGAAGTTCGCTGCTCTTGCGAGAGCTCCCCGCAACCGCCTGGATGGAGTCACTCGCGACCAATACGCCGAGCACATGAGAGACGTTGTCATGGCGATGCTCGGTCTTTCACATACTATCAACACTCGTGTTGGAAACGACTTTGTCCGTGGTGTCAGTGGTGGTGAGCGTAAGCGTGTCAGTATCGCCGAGGCCACCTTGAGCCAGGCTCCTCTTCAGTGCTGGGATAACAGCACACGAGGTCTCGACAGTGCCAACGCCTTGGAGTTCTGTAAGAACCTGAGTCTCATGGCCAAATACGCGTCCACCAGCGCTTGTGTAGCTATCTACCAAGCTTCTCAAAGTGCCTATGATCTCTTCGATAAGGTAACCGTGCTTTACGAAGGAAGACAAATATATTTTGGCCCAGCGGACGAGGCCAAGCAGTTCTTTGTTGACATGGGATTCGAGTGCCCTGACCGACAGACCACTGCTGATTTCCTCACGTCACTTACCAGTCCCTTGGAGCGCAGGGTTCGCCCTGGCTACGAGGGCCGTGTTCCTCAAACCCCCGACGAGTTTGCTTCGGTGTGGAAGTCCAGCGAAGCCCACGCGCAATTGATGCGGGAAATTGAAGAATTCGAGCAGGAACACCCTCTCGGGGGTGCCTCGCGCGATGCCTTCATTGACGCTCGCAGGGCCATGCAATCAAAACGGCAACGTGCCATGTCTCCATACACGATTTCCGTGTGGGAGCAAATTGCGCTTTGCACCCATCGTGGCTTCCAACGTCTCAAGGGAGATTCCAGTCTTACAGTCAGTGCCTTGATTGGTAACTTCTGTATCGCTTTAATCGTTGCATCTGTCTTCTACAACCTTGAGGTTAACACGCAAAGTTTCTACTCACGTGGAGCTTTGCTTTTCTACGCCGTGCTTCTCAGTGCCTTCTCCAGTGCCCTTGAGATTTTGACCCTTTATGCGCAACGTCCTATCGTGGAGAAACAAGCCCGATATGCCTTTTATCATCCATTCACCGAGGCTATTGCATCTATGCTCTGTGATACACCCTACAAGATTATCAACTCGTTTACCTTCAACCTTCCACTCTATTTCATGACCAACCTGCGCCGCACTGCAGACGCCTGGTGGACGTTTTGGCTTTTCTCCGTTGTTACCACATTCACCATGTCTATGATCTTCAGAACCATGGCTGCAACGTCTCGGTCTCTGTCACAAGCTCTCGTTCCTGCTGCTATTTTGATCCTTGGAATGGTTATCTACACTGGATTCGTCATCCCGACGAAGGATATGCTAGGCTGGTCTCGTTGGATGAATTACATCAACCCCATCGCGTACTCATTCGAGAGTCTTCTGGTCAACGAATTCGCCGATCGTCTATTTGCGTGCTCCCTCATCGTGCCTTCGGACAGCACGTCTTCGGATAGCAACTACAACTCCATTTCGATGCAGTACAGAAGCTGCGCCGTGACAGGTGCTGCCCCCGGAGCCACTGAGGTACAGGGATCGGACTATCTCGCAGAGAGCTTTGCCTACGTCAAATCCCATGAATGGAGAAATCTTGGAATCTTGTTTGCCTTTATGGCTTTCTTCGCGTTCACCTACCTTGCTTCCACTGAGTACATCTCGGAGCAGAAATCAAAGGGCGAGGTTCTCCTGTTCCGTCGAGGTCACAAGGCGTCCAACCTCGCTTTCCCAGGCAGTTCTTCTGATCTGGAGTCATCTGTTGATGCTAAGGCCTCTCGTATTGATGGTGAGAAGGTTGTAACTCCCGCGTCCGGAAATGTCGACTCCTCCGCTCCTTCAACAACAGCTCCTGCAGCGGCGGCCGCACAGATCCAGCGTCAAACTGCTATCTTCCAGTGGCAGGATGTTTGTTATGATATCAAGATCAAGGGAGAACCTAGACGTATTCTTGACCATGTCGATGGTTGGGTTAAGCCCGGTACCTGTACAGCTTTGATGGGTGTCTCTGGAGCCGGTAAAACGACCTTGCTTGATGTCCTGGCTACGCGTGTTACAATGGGTGTCGTGACTGGAGAAATGCTTGTGGATGGACGACCAAGAGACATGTCCTTCCAGCGGAAAACAGGTTATGTGCAACAGCAGGACGTTCATCTGGCTACTTCTACCGTTCGTGAAGCTCTTCAATTCAGTGCCTTGTTACGTCAACCCGCACATCTGTCTCGCAAGGAGAAACTGGACTACGTTGACGAGGTCATCCGTCTTCTCGGCATGGAGGCCTATGCTGATGCCATTGTTGGTGTGCCCGGAGAAGGATTGAACGTCGAGCAGCGTAAGCGACTGACTATTGCTGTTGAATTGGCTGCCAAGCCCCAGCTTCTTCTGTTCTTGGACGAGCCTACCTCTGGTCTCGACAGTCAGACTTCATGGTCTATTTTGGATTTGATTGATACCTTGACTCAACATGGCCAAGCGATTTTGTGTACTATTCATCAGCCCTCGGCCATGCTGTTCCAGCGATTCGATCGTCTGCTCTTCTTGGCCAGGGGCGGAAAGACAATCTACTTTGGTGAAATTGGTGAAAATTCTAATACTTTGTCGAGCTACTTTGAACGCAACGGCGCCACACCCTTGGCTGCCGGCGAGAATCCAGCAGAATGGATGCTGGAGGTCATTGGAGCAGCGCCCGGATCGCATACTGATATTGATTGGCCCAGTGTCTGGCGACAGAGTCCTGAGCACACCAAAGTCAAGGAGCATCTTGCCGAACTGAAGTCTACCCTATCGCTCAAAGAACCAGAGACCAACTCCGAGGATCCAGGAGCTTTCAGAGAATACGCCGCACCATTCTATGTTCAACTGTGGGAATGTACCCTCCGAGTATTCTCACAATACTACCGCACGCCTGTCTATATCTGGTCGAAGGTCGCACTTACTGTCTTGTCAGCCCTGTACATTGGATTTTCCTTTTTCCACGCAAAGAAATCTATCCAGGGTCTCCAGAACCAGATGTACAGTGTATTCATGTTGATGACGATTTTCGGTAACTTGTGTCAACAGATCATGCCTCTATTCGTGACTCAACGCGCTATCTACGAAGTCCGTGAACGCCCTGCCAAGGTATACTCCTGGCAAGCGTTCATGACCGCCAATATCTTCGTGGAACTGCCCTGGAACACGCTCATGTCTGTGTTCATGTTCGTTTGCTGGTACTACCCCATCGGTCTGTATGAGAACGCCAAACCCACCGACTCTGTCAACGAGCGCTCCGGCCTCATGTTCTTGTTGATTTGGGTATTCTTGCTTTTCACCTCCACGTTTGCACACATGGTCATTGCTGGAATCGAAGTTGCCGAAACTGGTGGTAACATTGCTACCTTGCTGTTCTCTCTCTGCTTGATTTTCTGCGGTGTCCTCGCCACGCCTCAAGAAATGCCCGGATTCTGGATCTTCATGTACCGCGTCTCGCCGTTTACGTACCTGGTGCAGTCCATGTTATCCACTGGTCTTTCGGGAACCACCGTCACCTGCGCAGCCAATGAGTACATCACGTTCAACCCTGCTCCTGGATTCGCGACGTGCGCGAGCTACATGCAGGACTACATCAATGCCAATGGTGGCTACTTGAAAGTTCCTGATGCCACATCGGACTGCCAGTTCTGCACTATCTCTGAGACAGACGTCTACCTAGCCTCTGTTGAGTCCTACTTTTCCCAGGCATGGCGCAACTTTGGGCTGATGTGGGTATACATTGCTTTCAACGTTGCCGGCGCCGTCTTTATCTACTGGTTGGCTCGTGTGCCCAAGGGCAAGAAGTTTTCTGGCTCGTCTTGAAAACAAAAACATTTCGCGAACAAACCTAATCTCTTAACGTGTTCTTTCTTTCTTCTTTCCCACCCCTTATTTTTCTTTCTTTGTCAAGAGGTCTCGTCCTGTTGTTTACCCGGTTTCCTCTCCATGCATCTCGACTGTACAAACACACATCAATCATTTCCATTTCTTATCCTCTCAACATACTACTTCATCCCCGGAAAGCGGAATTCATCGCGACCCTGTCCTCTCTTATTCGTTTTATATTCTTTTTTGTCTTGTCTTCGCATTGAACATAATTTTTTTATTGCTGTCAGATTTTGATGACGTGGACCTACCGGAATTAGATATATTTATTTACACAAAGGCATATAGAATATAATAAGAAATCCACTAAGAACAAGCCAATACCTAGGTGCTTACTCACCATAAGCGAAAATTGGGCATTGCTAGTTACCATTGGGGAAGAGTATACTACTGCTGCGTAATGGCTCCTGCTTGCAAGCTTGACCACACAGGAGCATATGACTTGATTATCATACGCTTCGCATTCTTGAAGTTTACTTTCTATGCGTTATTATATGTAAAGATGCAATAAGCAATTACTGTAGGTGGAAGCCTGAATGCCCTGCCACGTGATCTCGCGTGGATTTAGCCGCTAGTGAGACTAGTGGCTTGGCTCTCAACTGATGTAACAAATCCAGGATAAGCTAGGACCGAATAGGAAAGCGGTCAACCTATTAGAATGCGAGTATGGCAGCACTTCTGAGGTACTCCTGTATGTGGTAGAGGCTTGCTTCTGGTGATTTATCTTGACCCTATTCATGCTCTGGGTATGTATGGGATATAAATACATTAACCTAGTTGACTAAGTAACTTACTGGGTTGTTAACGTATTTCGCGGGTAAACGGATCACTTGTAGTTCCCATACAAAATAGCCATTTTTAACCCCCTGCAATCTCAACAAGTTCAAAAATAAACCAGGCCTAATAAGTAGAAATATTGAATAGTATTTATATACTAGTATATACGCAGCTTTACAGATCGTAAAGTAATACCGGAACCCTTTTGTATTAAAAATCACAATAATTACTAGTGTATTTATTGATATCTTCCTATATTCTATGTAAAAATTACATCATATTTGATATATAAGCTTCTTTAGATCTATTAAGTATTAAATTTCTTTTTTAGACTTACTTTAAAAATAAATCTGTTGAGACTGCAGGGGGGTAAAATGACTATTTTGTATGAGAATTAACAAGTGATCCGTTTACCCATGAAATACGTGACTTAACCAAGTATTTCTGACACGTTGATGCGTTGGCCTCTGCCACGATCTCACATGTCACAAGCTAGGCTACACAGCCTCGTGTTTGCCTGAAACTAGCTTCGAATCCCACAACCGGGAGTTTTTGATTCTGTCAATCAACTTCTGATATTCTTAATCCAGATACGAAATTGAAGACAGCTCGACTTGCTGAGCGCAGGTGTTCGATGTATACATGCCGTGGATATGCAGTGTTGGGAGCCTTGGAAGGCTTCGGGATTGGAGGGAGAACGATCTCTCAAGATTGGTACTGCGTGAGTATATCGGCACAAAAGACGCTATAATCTATATTTCCAAAAACTTTCAGTTCCTAAATGAAACCAAACAAAAACAATCAAGTGAAAAAATTAGTGTGATCAAAAATGCTCTAAGTGGAATTCCGCCGATACCTCGAAGTACGTCATGCAACGAGAAATGTTCTCAGTGCAACAATTCTTCTCAGGCCGCGAAAGGAGAAGGCCTGACTGTCTGGGGAGCGTCGTTGATGTACACTTGTGTAAGTATCCCCGTAAATTTATGAGGATCATCAATCTTCGCAAAAGCTGAAATATTCACTTGACTGCTTTACAGTGCAAGTGTTATGCCCTACCGCAGGAATACGCAGAGTCGCCGTTCTGTGCTTATTGCGGTCACCGAGTATGCGATTCTTGTACGATGGTCAAATGAACAAGTACACTGTTTGAAGTACATATGATATGTACTTATCAACTTTGAAGCTGGAAAAAAAAATTTTTTTATTTCCTTTTTTTTTCTCTCTTGTAATGCGGGATGCAGCCGGCATAAAGGTAGACCGGGCTACGCTACCTGGTCACTACGTGTGGGGGCTGTTTTCCATATCATTGTCGCAACCGAGGGTGTAAATAGGCTTGCGGATAAGGCTGGCAAATGTACCCAAACGACCTGGAGGCCGTACCGAGTTATTAATCAGGTTTTAATCGGAGTCATGTTTTCATCTTGCGCCTCTCGTGCTTATCAGAAGGAACATCTGTCGCGGTTCTCAGGCACGACTGTTTTCAAGGCCGACGACGCTTGCTGGTGCATTGAGGGAAAAGGAAGAGGAAAAAGAAAAGAGAAGGCAGTGAAGACCATCAGGCTTTGCCCCTGAAATAGAAGTTGGCACAGCCTTGTGATTGAATGCCCCAACAATAGAGACTGTCACACCGCCAATTATGTTCTTCACTAGAGAGAGAGTTGAAAGCGTCTTGTCATTTTTCTCTAAAAGAATGAGTGACCCCCATTTGAACACCCAAAAGCCAGGCTTCGTGCAATGCTTTGAGCGCGATTCCTTTCATTTTTTTTTATCTATATCTTCTAGCCATTTCAAAACAATTACTCAACTAAGCATCCATGGACCGGATTCAACATCATACGAATAGTGATAACACACCTCTGAACAAAGTGGCGTGGAAAGCACCTACAACTCGACAGCCACATCTATATATTCACCAAGATGATTCGCTGCCTGTTAAAGACGGAGAAACTGTCATTGATGCATTTTTGAATTACTATAAAAGCGAATTGGAGCCACCCCAGAGTTTTAAAAACTTACGAAACTTCTTGGAAAGATCAGGGGCTCGCTCCATACGTGATGTTGAAGCTGACACTACTAGCCAAAACAAGATACCAGTTATTGTGGATGATCGATGTGATCCTTGCATCAATCTAAATGTTCCGGAGAATACGACGAGCATTGTACTGCGGTCGTGGGACTCTTAACACACACAATCAGTGTTCACCTAAAGGAGAGAATGTTGAAGTATACGGGGCCGATGTGAAAACCTTGTTTCGGCGTTTCAGGAAACCGGTATGTTTGAGATTTCCGTACTCTCCTTGTATTGCCTTGTTTTACCTTATTTATATATTTTCTTGCCAGCTTGATCTAACAATGGTAAAGCGAAAACAGAACTCAGAGCGCAGGATAGTGTACGTCAATTATTCGCCGTAAAGACCGAAAACCCTAACGTGCACCAGGTACGTAGCAGATCTGACACCACAGATCGCATTGGCTCTGATATGCAACGTATCACATCTACACCTTCCGAATTTTCGATCATTCTTATCAAGACATATTCAATTTCAGGCCTACATGAATGTGTCCCAAGTACGTACTCCGAGAGCTGCAGAAGTGCACGAGAACTGACCGAAATAGAGGCAAGAGTTTGTCTTAGAATTTCATCTACCGCATTACGTTCTTCGGTCAGATAGTGTAAGGTATTCCGATCCCAGGAGGCTTAGGGTTGCTCGGTATTTTCGACCGCCCAACTCGAGCGTGCAAGATTGCATCTATGAATCCCAATTCTCCCTGATAATATGTGTCATGGACGATTTCTTCTGGACAGCTTATTTCTGTGCAGATGGCTATTATGCAGAGCGCGATACAGTTGACGAATACCTCAAAGAGGGACTGGATGGCCCGTCTGGGGGTCAAAGGCCATGTGATATGCCGATTTGGGATCCAAGATATTATTTTCTGGCCGTGTTGGCTATACGGATAAGCCAAGTTACGGCAGAGTGGACAGTGTTGGTTCAAGCCCTGGAGGACTATTTGGATCCGCATGTAAGCGAACTTTTCTTATATTAAGATGAAGTTTGGCTTATTAGCCTACGCCTATTATCTATATATATTGCCTTCTATGTTTCACTTTACTTACCTTCTGAGCCTGAGTCGCCACAAACTGCAATGCAGGGCGAGATCAATCAAAGTTCTCTACCTGCTTTTCTCGAAGATGATCCGAATTTAGAGAGAACCAAGGAATACACTTGGATTCTGGGAATCCTGAGACGGCTTGAGAATTCACTGGCGAAACTACTTGCTACATGGAATGCTTTTGAGATGAACCATAGAATTTATTTTGACTTGGATAAGTCCGGTATCTTGTACGATAATTTTCGGCAACGTTTCTATCACATTCAAGAGCGAACGGATGAGCTGCAAGCTTTGCATATGGTCATGGAGCAAAGAATAGAGACCTTGGAGAAACTTTCGAGCACCGTGAGTACCTCGCACTGATTGTATGTGGCTTAGGTTCACAGAACTAACGACTCATAGCTTGTCAATGCATCCTCTCTTGCTGAGAGCATAACTGCAACTCGTCAGGGAGACAATATCCAGCTTCTCACCCGCATAACAATTGTAAGATCACTAATCTCCTACCTGGTAGTCAACTATATTGCTGGTGTTAATCAATGCGTCTTAGATATATCTTCCTCTGACCTTCGTCACGGTTTGTCACAACATCGAAAGAATATAACACTTTGAAAAGAACTAACTATGAAATAGGCAGTATTTAGCATGAATCAAGTTCCGGACGATGTTTCTTGGTGGAGTTACTGGGTATCACTAGTATTCTTAACGACTTTAACAGTCTTCGTTGCCTTTGGGTTCCCATCACTTCCGCTCGTGCGGATGGGGACATAGGGAACTCTTTAAGATTCCTTTTGAAGGAGATGTTAAAGATACTTCTACAGAAAAGGCTATAGGCTATAGGATACTGGATGCTTATGAATTGTAATAGAGGGAAAGAAAAAAGGCTTAAACTATCTCACTTGCATGTAAACAGCATGCCTAGTTTGTATAGCTGTCCATTCAAGGACAGCACCATTTAATATTTGTTAGGAAATCGTATGGAATTTACTGTGTGAATGTCTTTCTCGCTCGCGTATCATTTTTGAGGATGGCATGATTTTCATCATGACTTGGTGAATTCTAAAGAACAAAGGATTGAGTTCAAGGAGGATTTTTGAGTTAGAAAAAAGAAAGGAAAGGAAAGAAAAGAAAAGGAAAGAAAAGGGAAAAAAAAAGAAAAGGGAAAAAAAAAAAAGAAAAGGAAAAAAACCGCCCTTAAATGATATCTCTAATTTAACCTAACCCCTAAGTTACCTACAGTCGGTGGTAGATTCCCCATGGCAATATCGGGTATCGCCACTCCTTTATAGGATTGCAGAAGCTATTCTTGCTACTTTGCTTTGAGGGCAATTATGACTTTTCTAGGTTGTAAACCAGGCCTTAAAAGGGTTTTGAATACCGATTTAGACGTGCCTGCCTTTAGCGCTTTGGTCATGGTTTCCCTTGCCGTATGCTATCCACTGACGAAGATGCTCTTCAAGCCCTGAGCTTCAAACAACCCTTGCCATCCCAATATCTCAACTGAGAATATATATATAAATATGAAAAATGAAGCCTAGTCTCATATGCACATATACTTGGTAGATTTTCAAACTAGTCTTTAAAATACTCGATCGTCATGCCCCTCTTCTAAACGGATGTGCTTCTGTATTTAAGACGTACTCGTCTAAACTGACCAGATCAGGCTCACTGAACAGTAGGTAGAAATACTTCAGCGTTTCCGCTAGCCAAAAGCTCTCCATTGAATCTGTCTTGCCTGGAGTCGGATCCATCACATCGTCTAGTCTTGCGTGTGCAATGTCCGTTCTTGAGTGTTTCTCTATAGCCTCAAACATCCTCCACCCTTTCTCCTGCCATGACGGATCACCCGTGCGACGGTACATCACAAATACAGATTCAATCGCTTCCGGACGGAGTTGATAAGATCGATCATCGACACGCGTAAATCCGTCGCCTTGACCCTTCCATGTGCAAGAACTAAGGTCCGCGCATTGCTCGACGTGGAAGATTTCCGGCATGATTCCTGACGGTGTATTCTCATAGGCCCAGACACAGCCATTTGTCAGATTTATGGCGGTTTCTAGTTCTGTTGGAGAGTTGCTGATCTTCGCTCCCAATCCTACCATCCCGCCAACGAAGCAGCTAAGATGTTGGATTTGGGTATCGAGGCGTGCAGAGCCGGAATTTGCATTGGCATTGCCAGAGTACAGAATATCTGGTTCTCCGGGAAGGGAAGGACGGAAGAAAAGATGTTTGCTGAAGGAGGGGAGAGCGATGCGGTACATTTCGAGGTACTGCTGCGCGGCAGAAGAGAATGAAGGTAGAATAAGATGTGTCTTGGGCAGGTACTCGTAAAGAGAGTCTGTGGAGAATTAATACATTGCGAAGAAGAAGAAGAAGACAAAAAGAAAAAAAAAAGAGAGAGAGACTTACCAGCAAAAGCACCGAGTGTAAAATCACGACTCGAGAAGGACAATCTCTCACCCTTACAATCTGCATACGATGGCTAGATACCGGGCAAGGCATTACTATTCTGCGTTTGCGCTAATTGGTCTGTGATCTTCTGGATCGCATCAGCGTACTTCGCGTCTCCAGTAACCTGGCTAAGCCGGATGAACTCCAGGCTCAAACTTCCAATCTGGGCGAGCACCACCCCATTTTCGCTTGCTATTTTCCCCGTCTCGACCCTCTCCCACCAATATTAGGGAGTGGGAATCCCATTTTCGGTGTTAAACGCCCCGTAAAGAAAGTCGCCCAACTGCTTCGCTTTCCGGAGGAGTATTGGGTACCTGTGCCCGCTGATATCCCATGCGCCAAGTAGTCCACCCAAGTATCGGATGGTGACTTCAAAGGCAGGCACCCGCTCTGCATTCGGCTTTGAGAAATTGATCTGCTCTATCGCTTCAAGTGCACCGTCAAACTCATCCTTGAATCCCATTATCCATAATGTGTCCAAACTATCCACCAATGTTGCGGCCCATCCAACAAAGGGGTCTTTGTACCCGCCAGAGACCGGCAAGAGTTCATCGTGTAGCCATGCCTTCTGTTTGTACCCTGTCCAAGCATGCTGAAAAGCGCTCTTTACTGCAGTACGTCGTTGTAATCGCACAGACTCTGCGGTTTGGGACTCGGGCCGGAAGGGGGCTTGTATTCGGTATCGACCGACACTGCTCTCGCTTCTGTGGCTATGGAAACTAAAGAGAATGAAGGATAAGACGACAGCCGCAATGACGATAAATCGCATGCGTTTCTGGCCCAAAGAAGAAGATGAGAATGATGGGTGGTTGAGGGCTGCTCTCAGTCGTCCTCGAGCGCGCTGTAACACTTCGACATGCGGCATTGTAAAAGAAAGAAGTATGATATGTTCGGTCATGAAGGTGATTTGAAGGATGCCATCGATATCTTATTTCGCGCTGATTGAGGCGAGTTTCATTCGACTTTCCTGTTTAGGCAAGTCTAAGACGAAACGAAGACATGATCAATTTGACCAATAGGAACGCATCGTGGCCCGGACGACTAGGGCCTTATATAGCTACAGCCTACATGCGTGGAATGGTGGGGTGAAAGTATCTCTAAATAGTACTAACTACTAATTAAAGTAACATCCCACTGCACGCTAAAATTCACAGGCCCAAAATATCAATACAGTTATCCCCCACCGCTCTGCGGCTCCCCCCAGCGGGCCCAGCCGAGATACTTTCGGGGAGCCGCAGAGCGGTGGGGCAAGTATTATTATGCTACGAGAGAGATTTACCCAACCCACGCTCAACTTGAGTACGTAGTTTAATAGCGTACTTTTGATGAGTAAAAATCACCCATGTCGTTCCTCTTTCAAACATACGTGGGATGCCAATTACCTCCGTGCTCTACTGAAGTTTCACGTCGTACCTCAACATACTATCCTGTCAGATGCCTATCACACAAACACGGGTCTATCGCACTGGCAACCAGTGAAGCAAAATCTATAGGTAAAATGCCAAATACTAAGCCTGATGCCCGCAAAACTCCCCGAGATATCATACAGTTCAACCGGAATTCGGCGTTGAATGACCTTGTTATTGTGCATGGAGTGTTGCCACCTCGTCACCCTATTGAATGCAACTCACGAACGTCTTCTACACATTTCAAGACTTGTTCAGAAAACTAACCAGCATCGACTCGACCTTGACAGTTAACAATCGAAATCTATCAATGATATGACCAAACCGTTCGTAGCTTTCCATCGCTCCGCGCACGAATTTGCCATACATTTCTTCGCGAGACTCGTTACTGTGCCATGATATAACAGCTGTGAATCGCATCACCTTCGTCCCATTGTCGTCGAGTACACTGGACTCGTCATCCCAACCGCCTCCGCAGGCGTGGCCGGCACGAGGTATCCCGCCGAGCATGGGTGGGAACATGGCTCTATATGTATGTACGACATTTGATCAATATGCCCTACTGTCATAGCGCTGGGAGGGGAGATAATAGTGTAACGTACGTTGAAAAGTCCCGGTAAAGCAGCTTGAACAACTCCCTGTCGAAGAGTTCTTGAGGAACGTAGAAAGAGATTATCTCTACTGGTCCTATGTATGGGCAACGGCCGTGAAAGGCCTGTTGGGATGAGTATGTGATAGCGTAGTAAAACGTATCTGCGAAGGTTTGAATGGTCTCTCGTAGATACTGGAGCCCTTGACTTCGAGATTTTTTGGTTCGGGGTTGATTGTGGTGAGGAGGGAATTGCCAAACTTTTTTATAGTCAGTATACCTTAGAAGGACAGGGTGAGGATAGATTTGTATCTCACAAAAAACAAATGCAATATGATCAGGCCGCTCGTCATCGTAAAACTTGTAAAGACTTCCCTCTAGATATTCTTCGATATCTTGTTTGATTTTTCGCCTCCCCGGTCGTGAGCGGTATCGTTGATGGTTGATTTCAGCCATAACAGATCGAAGGATATGAGTTCATCTTCGATTTGAGTTGAAGGTATTGAATACTGACTGATTGTGCCCATCTTTGATGGATTGGCCCTGAGGGGAGGAAAGGAGTATGTACCGCCGCTTGCTGTCCGTGCGTTGTGGTGGTTTTCGACTGTGGTCCAAGATAAATTTCTATATGTTCGAGGGATAGGGGTTGATATACTGGTTTCCATCGTCAGACGGCCAGACAGTTTTGGCACAATGTTACTGGCGTCGTCATGGGTTGTCGATATGTCTTCTCTTCTCAGGGTCAGGGTTAACTCGGAGTTTACTCCAGTAGTAACGGATGAAAGGGTTGCCACCCTGTTTCTCAAAGTCTCCGACACCCTCGAGGCTACTGGTTCCCTCCAAAACAGCAGTCCTAGGAAGAAGAAAGGCTGAGATTCGACGAGCGCTTGTCCAGCCGCTGTCGTTCCATATTCGCTGTCACGCTGCACCCAGCCACCGCAGACCATCAAATTATCATCATTGCTATCCCTTTTAACTTCGCCACAAAAGTCATCCCAGGCCTTTGAAAACTGCTCCCTTGCCTCAACTGAGCCATTTGCCGCAAACTGAAACGAGACCAGCTCGCACGTATACTCCGTAGTCGATGATGATAAGGACGGCAAACTAAGCGAAATACACCGATTGAAGCAATTTAGCCTCAGCAATCCAATCATCAATCCGAAGCCGAAAGATTGTTGAAACGTCTTTAATGCCAGCGCGGACTTCCATTGAAGCAGAACGATTATCCTTTCTGGCCGGTCGTGCAACGGCGCCCAATAGATAGCCTTACAGTCCGGGATAGAACGCACATATTCCAAAGAAGCAGCCCAAAGAGAAGAAGCGAGGCTGTGCTGGAGGATGTTTAAGCCAGGACGTAAGCTCAGCTGGATGACGCTGACCATAGGCCCCGGAGAGAAATCATGGTTGCATGCGGTCCTGCCCCAGGGTATTCCGTCGATATAGGGTACTAGTCTAGGTTCTGGAGGTTCAGGTACTGCAGAATCCAGTCTTATCTCATTTCTCTGCATGTCATGGATTATTTGTGGTGGTTTGATGCTTGCTATTACTCGGACTCGCAACGGTGTGACGCTATAGACATAACTGAAGAATGACTAGGCTGTAAATTAATCGTTCACGTTATTCCATTCGTTGAGGCTGCAGGAATAGCTTGCTCCAGTGTTGTCTTAAAGCTTTGTCGAGACTGTCGAGATTTGCCTGAACGTATGGAAATACGATGAACTAAACAAAGCGATCCCTACTAGCTAGTCTACTACTGTACTAGTTTATCCTAGTTAACTAGTGCCAATTAGTCTTGTCTACAGTGTGCAACCTCAACGCTCACAGGAACCAACAATACCAGGTATTCAGTACTTGGTATTTACCCTGGTTTACACTGGATTAATACGCTAATGCAGGCTGAAAGTCGAAAATGTGTGGATACAACTAGCTCAAGATTCTCTCTTTTTACGACGTATACTACGTACTTATTGGATTGTTTTTTTTAGCTTACTGTAGAGAGAGAGTAGAGCATTGTATTGGTCATAGTAGACATATGCCTACTTTCAAATCGCCCCCATATTACAGGCTTATTTCCGTTCTTCTTCTCCTTCTTCTAGTATACTTCAAGCCACAAAATATCGTCAGGTCCAGGCATACGTACGAACCAAGATGAAATTCCCATCGAACCTCTCCAGAGGGTTCATTGTTTTATGTTGTTTAGATGTGGGTTTAGCAGCTCCGTGGCGAGCAATTGGGAACAATACTCTTGATGATGGCCTCCAAAAGCGAGATTCCTCATCCTTCTGTTCTGGGGCAGAAGAAAGTGTACTGCAAGGTGCATTAGGAGAGGTTAGGGACATGGTAACTTCCTTTTTTTCTCTTATACGCTGTACAATTTGGCTAAAAAAAGACCTCCATCGTGAAAAGGTAGCAGCAACTTTTTCAAGAACATCAGATCTAAAGACATTTCTCAGCAATGCACAGTCCCAGCATAACCCTCAAATAAACTCTGATACGCTGCGGTCAACAATGAGAACTTTCGAATCGATTTTCGGACAGGTCTATTATGGCTTCAGCAACCTCGCAGCCAACGAAGCAGGTTTGCAGAGAGTACAGCAAATATATAGTATGGCTGAATCTATACTATTCTTCTTTCGAGTGGCATCTAAGCTGACTGCAACCAGCACAAACATGGGCTCTATTACAAGCGCTCACTAATCTCAACAACGTGAATATCCAATTCTTCTGTGACGATCCTTGGCTAAAGGACACTGATCCCGACGGCGACGTTTTGACATGTATATTCTTTCCTCTTCTTATTTCCTCTTTCTTCCCTTGAAGACAAAGCTACGACTAGGGCTAATGGATGAGAACAGCGTCGGGACATTGGTATTGGGATGGACGACCTGTCGGCTCAACTGATGGCTGGGTTGATCTGTCCACCACTAATGCTTGCCGCAACAACGCGAATCTGGCTGGCTTTACTTACCCGAATTTGAACGGATATGATGTTGTAACGATGTGTCAGCGGAGGATGTCCGGATGGGTAGACTCCTGGAATTCGGGCATCACGCTTACGAGTTTGAGGCTCCAGGGTGCTCAGCCGACAAGTTTCTACTCGCTGGACGACTACCGGCCATTGATTTCCGTCACATTGTTGCATGAGTTGACACATTGTGCAGGTATATTCACATCGTCCTACGGGTTTTTCAGTAAGTAAACATTGCCAGGAAAAAAAAAAAAAAAAGACAAGTACCAAATACATGCTGATATGCCTTTCCTTTCCATAGAGGACTCGCAGTGTGACATGGGAGGCACTTCGTTAACAGCGTATGGTTGGAACTGTATTTCAAAGATGGGGCAAGATTCATCCTCTGAAGCGGCACTGAACAATGCTGGTAGGCTCTATTACCTCTCTCCTGCATCTGCGTGAACATACTAACTGCTTTCTTTACCTATCACCTCTAGATTCATATGCCTATTATGCTGTTGGTTAGTGGATCCTCAACGACCAATACATGTTGTGATTATTTTTTCTTTTTGAATGGAGCTAATGTCCGTATCGATAGCCATGTACCTTTTCAAAAACGATTGGCATACAGGACTTGCTCAGCCATTGAGCTAAGGATGCAAGGTGAGATGACTGGAATAAGTTGTAATCTTCCTTGGGAACAAGAAACAAGTTAGCTACTATACTGGCAATATAGCAAGACCATCTGTTGCCACTCGTGTACTCGTAGCTATCACCCTAGCTTCCGCATGCACATACTCAGAAGTTATCTAGCACTCCTTTTTTTTCCCCTAGGTTTCTTAGTATATTCGTCAGTACAAGTAAGTAAATAATCAATTCCGGGAGACAGATGTATGGGCTCTACTTGGTAAACAGGACCCTCATGAAAAGCTGGGTCGGTTTTGTTAACTAGAGCCCGCAAGTTATGATTACTTTTTCCAGTGCTGATCATGTAGTGACTCGCCCCATTAGTACGAGCTTGGTTACATTTGCACCATATAGTCTGTGGTGCTCTGCATATGCTTCTTTGGCCAATCCCAAAATTCCGCTGGATGTTTGTATAGCCTCGAGCTGAAATTTTCTTTCCTAACGCTTCCCCCCTCCGCCGTCATGCATATGTTATCACCGCTACCATTGCTTAGTTTCGCTAGTCTTGGTTGTGCGCACCCTATGAAGTAGTGTACTACTAATCTATTCAGGATGATCCCTCAATATTGCGATTCAAAGTCGTTTTTGGAGTTTCTTTTGCTGCCTTTGCTTCTCGATTGGACTTGGAGAGAGGATGCGGAGTTCATTCGGTTAATCTTCAATGCTACATCATGCTCCTGTCGCGCGATGGCATTGGATGGGTTCACTTGATCGTCCTGTAATAGACTAGTTCTATCACTGTCTTGTATTGAATCTTTCAGGCCTCTTACCTGACCGGAAAGATCGGGAGAGAATGTTGACCGAGAAATGGCTTCAATACGAGGGACGACGAGGCTGTTCCCCTCTTTGTTGCAGTACCTAGGTACTAGTGGGCTTATCAAGAAGCAGGAAGAGGGCGGTCGTCTTATTTGCACTATGCTGGAAGACAAATAACTACGTAGTTGCTGGGAAATATATGTGACCAAGTACGTCCATACATTCTCCTCCATATTTCCAAGAGCTCTACTCACTTTTCTATATCAAGGAGAATTGCTACAAAATGCATGTAAGCTCCAATGCTATGCTAGTGGTTATATACCTTGCTCTTGTGGGAATCGGGGCTGCATTCGATATATCGGCTCTTCCTTTAGATCTCCAAGAATATTTGGCTATACATCCCATACAGATTTCGCAAATAGCCTCCTCGAACTCTGCTACTGAACTATTCAGCAACACAACTTTCGGAAACTCCCAATCGAGTTTTGCGAAATATGATTCTATTCGGAATATATGCCCACAGAACTGTGACGAGACGGGCAGTGAGCCTGTTTCCTGGACAGCCTACCACAAGGGAGCAAACATTTTATCCAAATGCAATGAGACCATGCTACTAGACTTTGTCCTCTATACGCCCCTCGACGACCCAAGCAAACAAACCAGTATCCGCTCTTGTGCAGCAAACTTTGATGGCTCTAATAAGAGGTTAAACTATTCCTGCCCCTCTTCTTCTTACTCCTCGAGTCATACATCGTCAATATATGATGGTTCGATGCAACTTGCTTGGACAGGACCGAATAACTCCACTTTCTCTCCAAATGCTGTGGCTGCAGTCCAACAGATTGAACGGTATCTATCCCAACCATCTGCTTCATGTGGCGAGGAGGCTATTAGCTTCGCAGTGTCCGGAAATGTTGTTATCGGGCTATATGCAGGTTCTGGAATCCGCTCACAGAATCTTGTGACTCCGATTTTGGAGCAGTTAATCCAAAGAATCGAGACCAATGGCCTACCCGAAACCCTTGTGGCGCAGTTATGCGCTACGAAGGGCCAGAGCTCTAGGTATGCTATTGGCATTGTTGCTAATGCAAATGCAGACCTTGCAACGGCACAGGCGAGTGTGCAGGCATGGAGAAACGGTAGCTGCATTGCTGGGCAAGATGAAGAGATGGCGTGGCAGAGGATCCAATATTCAGCGCCAACAAATACGCTGTTATACAGCCTAATTAATACTATAGTTGGGTATAATGGTGGATTGACATATGATTGTCTCACTGCCCTGGAAGTAATCACGCATTAGCGTTATCCACCACACAATCCCTGCATCACGCCTTCTCATCCATGCTCACTAAAGAAGCACCACGAAATGTGCCTTGTCTGTCGGTTCTCTCTATTGCACAGTCATCTCAATTTTACACATAAATTAAGGAAATCTCTTCAAATTAATAAACTGTCTATCCAAATCTCACCAGAACATCAGCGTGACAGAAATTGGATTTCATCATGTACCTCCTACTGCAGCTCGTTTCCACGATAGGCTCTGGTCTGTTTCTACTGTTACTCCCTTTTCGTCTATCAAAGTTATACACAGAGACAGTCAAGGTCATTCCAGATTATCGTCGCTATGTGAAAATAGTATGTGATGTATGATGTTATCGAACGACTTGGCTGATCATAGACATAGGCAATCGCTTTGGCACTGTTGATGATACAATCGTGGATGCTGGCTACCGCGCCATTACCCACCTATGGAGTCGACATTAGATTTCTGTCCATAATCACATCCTTCATCTCATACCTATTTTTATGTCCATTGCTGTTCCTGGAGCACACCCGGTCTGTCAAGCCATCAGATCTCGCGGTCGTCTACCTGATCGCGTCCCTGGCGTGTGACGCTGCTCAGTTGGGAAAAACCAAGTATGAAGATGCTAGCTCGCAAACGGTTTTTGTCGTGATGGCCAAAATTTGTATTGAATGTACTATACTGATTGTGGAAAGCCGAGCGAAAAATAACATACTAAAACTTCAATATAGCAAACTGCCCCCGGAGCAGTTGGCTGGAGTTTTGAGCCGAGCGTTCTTCTGGTGGATCAACTCAATTCTAGCCAAAGGGAGCCACGAAATCCTCACTGCGGACAGCCTTCCGCCGATTGACCGCAAGCTTTCTTCAGAGCTACTACGGCGCCGGGCCCTGAGAGCTTGGGATCGGAGACGTAAGTCTAATTCGCTGGGTGAGGCTAACATGTCATCACTAACACCTTCTTCATTAAGACAAGCCAGAGAAGAAGATGACATTGCCAAAGGTCTTGGCCAGAGGCCTACTCTCTCCTTTTCTTGCACCAATCTTGCCGCGGCTCTCTTTAATCGTTTTTCGCTATGCTCAACCGGTACTTATTAGTATCACCATTCGGCATATGAGCACGTCGTCAGATGGAGATTTTTATTCAGCCTATGCGATAATCTTAATGTCTCTCGCCGTTTATGTCGGTTTGACGGTAAGTGACCTAGGTATTTGTGCGTGTTCGAGGACTAAGCAGCATAGCAGATCTCCAAAGCAAAGTATCAACACCGTTTGAACCGACTCAAAGTAATGATCAGGGGCGCTGTTGTCGGTCTAATCAATGCTAAGACTTTGGACCAGAAATCTGACGTCTATGATGATGGACGAGCCGTGACTCTGATTGGCACTGATGCAGAGAGCGTGGGAGATAGTGCAGAGATGTTCCACGAAACATGGGCACAGGCTGTCGAAGTCGTTCTGGGCATACTGATGTTGGCGTGGGAGGTTGGTTGGGTGTCTCCAGTACCGCTTGTGATCATTTTCTGTAAGTTGTCAGTGGCCACTCATTCAACCAAGTTACTGATAACCGTTGGAGTATGCTCACAAGTGAGTAAATATCTGGCGAAGAACCTACAGAAAAAGCAAAGAAACTGGAATATGGCCACGCAAAAACGCCTTGCCATGGTCACCTCAATGCTTACCTCGATGAAAAGTTTGAAAATGTTAGGGCTGACGACATATACAGAGCCTCTAATCCACTCTTTGCGCTCTCAGGAGCTATCTAGGTCCAAGGAGGTACGGTGGATGGCGGTCGCTCATAATGCAAGTGGTATGTCAGCTGTAGAATTACTTCTCGTAACGTGTTGGCTAACTGCTGTAGCAAATGCTCTTGGTATCTTTTCTCCTATTGTTACATTTGTGCTCTTCGTCGTTCTGGCACATTGGCGCGGGATCGAGCTCGATACCGAGACTGCATTCACCACTACCGCCCTGCTTGGACTGGTGACGCACCCCGCAAATATGATAATGACAATCATTCCGCAAGCAGTAGGCTCACTAGCGGCTTTTGACAGAATTGAGCAGTATCTTCTTCAGCCGGCTAGATGTGATCAGCGATCACTGTTGAAGAACGACGAAAACCATCCCAACAAGACCTCACCTGCAGTTTGCATCACAGGAGTTACCATCCATAAGAATGACTCGTCTACATTCCCGATTCTTAGAGATATCAACCTCAGTATTCCCAAAGGATCAATTGTTGTCTGCTCCGGACCCGTTGGAAGCGGTAAAACGACCCTTGCTAAAGCCATCATAGGCGAAGTCACTACAACGGCTGGAACAATATCCGTGTCTTCGAAGCGTATAGCCTACTGCGAACAGGTACCTTGGTTGCCAAGTGGAACCCTTAAACAGGCTATATGTGGCTTCTCGCCTAAAGATCAACATTGGTATGAAGAAGTCGTGCGGGTGTGCTGCTTAGAGGATGACCTTGGTATGCTGCCTCATGGGGATCACACTATAATTGGAAGTCGCGGTTTAAACCTTTCTGGTGGACAAAGACAGCGCGTAGTACGTCTAGGAAACCCCTCCTCGTTCGTGCACAGCTGGTATTTATGGTTTGGTCAACTGACAAACCCACAGGCTCTCGCCCGTGCCGTATATGCCCGTTACGAGATCGTTCTTTTGGATGATAGCCTGAGCGCTCTCGACAGCCAAACAGAAAGTCGCATCGTAGACAACCTTCTAGGCCCAAAGGGTCTGTTCAGAAAGATGGGAACAACGGTCTTTCTCATCAGCAACTCTGGTATGTTCAGGACGTGATAACACCAAGGGATTAAAATTGCTCATGTTTCACAGCTACATACGTTTCTTTGGCAGATTGGACCGTCATCCTCGGAGATGCTTCTATTGAATACCAGGGAACATGGGCTGAATTGACAGGAAAGCCTGAGGACATCATAAAATGGCATGTTGCTGAGACTCATAGAAATATTGCTGAGGAGAATCGTTCCGTGAATTGGGATACACCGAATCAGAGGCTGACGATGGATGAGGCAATCTCCGACCTTAGCCGGGCAACAGGAGATATCTCACTTTACGGTAAAACACTTAAACTGACATAACACCTTGTGAATTGTTTTTTACTAATCTTAGTAACGGACAGGATATTATCTTCAGGCAGTGGGCTGGCGCAACCTTTGTATCCTTCTCGTTTGCACATCGTCATACTCATTTTTCTCAACATTTCCCCAGTACTGGCTACAAAAATGGACCGAGGCGCCAGCTTCCCAGACAATGTTTTATGTCGGAGGCTATCTCATCTTATCTCTTATGGCGTGGACTTTCACAAATGGTTCGATGTGGTTAGTCTTGCACGAATTCTTTAGTAATCATGGCTACTAAAATTGAGAAAGGTCAACGTACATCTTGATTGCACCCAATTCAGGGGCTGAATTGCACCGGCGCCTTTTGTTAACTATCATGAAGTAAGTATAAATATCTTTATCCATCGATGAAATGATTCTAACTCAAGAAAAGTGCCTCGTTGTCTTATTTCTCGGGTACCGACGTGGGAGTGATACTAAATCGGTTAGTATGTCCACTTATGATGATTTCGAGTGATATGCACCGACTGGTTTTTTACAGATTTAGTCAAGATATGCAATTGATCGACAGACGATTGCCACCGGCCCTATTGTCTATGTCTAATCGTAAGTTCTGCCAAGACTTGCTTGGTAAGGTAGTTTAGCTCATGAAAACAGAGGTTTGTAAGCTGCTTGTGCAAGCTGGCATACTACTCAGTGCCCAGAAATACCTATCGTTGACCTTCCCACTTTGCATAATGGCGGTGTACTTTGTACAAAGGATATACCTGCGAACATCGCGGCAGTTGCGGTTGCTTGATCTCGAATCTCAATCGGGAGTGTACTCGAGCTTTCTAGAATCAGTACCAGATTTCCACATTCATATGAACGTGTCATTTTCTGACCACAGCATAGGTTGAAGGTATCACGACGATCCGGGCTTTTGGATGGGTGAGATCAATCGAAAAAGCAAATATCAAGTCATTGGACATATCACAGCAGCCTTCATATATTTTGTTTTGCCTCCAGCAATGGCTGAATATTGCTCTTGATTTAGTAGTCGCAGTTATAGCGACATGTTTGATTACTCTTGCTGTTTTGCAAAGGGGTGGGACTACGGCGGCACAGATTGGAATGGCGTTGAACATTGTTCTAGTTACAAATGGTACCCTCATTAACCTGGTGAGATCATGGACAAGCCTGGAAATATCTCTAGGTGCCATGTATGTTTTTCTTTCTCTCCATTTGATCCGATTCTCTACTACTTCCCCTTTGTCGATTTACTGCAAATTTCATTTTGTGAAACTAGCTGCTAATTATCCTCCAGATCCCGTTTGAAGAATCTAGAAGCCGATACACCCACAGAAGAATTACCTTCGGAAAGCTATATACCCGTCAACACTTGGCCATCATCAGGAGTCCTTGAGGTTGAAAATATTACCGTGGAGTATAAGTAAGGCCACATGTATCACTGTGGGAATCGCTGTGACGACTAACTTCTCTATTCAGTTCGGGTGCAATAGCTCTACAGGATGTCAACATGACAATATCCGCTGGCCAACAAGTCATTGTTTGTGGTCGCACAGGCAGGTGTGTGGTTTTCTATACTTTCTATTTCCTCATTAACTTCCGCAATACCCTAACCAGTTTAAAGCGGAAAAAGCACTCTGTTTCTCGCCTTTTTACGCCTATTAAACCTCAATTCTGGCGTCATCAAAATCGATGGGATTGATATAAGTACTCTCCCGCAGTCATTAATAAGACAAAGATGCTTCATCACAGTTCCCCAAGATCCTTTTCTGTTGCCTCAAGCCAGTCTGCGCTTTAATCTCGATGTAAGAAAGCCTTCCATCTTTGTCACTTTATACATGGGTCATTGAGTGTTCAAGAACTGACAATTCTTTCATGACCAGCCAGCTGGTTTTCTCTCCGATGATAATATTGTTGCAGCTCTTGAAAAAACCCGCCTATGGTCACATTTTAATTTGAGCGATTCCACAACCAGCAGTTCAACTCCCCAAGCATGCGAGATCCTAGATAGCCCAGTTATCTCCTTGCCACAGATGTCTACAGGTCAGGCGCAAATGTTTGCACTGGCTCAAGCCATTCTCAAACGCCAGGGCTTGAATGGACTCTCGACTACAGAGAATGCACAATTTGGACATCCGAATTTGATGCCGATTATACTTCTTGACGAGGCTACTTCTTCGCTTGACCCGGAAACAGAAGCTGTTATGTATCGCATCATACACGAAGAGTTTACGGAGAAAGGGCACACGATTATCGCCATTACACATCGACTAGGAGGCGTGATTGAAGGCCTGCGGGTGGGGCGGGATATGATTGTCTCGTTGGCCAAGGGAAGGGTCGAAAGAATTACCGGAGTAGAGGGTACGTGTGACGGTTAGGGCTCCACGATGTCGAGACCATCTCCCGTGTTTTGTCATTCTGCTATTTGCAAGATTATAGTAGAGTTGTTTGCACATCAAGAACAGCCGAGCAGCGGGTCTTACTTCAAGGCCGGAATCTTATAACTAATACATCCAAATAGGTAAAATATAAATCGACATACTATCCATTTGAACATGTTGCCCGCCTCAGTCAGAGAAACGAGTTGCCAAAGATAACCTATAGAAGCAAGAACATGTGTAGTACCGAGTACATCAAGAGCGAGACCGCATTTATCAACCAATACAAGAACTTGAAATTTTAAAGCCCAGTTCAATGCAAATCTGACTCAGCTCCCTCCGACGACGAGAACGACGCAGACTGTTTTTGCGTTTGCTTTGCAATTTCGCCCATACATAAAGTAGATTTCCCACAAACCCAAAGCTATAGGTGCATAATAGTCAAGAATCGTGAGCGTATCAGTGTTCGAAAGTAAAGTGCAAAAGGGCTTAATCTAGTTGTATTTCAGTTGTTTGAGTTGTTTTATGATAGGAAACAGAGCTTTTGCTAGACCATATATACCTAGCACTGCTTCTATCATATGTTCCTTCTAATTGACTGATATTATGTCCTGAAGTATATTATAGTTCATATTATGCTTCTCTGCATATTTATAAAGTTTTCTCTGTGAGTTGACTTCTTAATTATCCTGTATGTATTATAAGTTGTCTTTTAAGAAGTCTGCATTTGGGTACTCTTTATAATATTTATTACTTTTCTACTATGATTCTAGTATAAAAACAAACAGATCCATGGCGTCCGCGTCTTGGTCTGGCTATGATACTTAGTTGAATGAAGCTATAGTCATTTCAGCAATCAAATACGAATAATCGCGATTAAGAAATTTTAATAGGGATACCTGGTCCTTTACCAATCTTAGAAACTAGTGGACATCTTTGTTGTCTGTTGATGGCTGTATCTTGAGACTGGCGAGGTTATGTTATGAAGGCTTTGTCCCGTCTCTGAGACTAGTAGATTCTATATAGTATGGAGGTCTCTTGATTGTATTCATTATAGAATATATTTTAATGGCAGTGCCATCTTAATATTGATTACCTGGTAAACCTCTCTGGATAAAAGGTAGGAGTGGATTGAAGTGGGGCTCTGCGATTCTAACTAATTATATTGTCCACCTTTTGCCGGAAGTACACTGCTGAGTTTATTCTGCTGGTTATATTGAGATTAAAGCGTTATAATTGGTTAATGAACTAGATTAGAAAGGCGGTGTGAAATTTTTTGATTAGTAATTATTGAGGGTTTGATTCTTTTGGGGGGAGAACAATTGCGAGGAGTATCTATTAATGATAGTGAGAGTATATGTTGGAGTTGAAAGTACGTGGTAGATATGCTCAATTCATTTTTTTATTTTGCTCTTACTTTTTTTTGATTTTGAAGAGGTCGATGTAGTTCTGAAAATTGCGTGCGCACATCTGACCCCATAGTCCCTGTGTAGTGCTTGCTCCTCCTGTCCAAAGCCCTGGGCTCCTGGCTGTGAAGGTTCTCTGCAAAGAATTCTCGTTCAAAATTCCACTGCATACTACTTCTAATGATTGTGAGAAGTCTTTTGATGAAATGTGCCAACATATTTGTTGGCACGGACGATATTTTATAATTTATTTCTTGCGGTGCGTTGATTCGGTACTGTGCTAGAGCATAACTGTCTTTGATGGAACTAGGCCGTGCCTATTAATTCCTCAATGCCGGCTGCCTATCTGCCCTCCCTGCGATGAGTAATTCTATCTCAATCTGATGATTTACCCTACTGTGTACTGTATGTAGTCCTATGCGTGTAGAATCAGGCTCTCATTAGAATGATGTCATTAAAAGCTGGTCTGGCACAGTACATGCATAGAAAACCATCATATGGCTGGGTGTTGGTGGACTAGATGCTACAAGTCAGCGATGTTGAAAAGCTGTTAGATGAAACATTGAACAACTTGAACTGAGTAATTTATTACAATTAAGTATTACAAGAATATTACTAAACAAGATTATTACAGCCTGCAATGATAAAAAGTGGTTGGATAGATGAAGCTTAGCTAGAGAATGAGACTATGAGTAAGAGATATTAAGTATAGATTATTCTAGGACGCCGAGCGCGACGTGGGAATATTTATTAAAGGTATTGCGCGCGTATAATGGTGAAAATTACTGACAAATAGACTGGTGAAATAAATGGCGGAAAGAGTAGTGAATAGACTGATGAAGATTTTGGTAAGAACACTGGTGAAATATATGGGAAAGAGTGATGAAAAGAGTGGTGATTTGAGTGGTGGCAAGATGTAAGAATCATTGCAGAACTTAATGCAGATAAGAGAAAAACAGGAATTGGGGAGAAGATTGTTGTTGGAAGTTCTAATCTTGTGCTAATCATAAGAGGTGAAATTTTCTTGTTTTGATGAGATATCTGTTCGATTAGGAGAATGTGAGATGGTGAACTTGGCGGATCATGGTAGCTAGTAGCAGAGCGAAATTTACTAATAAGATGTGCTTACAGCTTTGCTGAAAATGGCAAACTAATCTGTTAATTACAATTAATTGACATTATTAATTCTGTGAATTACCTTTTTCTTTCTAGAAATAGATAATCACATAATGATTGTGACTTATAAATTAAGGATCTCTACAAAAGAGAGCTGATATCTCTTTAGCGAGCTGTGACTTTTTAGATAGTCTTATAATGAATTCTAAATTGAATTTTCTAATGAAATAAACCTTTAAAGATGCCGCTAATAGCTATTTTGAGATTTGTGTAGACTACTTGATGACGGAAATATTGTGTGCAAGGAGCGATAGCGGTATTGTTAATGATTTGGTTGACGAATTATTGTGGCAATTGGATCTTAATTATGAGCATTTGTCATCTATGTCTTTATTTATCTATACTCTGTCGATAATTCTCCCGCATCAACCCTCGCTTCTTTAATCATTCTATCTTATTCTGTCTGGTCTATTTTACCTTGTATGATAATCCTGTATTATAGTGTGGCAGGTCCTCTTCAATTTTATTGAGTGGGAGACAGAAGCCGGTTGTTGTGCTATAGCTTTTATTATACTCCCAACTGACTTAAGCGTCTGCTACTGGCTGGGGGTGGTCTATCATGGGTTTCTGGCCTTGCTTTGTCACGAAATGGTATTATGGTGCTGTGAGAATGGGTTATTGGTCACAATGAATATAGATTATTAGGGGAGTGTTGCTACTGGAGAGACTGTTATCTTTATTGTATGGATGGTCCGCATGAATACACACAAATAATGCTTGTTCTATCAGATTGGAAGTTCCGCCGACACCTTTGTGTTGGGTGAAGCGATATTTTTAATATTGTTGGAGCAGGGTGGATTGTGAATAGTTGAATGATAATAGGAAAGACTAGAAAAAGGAAGGGATCTTACTCTACAGTACTAGGGGTCTTTTATATGATTTGTATCTGCTTGATATGGAATATATGAAATATGCTTGATAAATTTAGAGGTTGCAATAAGACAAGGATAATAACAAATTTTTCTTTTTATTTTGTAAGTTGTTGGGTGCTAGGGGTTGTTGGTTCCAACTTTTATACTGTATGCGTATGGCTTTAGCCCTGGTATTAGAAGTGCCTCTGTTGATGAAATGGCTCTTGCTCATATTAAGTTTTTTAAGTGTGCCACTAACATTCCAGTACCCTCCACTTAGGTAGATCTAATCTATGTGTTCTTCTGGGATGCGTGCAATGGCTTTTACACTCAGTTGATTGATGTGGATAGGAAGTAGGAATAATGATTGTTAGTTAGATAACTTCAGTACGATTTCTGCTTTAAAAAAGGAGTGAAATCTTAAGAAATTATCTAGAACTCTGCTGAAAATCTGGAAATATATTAGCTAAAGATATTGGAAGATAAAATTATTTAATAGTAGTATTTACTTTATTAATCTACTAATAGCTACCTTCTTTTTGGAAAATTCGAAATCTAGTGAAGAGCCAGAAATGTAAAGTGAAATTGAAAGAACGCAATTACTAAAGATATAGGTATGCGCTGATGTTGGAATACGTTATATTGATTTAGCCCCACACCAGCAAGTTTGCTGGCTACCTCTTAAAACTGGGAAGCGCGGGATTTCTGTTTCTTGATTTCCTATACATAGTCGTACTGAGAAGATTTATACATAGTAATTAGACTTGTTGTTAAATTGGAGGATACAAGTGTAGTTTAAGTAAATGGCGAATTTCTTGGGAAATTCAAGGTAATGGATCTTAATATGGGTAGTCATCTTCTTCTCTATGATATAATTATATTCTGGACGACTTTAGATCATATGTTGAGCTTGAGAGCATAGACTGTATCTCTTTATCTAATGATCTCAGAATAATAATTTATAGTGAAAGGTTAGATATAAATGGCCCGCATCCAGGCCCTTTTCTATATCTCATTAGACTAAAACACTTGGTAGCGTGATATAGCAGATTCTTTGAGACCTATGCTCCAATATATACTAAGGATGATAGCATGAATTGGTTAGGACTCAACAAAACTCTTAGTGATGGGGTGGGTAAAGCACAGTGAGATTAAGATCTCTCATTCTAATTGTTGCTGGCTTCCCTAGCTGTGTCTAGTGTTATCTTTGGCATTGCTTTAGTGGCTTTTGTGCTTCTTAAGAATTAGTATCTAAGAATTTAGTGAGTTGTTGGTCTTCCCTGGCAGTGCCTTTATATAAATAAGTGTTTATGACTGTTCTTAGCTAACCTTCCTGGTTGTTTTATTCCCCGGTTCTGTTGCTCCCACCCGGCCGCTTAGAGTGGCTGCTTTCTGTTTTTAAAGTGGCTGATGAGACTATCATCTGTATATGGGGATTAGATGTGTTCCTTTTGCTTTGTTTACTTCGTATGGTGGTTGTGATCTTTGCCCTGTTAGTGGGTGTGCTCAGTCCTATCCTTGTCTCGCTCGATGCCACTGCTACCAGTGATCCCATTAGCAGCGCGACGGGGCTGGATCGACTGGGTTAGTCTAACATTCAACTCAATTAATAGGCGCAATATTGGGGGTATTTTGGCGCATGTATATGCGTGGTGGGTTATTTGGGTTTTATTATTAGATGAGAGTACTAGCTGCTTGCTTGGCTCTGTTAGGCGCAGCTGTTGCGTCCTTTCAATCGTCTATTAGCGGTATGGGTCCTGGTTATGCAGATTCCGAAGGACTGGCTCTCTGAAGACTGTCTGGAAGGCCACTTGCATCAATACTATGCGCGATTATGGTATAAGGGCATGATTGTGTATCTCGTCTGTGACTATTAGCCTGTGGTTAGCTAGATAATGTATTGAAATTGACTAATTGATGCTTTGGAAGCGGTAGTAGTGAGCTGGAAAATAGATATACTTAGAGCTTCTAAATAAGATGTCTTTATATGCTGTCTCTGCCCATGGAAGCTAGAATGGATTATACTTTATTGATCCAAGGTGACCGACTTACTCTCTAAGACTTAGGAAATCCAGCAAATGAACGCAGAAATTAACAATGCGCTGAGAAATCTATCATATCATCCCTTGCTATCATGTGCTTTCCTGCGGTTTTGCGATCTAGTCTCTGCACACATTATGTGCCAAGTCATCTATAATAATGTACTATCTGGTCCTGTTGCGTACCGTATCAATGTGGCAGAGAATGACTAAGTTCTGTGGTCAAACCTAGGTTGCTAGTGGCGTTAACAGTTCTGGTCCTGAGGTACGGCTATAATCTTAAAAGTTCTACTAGTGATCTCTTGGGTGGTATCTATTTCCTTGACTGGTCTCCTGTTATAATTATTCTATCTGGCGAGCTGGCATCGCATGGCTGAACAAATCATGATGCTGCCATTTGAGCTTTGAACGGTCTTGCAAGGCGTCCTTCTACAGCTGGCTCTGGCATTACTTATGTAGGTCTTTCCGTATTTTTTTACTTGTTTGGTTGAATAGTAAGCCTACCTGATTTGTTCTGCTGCTGAGCTCTTGCTGTAATCCTACTACTTTATCTTTCTGTATCTATAGGTTTTCCTGGTCGTCTTGGTGTTGTCTGTTATCATGGTGGTTATTTTAGTGATACTTAATAATCCGAAATCTGTCGCCATGATCTTAGTGAAAAATCTATCTAGAGTAAGTAACTACTTTTTCTCTTATTTCCTGCTATTTGCATTTAGCTAGAGTGTGATGCAATTGAGCCGTATGCCTGATTGGATGGGTGGTGTTCCGTGGCTTTGGCTTAACTATTTGCCCCGAGCTTGTTGGATATGGATGTCTCTGTTGTTTTCTATCTAGCTTGGCCTCCTGTTGCTGATTCTTACTAATCTGATGTGTATTGGTAAGTGCAGGATCCCCCATAACTCTTTTGAATACTGACTTGGGGAGGTATTACATTTTCGGTTATGGCCCCATTAATCCTTGTGTGTGTGACCCTCATATTTTTTCTCTTGTGGGGCATCTATCGGTACCTTGTTATCTATGTGGTAACGGTTCTGGTTGACTTCTGTGGTATGCTTTATAAGCGAGCCCTGTAGTAGTTATGGGTGGGGGTGTATACTTTGGTAATCTGCTAGGTTGGCTTATTTGCTTTAGCAGGTGCACGTGGTCTGTTGATTGGTATGATTGTGGTCCTCGGTGGAACTGCGGTTCTGTATTATTGAATGGAATCTGGTATGTGCCCGGCGGTTGAATATCTCTTGGCTAGCATTGATGTTTTCCTGCTTGATGGGATAGAACGCACAGACAATACCTGCCTGGGAGATCCGTCTTTGTCCGCGCCTTATCCTGTTGTTTGGATTCTTAGAAGCAATCTCGCGGATCTTATTGAGTGATATATGCCAGTCTTTACTGCTGGGTTAGTGCAGAAGTCTGGTGGGGGAATTATGTATTAGCATGGGTCACCCAATATAAGGTGACTGGTATAGTTGCATAGTGGGAAACAAGACAGCAATATGAGCTAGCGGAACTTAGCAATATTGCTGAGCAATTATCTTCAGACGCGAATAAATATTCTATGTATAGCATGTTCTATATCTCCATGCTGATATTCTGGTAGTGTAAACTGCTATTAATAGGAAATAAGGATAGTGATGGCATTACTAATTGAATCCTGGAGCCATACATATGCCAGCTAATATATTGGGATGCATGCTTGTTAGGTCTATGCCTGATAATTGTAAAAAGATGCTACTGTGGCGGGTTGGCTGGCTGTAATCACTGTACTAATGAACTAATTGTCACGAAGTAATGTATGAGATGTATGATTGATTGTAGTTTTGCATGAGTGAAATAAAAAACTAGCTGATATATATAAATTGTTATAGAAATAGCTATTCTATATAGGCACCCAAGTCATGGATCTTTTTTATTTATCTGAATTAAGGACTGTTCAAGCTCCAAATATAACGAGTGGTGTGTGTGGTATTATAAATAGAACTGTGGTATAGTAAATCAACTATGTGTTTTGGAGCTTATGAAATCGCAGTGTTTTAGAGCATGATGGTATGTATGGTTGGGACTTAGCATATACTGGAATGTGGCATCGGCCGGCCATTGCTAATCTAAGTTCTTATGGAGGAGGTCTGGCATGACACTGTCTGTCTCAGATACCATCTAGACTTTGTTTGTAGAAAATTGTCCTAGGACAGCTCTTTTGAGCTCAATATCGACGACTAAAGTTATATTGTTCTTAATCCTAAATCAGATCTAGAATGGTTCAGTCTATTCGCATATAGCGGATTTTAGGCTTTATAGCGGCAAGATAGTAACCATAGTACACATTAGCCACTAGACACTTGACCCGTTTGAAAATTCTCATCTGATTCCAAGCTTGAATGAGAGCTTCTCAAAGGTTACTATTGGGAGTATTCATGGGCCACCGAGCCCGCTTCTGAGTTGAGCTCTATTGCAAGTGAAATCGACAGCCTGCAAAGCCAATGGGATGCTACCCGATGGTCTGCTGTCACTGCCACATCGATGATTACGTTGCCTCCTACAACGGTTACGGTCACTCCCAGTGAGACGCCTACAGGCGACATTTGCGTATCAGCTGGCGCATGCACTTCGAGTGGAGTGGCTCCCCTGTGCACCTCTGCTGCAGCAGCACTACAACCGAGCCAAGTATACAGGTGAGATGGCCTTTATTCTATATGTAGTATTCAGTCTAACGCAAGAGCAATAGTACCTCGGATGATGGTGCGTGTATTTCATCGGGTGACATCTCCTGCTCGATCTATGTCAGTGGTGACGACGGTTGCTACTTTCTAGGGTCAACGATGCAAGCGTGAGTTTTTTGTGCTTCTTTCTTCGTCATTTGTCATTTGTTTTATTTTTCGAATTTACTCCTGTGGAAGGAAAAAGCGCCACTAATCCGATTCTACAGGGCCTGGAAGGATCTAGATAGCGACTGTACATGTGGAACGCTTTTCTTCCCAAACTCCTGCCAGATACAGATAGATGCCGACCAGGCAGCGTGCAAGCAGGACGGACCTGCAGATATTGTTGGGAATAGCTCGGTGGTAGTCGTGACAGCCAGTGGAGGGTTTTAGAGTGATCTGGGAGTTGCTCATACTGAGTATACTGGCAAGTACGGAGATGGAGAATGTCGGATAGGTGTATCTCCTGGAGCTTATCCATTCTCTACTTGGGTACTTGGTAACTGTCAAATTGAACAGTGAACAAGTAGTTAGTTAGTAGCACGTCTAGTTATATACTACGTATATGCAGCCAATCAGCGCAAGCGCGACACAGGGCAGTTAGCGCGGGCGCCAAGCATCACGTTTTCCGTCTTTGTCAGCGTCGAAGACGACTCCATTCATCCTTGGGATATAATTTGGAAACATGTACATATATATATATCTTGGAAATACATACATCCATGGCCACCACTCCTGACAGCCCTTCTCTCCAGCAATTCCTCTCTCCCCTCACAGCCCCCCTCTCAGAGCCCTCCCTCTACCGCCTCTCATACCACTTCTCCCAGACCTACAAACATCTCGCTGCCTGCTCCACAGAGTACTTTTTCCCCACGCCCATCACGCATCTGCCCACTGGCCGAGAGCAAGGCCGGTATCTAGCCGTGTACGTGGGCCTGTACTACTTGCATGTGGGCTTTATCGAGCTGCTAGGCTGTGACCAAGGACTTGGACTTGGCCAGGAATATGCCGCCAGAAGAAAGAAGAAAATCCCCGTCCGCCGAACGCTGGAAAAGGCGTGGCCAATTGAAGCGCGGCTGAAATGGGAGCACCCTGTCGAGTTCTTTGCGTGGATAGGCACTTGTATTGCCGAGGTTGTGGGCGATAGTATGCGCAATGAGAATGAGCAGATTGACGATGACGCGAGAGAGGAGTTGGTTGCTGGGATTTCGTTTTGCTTTCCTATTGTGTGAGTTTTTTTTTTTTTTTTTTTTTTTTTTCCCATTTCCATCTACTTATTGGCGTCGAGCTAATGGTAATGCAGTCAGAAATCCCTCGATGAAGCCGTGCTTTTACCAACCAGTAAAGGGTTCGCGCTCGCATCAGATCTGAATCTGCAGCAGGCGTTATTGGATGGCTACGAATGGCACACTCGACCGCACTCCACTGGCTCATCAGAAGAGGAAGAAGAAGAAGAAGAAAAAAAAGCGCGAACATCAAAACGCCGCAAAAAGCACATTTCCCTGCCAAAACTGAAAATAGCAGCAATGACCAACGACACTGTAGCCACCTTTGCCTCACTGGCATATAGCATCAAATCACTGCATGCGGTGCCCAACAACAGCCGCGTCGTCATGGGCCTGATGGTAGGCGCAGGCTGTAATGCGACTGTGCCCATGAAAGTGTCGAGCCTGCATCCGTCCAAGACGGAGTTTATCACTGCTGATAGCGATAGCAATAGCAATACGGAAAAAGAAACACTGGTCAGCACAGAATGGACTCTGCTCCGCTCCAGCCAGCCCCTCCTCGACATGCACCTGCTGACGCGCTGGGACAAACATATCTCAGCCCAGTCTCAACCCCCCGGCTTCCAGCCCATGGAATACATGGTTGGCGGCCGATACATGGGCGAATTGGTGCGCCTCATAGTGCTGGAATATTTCACGATCATCCTCAAAATCCCGCGCGACATTTTGCCGTGGCGCCTGCTCGAGAGCGGCGGGTTGACCACCGAGTTTTTGTCGTTGAATGTTGCTTCCTCTTTCTCATCACCAGCACTACATAATGATGATCATCTCGACCACACCGAGGAAGCAAAAGAGGGAAAAGAAGAAAAAGAAGACGCCGCCCTCGCCTCCACCCTCAACACCCACCTCCCCTCCGCCAAGGGCTGGACCTGGAACGCCGACAAAGCCCGCATTCTGCGCACAGTCGCATACGCCGTGCAATCGCGCTCTACGGCGATTATTGCCGCTGCCACCGTGGGCCTGTTGGCTTGTATTGGCGAAATCCACCTTGAGCCTGCCCCTGCCCCTACTCCAGCGCCTACTGACAAGGGGGATGGAATTGGAACATGGAACCACGGCCCCGAAGAACTCGTCGTTGCTTTCAGTGGCGGGCTAATCCAGAACTACCCACGCTACAAGGAGAATGTGCAGCGGCACATTGACCGGTTGCTGGTGCACGGGGGTCCGCAGCAGGGCGGGAAGAGTATATTGTTGCGCGAGGTGAGTGATGGAGGCATTATTGGGGTTGGTGTTTTGGCGGGGTGTTCGGTGAGGCGCGGGATTGAGGGGATTGTTGGGTCGAGGTTGGATGTTTGATTTTCTACACCTGAGGGATGGAATAATGTATATAGATGAGATTAAATTAACTTATGATGGAGATGCTAGCTTCCAAGAACATGTGTGCATGCCAGCATGCATGCATGAATGACTGAGTAGACACCCCAAGAAAGAAACATTGCATATAGTGCGGTGCAAAATTAGTTTGAAAAGAAGCGGAACAAAAAAAAAAAGGACAGAATTACTGGATTTGCTTCCATCTTGTATCCGGCAACGACACCTTCCACGATGGACAAGTGAAGCGAATAAAGCTCAGTTTTGCGCAATACCTGCCCTCCTTGCCACGACATTTGTGGCACCGATCATGTATAGAATCCACCTTGAGCACATTGGCCAGATTTGTCTTGTTCAGCCAGGCCTGTAGCACATCCGGATTGCCGCGCCCTACCTTGCACTCGCCCAAGGCCGAGTAGTCGCCAATGAACCGCTGAGCGATAAACTCATGCATCTGCTTTTGTGAGATGGAGTGGGTAAAAGTCTGAAACTTGAAGTACAGCGTGTCGCAGCCCATGCACATGGCTTTGCTGGTGTCCTTGCTATCGCCATCCACCATAGTTGAATCCCAGGGGCCCTCGCACGTCATGTCCAAACAGTGTGTGAGAATGCCTCGATGCGGGCAGGGAAGGAAAATACCGTTGCCAAACTTCTGCAGGCATTCCTTGAGCTTCCCGGACTGGAAACCCTTGACGTTGTAGGTATTGTGTAGCATGAGCTGTCTGAATCGAGGGGACAAGAACGGCTGCACAGAAAACGTCAACTTCACCCCGTCTGTCACCAAATGGCACTCATGGCGCAGAGCCTCGTTCATGGCAACGTCACCAACAGCCTTCGTATTGCTTTCGGCCGGCGCGTCAGCCAGTGCTTTTTGCAGGCTCGCGCATTTCTTGTATGTCAGGTAGATGTGAGCACACAACTGAATCAAGCCCGGCGTCTTGCAGAACCGATCTTTGGGCGGACGATAGAGCTCGCTGTAGAAATAGTCACGCCTGGGATGGAGACGCACACAGCCCGCGCAACACTTCCAATGGTTGTCTTCGAGTCTTTCGAGGAGCTTCCAGCGCAGAGACGTGAAAACGGGCCAGTTCTGTATGACGCCTCGCTGTACGGTCACTCGCGGTGGGAGAACGGCGGGGAGGCTGAACTGCTCGAGACGCAGTTTTGCGCGCATCAGCGGCCACAGTGACTTGGTCATGAGAGCGAAGCATACCCGGTCGATGGGATCCCTCAGTTCGTCAAGGATGCACAGGGCAATATCGTGCGGTAGCTGTGCGAATCCTCGGTTGGCGTTTCGTCGAGGGGGGAAGTTGCAGGAGGATTCCTGGATCATGTCCAGCAATGGGATTGACGATGATGCTTCTGTCGGCTTCGACATGGTGTCTGGGTTTTGTGCACGAGCGTGCGTGTGTTTGCGTGGGTTACTGCGACGACGAGGCATGGTGAGAGAAGCAGGATTTCTTGATGGCGTGCGAAGAGTGTGACAGAATGCGTTGGGAGTCTTTTGCCAGTGAGGTCCAGAAGAATGACGAGGAAGGAGGCAGCGGTGGAAGACTCAGGCAACAATCAAGCACCTGCCATCCGCCGCTCGTCTGCAACATCAGACAGAATAGAATGATTTCAGCCGTTCCTCAGGCAGGCGAATTCCTCGCATATTGTCGCCCGTCCATTTACACGGGAATTGCCTGGTTTTTTGATATTGCGGCGCCCCCCCCCTCCGAGGCCACTGGCTGGACAACCCTGGCAGATTCCGCAGCGGCTCTTCCATGGAGCTAGCGATTCTTGAGATTCACGGAGGAGTTAATTGCAGACAATTGATTCTCCCAGCTTGTTTCATGGCATTTACCTCGGTCCTGCCGATACAGACAGAGCATCCGGCATGGGCTACCGTGGAAGTGAGGTGAATGAGGATGACTAATCTGCCTAGGTAGGTAACGGTATTTCCCACCCGGCGTTATGGAACATCTGTAATTCTCATACAACATGCCATTTTTGCCCCTGTAATGTCAACAATTTATATATAAAGTAAGCCTAAAAAAGAAATATAATCAATAATATATCGGTAGAAGCTGTAAGGCGGAATCCTGGATGGAGTTGGGAATAGCTTCAAAAGTACAGCGGGCACGTGACCTCGCCCGGCTTCCCGCCGCTAATTGGACTAGCGGCTTGGCACACACCGCCTTATAACCGCGGGTGGCCTCAGGCCTTCGTGAAGCAGCGATTAGCTGCTGAGCATACGTGTATATACGTTATATATTCGAATCTATTCCTAGGCCGAAGCCGAATCCCAGCTACGTTCTTGCAACCCCCGTCACAAATACAAAAGGGTTCTTCTATTATGTAAAATCCATAAAGCTATAACCTATATACATACTACGATATAGATAATAATTAATATATTTACTAATTAGGCCTAGTATATATATATCAATCTGTTGAGATTACAGGGTGTAAAAATAGCTGTTTTGCATGGGACTATCGATGTTCCATAACGCTGGGTGTTTCATAGACCCGGGAAATACGGTAACTAACTAGTTATTGCCTAGTTAGGCAAGACTTCTTTTTAGCAGATTCTATGCTATACCATGCTGCTAGGCTTGTATATGAGATCGGACAGCATGAAACATCGTTTCGGCATCCCGCGAGGCGCATATTCTCGGGCATCCAAGCCGGCGAAACTGCAGCAAAAAGCATTTCTGCCCCTTTATCCTTCTATACCTGATGCCAGATGGAGGCCCAAAGCGCGACGATAAAAGGCAACCAACCATGGGCCGGCCCACCGCAGAGATTTGCCACCGCCAGCCCGGTCGAGACCGTTTGGCGTTCCATGCTATACTAATATTATGATGATAGCATGCGGTACAAAGCACGCTATAATAGTGTCATGAAATAATCATAGGATGAGTACTGTATCGGCAGCACCGGCTACGGTCCGGATGGCTGTTTTCAGTAAACCGTCGGTGTCGCTTATGTCAACCCGCGCGAGAATCAAACTTGGCGCTGACGTGGATTGGGCCATCAGTGGACTGACTTGCACTCAATTGACAGATCGATCGTGGCGAAAGAGCGCCTGAGTGGTTCTAGCGCAGTGGGAGAGCCCGGCTCCACCAGCGGTTGCGCCCATATAATAGTCCTAGTACACCTTCCGCGCCGTCCCCGCTGCTCGCTCCCTCGCTCCCTCTCTTCGTTCCTCAGACGTCCGTCCTGTGTAGACCAGCTCTCGCAGATCCGACTGCTACTGCTCCCTCTCGCAATTGCATCCGATCATCATGGTGGGCTAGGTGGGGTGATCGCTCGGTCTATCGTGAACTATCGATTGCCAGCGCCAACAGACGAGCAGACGGAAAGAAAGAAGACGAAGAGAAGAACAGCATGGACGGCGACAGTGGGCCTCGCCCGCCGCTCTCCATGAGCGGATCGTCGACTCCTGAGCGCCTCGACGAGGGCCAGATGACGCCCGACAGGTCCAGCGTGGTGTTCCCCGAGCCCGGCATTCCGCCAGAGGAAATCGTCGAGCGCCTGCGCGAGATCCGCGTCAAGTTCCGCTCGCGCGAGGAGCACATGCCTGCGCCGGAGTACCCTGAGGACCCGACTGCCCAGGCTGAGCGCGATGACCTGCCCGATCTTGAAAAGGGCGACACCGCCCGCTCCGACGCCAACGACGCCGAGGGCAAGAACCCGTTGACTCGCTCGACCACGCTCAGAGACCGTGCGCGCCAATGGCTGGTGAGACTGGGCAGACCTGAAGAGCCAGGCGATGCACTGACGCCCGCGGACATCACCGCCCACTGGATCGAAGACCTCCCCCCGCCTCTCGCTGATGAGAGTACTGCCGCACAACCCAATATCAACATCCAGCAACATCTCCGTCACCATGCCACCCGCGCCGCGCAGCGCTCACTCCGCGGAGTAGGCCTCCACAATCTGCGGAAGCGGAGGCCGCAGCACCAGCGCACCATGTCGTCCGAGTCCATGGCCAGTTTTACCGGTACCACCTCCGACACAGACTCGGATGCCTTTCGCCAGGGCGAGGGAGTCCTGTCCAACCTGCTCCGATTGCAAGCCCAGAGCTCTCTGTCCGGCCGCAGCACGCCCGGCACGCCCGGCACGCCGGACAGTGGCGCCGCAACGCCCAGGAGCGGTGCCACGACCCCGAAGGGCGGCGCTTCTACGCCCAGGAGCGGCTCTGCGACTCCCATCCGGAAGATCAAATGGTACAGCAAGCACTCGCCCAACCAGTCGACCATGTCGCTGGTCGGCGCGGGCTTGCATCTGGGCACCCAGGGAGCGCCCATGGCAATGGACGATATGAAAAAGTCCGTGGCCAGCAAGCGGCGGCGGATGATGGGCGGCAAGAAAGACAAGAAAGACCTGAATGCCCATATCGCCGCGCGCATCGCCTCGATCATCACCCGGCAGCACTACTTGATGACGCTCTGTCGGGCCATGATGCGGTTTGGCGCGCCGAGCCATCGCCTGGAAGAATACATGTCCATGACGGCACAGGTGCTGGACATCCATGCCCAATTCTTGTATCTGCCAGGCACCATGATCATGTCGTTTGACGACCTGGCCACGCGCACCACGGAAGTGAAGCTCGTCCGCGTCTCGCAGGGCGTGGACCTGGCTCGTCTGGAGGACACGCAGAACATCTACAAGAACCTCGTGCACGACAAAATCACCGTCGACGAAGCAATCGAAGAATTGGACAACGTCATCAACCGCCCGCCAAAGTACCCTACGTGGCTCGTTGTGCTCTGCTACGGCCTGGCGTCCGTGTCCGTCGGCCCGTTTGCATTCGAAGCCCGCCCCATCGACATGCCCATCACCTTCTTTCTCGGCTGCCTGCTCGGCATGCTGCAGCTCGTGTTCTCGCCTCGGTCCAGCCTGTATTCCAACGTGTTTGAAGTGCTGGCCACCATCCTCACTTCCTTCCTTGCGCGCGCCTTTGGCAGTATCCGCAACGGCGTGGTCAACGGCACCACGCAATACTACTTTTGCTTCTCATCCATGGCGCAATCGTCCATTGCGCTGATCCTGCCGGGCTTCCTCGTTCTCAGCAGCAGTCTCGAACTGCAATCGCACCAGATCATCCCCGGGTCCATCCGCATGGTCTACGCAATCATCTACTCCCTCTTTCTCGGCTACGGCATCACCGTCGGCACCACCATCTACGGCCTGATGGACGGCGACGCCAACTCCAACACGACCTGTTCCGGCGAACTCATCGGCAACAACCCGTACTCGCAGCGCTTCCCCTTTGTGGCCATCTACGTCATCTTCCTCGTCATCATCAACCAGGGCAAATGGAAGCAGGTGCCCGTCATGATCTTCATCGCCGAAGCGGGCTACATCGTCAACTACTTTAGCAACCTGAAACTCGAGTCGAACCCGGAGCTGGCCAACACGCTCGGCGCCTTCACCATTGGCGTGCTGGGCAACCTGTACAGCCGCCTGTGGCACGGACACGCGGCCACGGCCATTCTGCCGGCGATTTTCGTGCTGGTCCCCTCGGGGCTGGCGTCGCAGGGCTCGCTGGTGTCGGGCGTGCAGTCGGCGTCGGAGATTCGGGCTAGTCTGTCGGGCAACCATACGAGTAGTTCGTCGAGCTCGTCGGAGAACTCGGTGTATTCGATGGGGTATGGCATGATCCAGGTTGCGATTGGCATTACGGTGGGACTGTTCTTGTCTGCGGTGGTGATTTATCCGCTGGGGAAGCGCCGGACGGGCTTGTTCAGTTTTTGATCGATCTCTCTCTCTCTCTCTCTTTCTCGTACATCTCTTACACATACCTCACTGTCTCTCGCATTTAGATACCTCTCTTTTCATTCCTACTCTCGGTCTGCATGTCTGCATGTCTCCTAGCGTTTCTTCTGTCGTTCACTCCTGTTAGCGATTTCTTTCTTGTCCATAGTGTTACTGATACCTTGCATATAGCTTTTATTTCAGACATACATTGCTTAGTTAGCTGAATTATGATGGATATAATTCCAATTCTCCAGCTTGCAACGAATCAATTGACAATATTCTTGAGGTTGGTGTATCTGCGTTGGATATGCTGGGGCTGCTGTGATTGGCCAATGCATGCCGAGGCATCCTATCTGTTCTTGATAGACTACGATGATAGAATAGGATACGAAGTCATTCAGGACCGAACATCTCAAAGCAGTAAAAATGTCCAGCAGCGTATCAGTACTTATCGCGATGCACATAGATCGGCGAATGAGCGCGTGTCTGACTATCTAGATAAGAAGTACATATACCTCGCCGGCGCGTGCTATTCCCTGCGCGGCGAGGTACCCGGTACGAGTCGATTTCTTTGCCGCGGTTATATTTTGTCTTCCCCGCGATTTTTCTTCTCCTTCACCTTTCTCTCCACACTCCGACCAGCTGTAGCACCGCATACTGGACTGCCGCACGCACGCGACACATACATATATACAGCAAGCACATGCATACCTAGAATGGGCGCCCTCTCGGACGACGCCGTGCTCGCGCGCCTGGGCAAGAAACAAGTGCTCAAGCGCCGCTTCGGCTTCTGGTCGCTCTTCGGCTTCGCCGTGTGCGAGCTGATCACGTGGGAAACGGTGCTGGCGCTGTTCAGCGAGGGCTTCGAGAACGGCGGGCCGTCGGGCCTGCTGTACGGCTTCATCATCGCGTGGAGCTCGACGCTGTCCGTGTACACGGTCATCTCGGAGCTGGCCTCGATGGCGCCCATCGCCGCGGGCCAGTACTACTGGGTGTACATGCTCAGCGCCGAGCGATACCGCGTGTTCGCGAGCTACATCATCGGCTGGCTGACCTCGATGGCGTGGATCGCGACCGTGGCCACCGAGACGCTGTTCGCCGGCACCATGCTCGAGGGCCTCGTCGTGCTGGACTATCCCGGCAGCTATGTCGCCGCCAACTGGCGCGGCACGCTGCTCACCTGGGCCGTGGCGCTGGTGTCGACGCTCATCAACGCGGTGATTCCGAGCATGCTGCCGCGCATCGAGATTGGCACCGTGGTCTTCCACATCGCCGGCTTTGTGGTCATCGTCGCGCTGCTGTGGCGCTACACCGATCCGCTGCATGACGCCCGCTTCGTCTTCCAGAGCAGCCTGAACGAGGGCGGCTGGCCGACGCAGGGCCTGTCGTACTGCGTGGGCTTCCTGGGCAACGTGGCGACCTTTGTGGGCGCCGATGCCAGCGTGCATCTGGCCGAGGAGGTGTCGGATGCGGCCACGACGATTCCGCGCGTCATCACGAGCAGCATGCTGTTGAACGGCGTCGTGGGATTCGTGATGATGATCACGCTGCTGTTCTGCCTGGGCGATGTCGATGCGGCGCTGGACTCGGCCACGGGTTTTCCTTTTATGCAGATTTTCTACAGTACTTCGTTCTCTACGTTCTCATATCTCGTTAACTATCCGTGTATACTGACTACTACGTAGACAGCGTCAAGTCCGTCGCCGGCGCCACCGTCATGAGCGCCATCGTCCTCCTCCTCACCTGGGCCTGCGCCACGGGCATCATCACCTCGGCGTCGCGCATGACCTGGGCCTTTGCGCGCGACCGCGGCACTCCCTTTGCGCGCATCGTCAGCACAATCGACCCGCGCACCCAGGTGCCCGTCGTCGCCGTCGCCGTCGTCGTGATTATCGCCTGTCTCCTGACGCTCATCAACATCGGGTCGCCGACCGCCTTCAACGACGTCATCTCGCTGACCATCACAGGCTTCTATGGCAGCTACCTAGTCCCTGCCGCGCTGCTACTGTACCATCGCGTCAAGCCCGGCCATATCCTGCCGTACGGATCGGTGGTGGACGGGCAGGACGTGAGTCTGGACGAGGAGTCTGCTGTTGGTCCTTCCACAACAACAACAACAACAACACAACAAGCCAAGACGACGACGGAAAAAGACAGCGGCAGCACGGCCGTTGCCGACGCCGACGAGCAAGGCCGCATCGCCTTTGCGCCGACACAGCTGGTCTGGGGCCCGTGGCATGTGCCCGGCTGGCTGGGCATCCTCAACAACGCGTATGCCTGCGTGTACATGGTGTTTGTGATTTTCTGGTCGGTCTGGCCGCCGTCCACGCCCGTGTCGGCCAGCACGATGAACTACTCGGTGGTGGTGACCGGCGGCGTGGTGATCTTCAGCATTGCGTGGTACTATGTGCGAGGCCGGAAGGAGTACAGGGGGCCGCTGGTGGACAAGGAGGCGATTGAGATAATCCAGGGCAGCAGCACTGTTGTGTAGTATACATTAACTATATATAAAGATATATATAAAGTAGATAACTAGATGCATAAATATTCAGTAGTTTACACTGCTGCCTGGGGCATACGGAGCCGGAACAACGCAACCCGACGCTAGACCTAACCTCCAACTGTACTTCTACATGTCTACCTCTACGTACATTATATGATGCACGATCAGAATGCCCGCGTGGAAACGCAAGTCCAGAAAAGAGACCGACGGGCGCGCGTCGCCCGAGTCCGTCTCGTCCTCGTCGTCCGCGCACGCTCTGCTCTCTGCCGTGCACGACAGCAGCGCTCCCCTTGAGTCAGCCGCAGCAGCAACAACAACAACAACAACAGAAACCAAAACACCATCGCCAGACGACCTGCGCCGCCAGGCCAAACGCGACGCTGCATTCGGCCCCCTCGGAAACCCCTCGCATCTGTACCGCTCCCTCCACCATGGCGGACACATCCCGGACCCCGTCATCGACGAACCGCCATACTTCTACCTCTTGACCACCTATATCAGCTTCCTGATCCTCATCTTCGTCGGCCATGTGCAGGACTACCTCGCGAAGTGGTTCACGCCACACAAACACCGCCACCTCATGGCCCGCGACGGCTACGCGCCCATCTACAGCGACTTTGACAGCTTCTACACCCGCCGCCTGAAGCTGCGCATCAATGACTGCTTCGACCGGCCCACCACCGGCGTGCCCGGCCGCTACATCACCTTACTCGACAGAGAAACAGACGACCACAACCATCACTTCCGGCTCACGGGCACCACCACCGACAGCCTCAACCTCAGCTCGTACAACTACCTGGGCTTCGCGCAAAGCGAGGGTCCCTGCTCCGATTTCGCAGAGGAGACGGTTCGCAAAGCCGGTATCAGCATGAGCGGCTCAATGGGCGACGCGGCGACGTCGACGCTGCACATCGAGGTCGAGCGTCAGATTGCGCGGTTCGTGGGCAAGGACGACGCGCTCGTTTTCTCCATGGGGTTCGTGACCAATGCGACTACGTTCCCGGCGCTGGTGGACAGGGGCTGCTTGATCCTGTCGGACGAGCTGAACCATGCTTCGATCCGGTTTGGGTCGCGACTGTCCGGCGCCAGTATCCGGGCCTTTAAACACAACAACATGGCGGATCTGGAGCAGAAGCTCCGCGATGCCATTTCCCAGGGCCAGCCGCGCACGCACCGGCCCTGGAAGAAGATTCTCGTGACCGTCGAGGGACTCTACTCCATGGAAGGCACCATGGTCAATCTGCCGCGCATTCTCGAGCTGAAGAAGCGCTACCGCTTCTATCTGTTTGTCGACGAGGCGCATTCCATCGGCGCCGTCGGCCCGCGTGGCCGCGGTGTCTGCGACTACTTCAAAGTCGATCCCGCCCAAGTCGACATCCTCATGGGCACCTTCACCAAATCCTTTGGCGCCAACGGCGGCTACATCGCCGCCGACAAGGCCATCATCGACAAGCTCCGCGCGACCAACGCGGGGCAGTCCTTTGGCGAGGCGCCTACGCCGCCCGTCCTCGCGCAGATCCTGAGTGCATTGCGTCTGATCGCCGGCGAGGATCCGCAGCATCCCAGCGAGGGTGCCGAGCGTCTGCAGCGTCTCGCTTTCAACTCGCGCTATCTTCGCCTGGGGCTGAAGCGGCTTGGGTTCATTGTCTATGGCCACGACGACGCGCCCATTGTGCCTCTGATGCTGTACAACCCGGCCAAAATGCCGGCGTTTTCGCACGAGATGCTGAAGCGGAAGATTGCCGTAGTCGTGGTGACGTATCCCGCCACGCCGCTGGAGTTGTCGCGTGTGCGGTTCTGTGTGAGTGCGGCGCATACCAAGGAGGATCTTGATCGGCTGCTGGTTGCATGCGACGAGGTGGGCGATGCGCTGCAGATCAAGTTCTCGTCGGGCATTGCTGGGGGCGTGCACGAGAGGCCGACGCCGGGCGAGAGCAAGACTGCTGCGGCGAGGGAAAAGCCGCGATGGAGGGTCGAGGAGGTTATTGAGAGGGGCGTGAGGGACGTCCGGGGGGAGCTGTACTAGATTATGTTAGTAGTAATATTTAATAGTTAATAGTTAATATATAGTAGATACTAGATTGTCGTAACAGTATATAATAGCAAATAAATCAAATTTCTGCGATGTAATCCCGTGATCGAGATGGATACCCGTCCAGCACTCAAGAACCTCAGCGATGCCACAGCCGTCAACAAGATAGTTTATCATTCATGACAGTCTCATCTTCTGTTTAATTTCATTCTTTAGTCTGACTGTTTATCTCTGTTAATCCAATCAATGCGGACGCAAATCCATTAACCACACCCACTCTCCCATCCACGCCTGCAGCGGCGACCATGGTAGGCGCCTCACGACTGTCGGTGAGACACCAGCGCGCTGAAAAAAATAACCTAGGTAGCATTCACAAGGAGGACAAGACGCTGACAATCATGCGACAGATCCGCGATGATGAACACTCCCCCAGCAGCGGCGACCACGACGACCACGAGATGCAGCAAAAAAAGCGCACGAGAACGACGACAATACGAACAAGCACAACCCCAGCAGCCAGCACGAGTCTTCCGAACCTCGTAGTGCGCGCGAAAAACCCTGCATCAACATCCACATCAACATCCGCAACAAAAAAGAGACCCCGATTGTCGGCGTCGTCCTCCTCGCCGCCTGCTTCTCCTCATCCTCGGCACCAGCATACCCCCCGACGCCCGCCGAAACGCGCGCCGTTGACGACATCGCAGCAGCAAACGACGCTGGACAAATTCTTCGGCGCCGGCTCTCATAACGGCGTCGGTGCGAGGAAGGACAATACGATTCACAGTATTCGCCATATCGGATCACAGGCGGACGAGGCGCGTCCCGCCAAAAAGGCACGTCTGGATACTATCGACGCTGATACTCACTCTATCGGCGCGCGAGAAGAGTCGCCCGATCCATTGAATGCCATTTCGCCTATGCCGAATACTGCGAGTGTGCGCAAGCATACGCGACAGCCCAGGGCAGGCAAGACGGTTATTATCGCCGACGATAAAGCAACCACGCAGACAATTGCTGCAAGACAGCCTGCTGCAGCCGAAAAACGGTCGCTGCGATCTCACAACGGCGGATCGCGCTCAAAGAGTGAATTGGCTCTCTATTTCCCGAATTATGAGCAGATCATCAGCCTGGAGCCGGTCAAGTCGGATGAATTCCTGCTGCCGGGCACGGTGGTGACGCTGCTGGATGATTTGGTTGCATCTCCTCCTACAGCTTCTCCCTCCTCGAGGACACGGAAGACGCAGCCCAAGAAGGATAGTAGTGATCAGGTATCGCCGTTTGGCAATCCGCTACTTGACCTACGCAATGTTGAAAAGGTTGATATTCCAAGTCTTGCTGGCGGCGATGATAGGAATGCTGCTGCTGCTGCTCTGATAGACCCCCTCGGTGACGACGTATACTTCAAAGCTCACCGGCGCCATGAACGGCAAGAAAAGCAACTCCGCAATATTGAGCGCGAGCGCGCCCAGCACGAGAAAATACAGCTAGACCGACTGCTGGACGAGCTCCAGGGCCATGACTGGCTGCGCGTCATGGGCATTAGCGGTATTACAGATACGGAGAAGAAGCTGTACGAGCCCAAGCGCGATTACTTTGTGAAGGAGGTTTGTGCGCTGATTGATAAGTTTCGCGTCTGGAAGGAGGAGGAGAAGAGACGCAAGCTGCAGAGGGAGAGGATGTTACTTGAGGCTGCTACTGCTGCAGTTGACGAGGAAGAGGAAGAGGTAGACGACGGCGACGACGAAGAAGAAGAAGAAGAAGAAGAAGATATCAAGCCCCCGTCTTCAGATATCCAAAGCTTCGATTCCAACGAAGTCGACGCCGCAGCTGCGCGTCAACTCATACTCGAAGCTCGATCGGCAAATACAAACAATAGCGAAATAGCATCCACGCCACCAAAAGCACACTCACAACCACGCCGCAGACTCGTCGACGCTCTCACAGCCACGCCACCAAAGGCTCAACCTCAGCAAACTCCAGAAATATTGTTAGAAGAAGAAGAAGACGACAACAAGCCATTCGTATCCTTCTACCCTAAACGCCACCTCCGCGACGCAGCATTCTCAAGCAGTCGCCGCGGCGGCCGGAACAGATCGGCCTTTGGCCAGCCGCTGCCGGACATAGTCGAGGAGCGAGAATTTGAGCTTCCGCGCGACATTTTGACGCCGGAGTTGGTGCATGCGATGGAGCGGAAGAGGAGGCGCTTGAAGAGGGAGAGTCGGAGTGGGTGATGGCCCTGACGCAGCTTTATGTATTCATTTTCTTTTTGTATATGATTATTGGATTCCTGCTGATGTAAATTACTGCGGCAGTATGGAGCGGCGTTATTTAGCCTGGTATTGTGCTAGAAGCTTGTACGCTGAAGGGATATTTCATGCAATTTGCATAATGAACAAATCCACTCTCATAATCTATGCAATTGTGTTACTCGCTTGCTATTTGAACTATACCAAAGCAGTGCAACTTGTGCATATATGGGATGAATATGAATGAATATTTGCTACCTAGGACAGTCAACGACCAGGAGGCGGATTATTCGCAATCGTCTCCCTGACCGACTCCCTCGCCAACATCTTCTCCATCCACGCCTTCACATACGGAAATTGATTCACATCATACTGCTCCTGACTCGCAAACATACCCGCCATCCTCTGCCACGGGACAAACGCCAAATCCGCATACGACAACTTGCCGCCGACCAACCATGGCCCACCGGACTCGGACTCGGAAGAATACTCCTGTTTCTGCTGCTTCTCCAGCCACGCGTCCAACACCCCGGACACCCGGTTTATCTCCTTGGCGTACCGCTCCAGCGCACTGGGTAACTTCTCGTGGTGGAATTTCGTGAACCATGCAAATTGGCCATAGTAAGGGCCCTGGCCCGTGGCCTGGAAGTACAGCCATTGCTTCGCATGGTATGCCTCGGCAGACCCAGCTGGGAAGCTGAGGCGGTGCTCTTGCGCGTCGTATGTCTCGACGAGGTATTCGACGATGGCGCCGGATTCCCACAGCGTGATGCCCGTGTTGGGGTCGTAGATGGCTGGGTAGCGGCCATTGGGGTTTATGGCGGTGTACTCGGGGCTTTTCACCTGGGCCAAGGTCAGTGGCGAGGTCTCGTAGGGGAGACCGAGCTCTTTGAGCAGGACGTCGACTTTGAAGGGGTTAGGGCCGGGCGGTTTGCCGTAGAGGATGATTGGTTTGAGGGCCATGCTGGTGGTTGATTTGTTGAGATGAAATCAAACTATGGGCATGAAGACAGGCCCTTTTATATTCCTACTGAACCTGTTCTATCACATCAGTATTGACAAATCCAATGCTGTGTCTTATAAATCAAGATAGCCCTAATTCTGACTACGGAGTACGTAGTATATTTGTAAGGACGCGCCTCGAATTAGAAAGCGGGTAATCAGCCAATCAGACAGCCCCGGGACCTGCCCGAATAGGAATATTGTCTCTGATTGGCCGAGATTCTGATCAATACTTTTAAAGTTAATTTGCGTCCCAAATAGGCAATCGGTCTCTGATTGGCTGCTCCACGCTGCTTTCCTCATTTTCCACTTCATTCGGCTTCATCCGGCTTTATTATCAAGGCTGGCTTATACACGCTGATTATTCAATCGACCGACCGCTTCGAAAGTTCATCAACATGTACCACTGCAGCCCCCTTCTCAATTTCAAGATCCGCCGGGCTCTGAGGCTCCGACTCTAGCCCATCCAGGTACATGGTAATAACGCCCTCCTGGCCCTGCCCCCGATCCGAGTCTGGCCCCAACAGCAAAAACACAAACATATACGCCCACGAGGCCGCGACAAAGATGGCAATAGCGCGCCCATAATCATACCGTTTCGTGCCATCCGCCGCTGGAGGCAGCGGGTACTGCTCGCCGTAGTAAGTCTCAATCGTAGTAATAGGCGACGCAGCCAGATTGCCCAACTGATACGTCAGCCCAACCATGAGCGTGCGCAAGGCCACCGGCGCCAACTCCACGAGATGTATAGGTATCGGACCCCAGACGCCGATGAGCGCGACATGCTGGAAAAACACACTTGCGCCTAACACCATTCCGCCCCGGCCGCGCGGGAGCAGGAAGGCGGGCAAGATGGCGGCGCCGAGGATGCAGTTGCATAGCATGGTCAATCGACGACCGGCGAATCCGCCAACGTGTCCCATTGTGATCCCGCCGCAGAATGCGCCTAGGTTCCCGATGATGGTGATTATGGATGTGTGTGCCGGGTCCATTTGCACCTGGTTCTTGAGGAAAGTTGGATATAGATCTATGGCGCCGTGGGCACAGGCGTTGAAGCCCGCCATCAGGAGGAACATGTATGTTAGCAATACCCAGTGTTGGCGGATGAGTTTTACCGAGTCGTGCACGAATGTTTTGAATTCGCTGGTGTGTTGTCCTTCTCCGCCTCCTTCTCCTCCTTTCAATGCCTGAATCTTTGCTTCTCGTTCCGCTTTCAGTCGTTGGAAATGCTGTGTTTCCGGCAGCCACCAGCGAAGCAGGATGAGAAGAACGGGCGGGCCGGCACCGAACCAGAACAGACTTCGCCATCCGTGTGGTGTCGTAGGCACGAGGGCTCGGTACATTGATGAGGCGATCAGCGTGCCCAGCGAGGTGCATCCTTCGAATAGGCCTGACAGGATACACTGAGCGTCTGGGGGGAGGTCTTCGAGCGCGATTGCTGCCGAGGGACCTATCAAGCCTTTTTTGTTTTTTGTTTTTTTCTGTCAGACAGGTTTGTCATATCTAGGTATATGGATATATATATATATATGATATATATGTGGAAAGTCGATTACCTCCCATTGCAACGCCATACAGCGCCCTCACACCCAGAAACTGGGACAGAGAAGTACAAAACCCCGACGCCATCTCCAGCACCATCAAACACACCAAATTAACAATCATAGGCCATCGTCGACCGTACCGATCACAACAAGTGCCAAAAATAAACGCGCCAATCGGTCGCATCATGAGCGTAATCGTTATTGCCTTTTTCCCACATACTACTCGTTAGCTTGAATTTGATTAAAGCAGGAAAAAAGAAAAGTCTGACTGACGTACCCACGAAACAGCCGAATTGGCCGCATCAAACGCCACACTCAGCTCAGTCACCGTCATGGTCACCGTCGAATACCCAAAGGCGTCCCAGCCGCGGCCCAGCGCGCCGCAGAGGAACATGAGCCATTGTGCTCTGGTCACTTGGCGGAGTATCTTGAATGGGTTGCGAGGCGCAGGGTTGCCTTTGCGAGGGGCGAGATTGGAGATGCGTGTGGAGAGGTAGGTTGCTATCTGTTTACGAGAGTAGCGTTGACTACCCTGGGATGGAAGGTTGGTCATGTTGGAGGATATCTTCAAAGGATATCCTATCTTCTTGCTATGGGATGTTGATAGTTCATTATCTTCTGTGACTGAATCTACGTCTTTCTTATAAAGGGGATACTACTCAGGTGTCTACGGAATACACAAAGGGTAGGTAGGTAGCACTGTAGTGAGTCGATATCTGCTATGCTACTGTATTCCCTCAAATCCATTCCTGGTCGAGAAAAGAATGTTGCCACCCATACACTGTGTACTTGCATAATCCTCTCATATGATCCCATGGATTGAAGCATTCGAGTGGCGCATAAGCCATTGATTATCTGATAGGGGGGTTAAGAATCGGGCAGGAATGCATAAGCTTTTTCCAGGTTCCGAATTTAGAAATGTTTGAACCAGGAGTTGCACGTGTATTACAGAACTTTGTGCAAAGTTGATATGTTTGTTGGTCGAGTTAGGGTTGAAGTTCCGTCCCGGCCGGCGGAAAGGGGGCGAAAGCCAGAGTATGCGAAATGCTTCTTTCTGTCTATTTCTTGTTTTATTGGATATCCCAGATAACTAAGTTAGTGGGTGGATACGGTTGGGGCCCATATTTTGAGAAATAAATCAGATAAACATGCATGTACTGAAACTGGGAAACTGAACGATCGTCTTGTGCTTCTGTCCACATGTCTATGAATCCAGAGCTCTGTCTGTCTCGGCGGAGTCACTCTGTGCGACCTGGCATGCGGAGACTTGCGAGATACGTACGAGTAGTGGCTGAATCCATTCTCGAGAAACGAGAGTACACCAGACGCAAGCCACTTGGTTGAGCAAAAAGCAAAGCGAAGCGAGAACCGAAGCAAGGCGCCGTCGGTCTTTACTGGGAGTAAGCTCCGTTTTGAGCGGCTGTGGACGGACATGTGGACAAGTTCATGCACATACCTGAGTAGTCTAGGCTTGGGGTCTTCATCTGATACAGGTCAATTCCAATTTAAGCAATATCTAGACCACGTTTTTTTATGGTGTTCTATGTATTATGCCGGCTAGGGCCGGGGAATTTTTGTTGCTTTTTGGACTGCATGAGACAAGTCCACCACCATTCTTGACGGAATTCATAGAGTGTCTGAGCAAGTCTACAATGAATGAATGGCTATGATTAGAGCTGCTGTGTATGTAGTACTGGCTAGAAAGGAGAAACCAAATTCAACAATAGATTAAGCCGGCTTTGTCGCAGCAATAATAGTCGATGCAACTGCAACATTCCCGCGCATCCACCGTCATCCCTTGAACGCTTCTAGCCATGGCTTTTCAGTCTATTCAGCTCCGGTCTGGTTCAAAGTTGGGTGTTATATTGTGCTCTCTTGTCTGCATCGTAGCAGTTTCTCGATGAGAAGATGGTTGTGCTAGCATCAAGGGATCATCATGCCCGCATATCATATCACCGTACAAACATAGTGTGTGTTAAACAAGTAAATGGCGAGACATTACTACTACCTAACATGAGAAACATCCATCAGCTACCATCCTATCCTCGACTCGACATCGACATTGACATGCACCACCATATTCTACACTGTGCCAACCCCTTCATTCCAACCTTTTATGCATACATTTTATTACATTAGTTGGTTAGAACTTCGGTATGAGTGCTCTCTTTTCGAGTCTCCTTGCTTGTTAGATTTGCCGCTCCAGTCATTCCATTGCATGGCAGGTTGGCTTTTTCACTCGTACTTGCAAGCTTTTCTGAAAGAGCGTCATGTAACTATCAGATAAGATGTGGTTTTGCCTACGTGAGGCTGCTTTATTATTATATTCTTTGCTGAGGTTCGTCTATTACTGGATAGGTAGGTACCTTGCAAGTCTGTATACACGCATTGTAAGACCATAATCCATTGGTAACCCACCCAAGTTAAAATAAAATATCGTTCTAGTATATCTGATACATAACGTTCACCGTATGGTTCCGCCTGGATGCCTTAAGGCATCAACAGGCCCCTGCATAATAAGCGGACACGCTTGTTGCTCTTAGAAACCAACCACGCTGCAAACAGGACCATCAGCATTGTCCAGATGGATTACGAGCTAAATGTGGAACCCTCTGATGTGAAATTCCTTGGAACGCTGAAGTAAGGAGAGCACTCGACCGTCTTCAAAGTACTGGCACACCATAAAACATTGTGTTTTCAAGGTGGTACGTGTCAAACATCCTTGATTTAGTAGCTCTGTCAGCATGTTAGGTACTGACTTGATGAAAGTATCGCGGCAGAGCTCCTTGTGAGTTCAGTTCCCCAGATACCGAATAAAACCTATTCATCCGCGAGTCTGCGGCCTACAAACGCCTGAAAGAAAAAGGGCTCTGTGATAAAAAAAAAGTCATTCCAGACTTCTACGGCACCATCAATACAAGTTACGCGTTGGCCAGATTTATATCTAATATTTTGCGATGGCGAACTGCCTCCCGACGCGGCTCTCATTGAATATATTCTATGCCTTCGAGAACTAGACCTAGATACCTTTTCAGAGCACCGGGTTATCAAACTGCGCTAGATTCTGGATGAAATTCATCAGGCGAGGGTTGTCCATCATGACCCTTATCCCCGGAATATGATGGTTTCTGTGGAGCCAGGGAAACAAGAGAGAGTGCTCTGGATAGACTTTGATAGTGCGCAAACATTTCCTGGATATAGCCCTCTCTCGTCCCTTCATGATGGGTGGCTTGGGCACGAGAAACGGAGGGTGGATTATTTCTTTAAACATTTAGTAAGTCTTATCGTCTAGATAATAAATGAATAAACCAATAGACTAACAGACAGACACAGGCCTTGGACTATGCGGATGGCAAGCTGAGTCGGGTTTGGTGTTATTACTACACGCGAGGTCGAATATTGAGATGCAGTTTTAGCCCTAATTTTCTCTCTAAGGTTATATAACCTACGCCGAGAAAGGCAGCACGAAAATAAGTACAATATCAAAACAAAAAGGTCTATGCATTAACCTCACGATCTGTTTTATACCCGGACTTTCCACTTCCATTGATATCCCAAACATGTCCACCTCGTCAAGGCCAGTAGCCCCGTCGTCCACACCAACAGCGCCCCAGACCAAAGCACCATCGCTCCCGGGCCGGCTTTTGCCATCAAGTCTCCCGTGACGGGTATACTGATTAACAGGCTGCTCAAGTCAGACTTCATCTTTGAAAACCGCGAATGCACCAAGCAATATATATGTAGGTGAAAATGGGACACATACGCAAAACTAACAACGGAATAACAAGTTCCAAACCTCAATCCAATCTCCTTGGTATCCGAAAACTGTCGGATGCATACCGGCGCAAGACTGATGAAGGAACTGCATGATATACCGTACAGACAGCTGAAGATGTACAGGACGGGTGCGGATTTGCTGAATGGGTAGAGGAGAGCGAAGAGCCAGATGATGGTTAGTAGGACGACGGAGGCGAGTGTGTTGAGACGTCCATATCGGTCGGAGAGACGGCCGGCCATGAGTCGGCCGAGGACGCCGCATCTGTATTATATTAGAGATCTTTTGAAATTTATGAGTGAGGAGAGAAGGGCATACACGTTCATAATGACAATGAGATAGATGCTCATGTTAGTCGAGAAGCCTTCTGTGGTGACGAATGTCGGAAACATTCCGAGGAAGGAAAAGTATTGCAGTTCCAGACCTGTCTCTCGTTAGCTCCGTCTTGCACAAACTAAGGAGAGGGGCGAGACGTACAAAAAGTACTAAAGGTCATCCAGGTAAACTTGAGATCCTTGAAGCATTTGAAATCAACAATCGCCTTGGACGCCTTCGTCCTCGGCAGTCTGGAGCGAACCATGAACGAGCCCAGGAAACACAAAACCCCAACTACAAACGCAAGCACCCTCATCGTCCACTTGAACCCAATATTGGAAAAGCCCGCTCGCAAGACCAAAGGAAACACAGCACCACCGAGCCCCGAGCCAGCCAATGCCGTTCCAATAGCCATTCCGGCACGCACCTGAAACCAGTGCGGAACACAGGCCATCGCCACCGTGCTAAGAATGGCTGCACCAATACCGCCAAGCACACTGAAGCACAGCAGGAACTGCCAATAAGACGTACATTCCGCGAACAGGAAAAGACTCAGCATGAACACCGCTGACCCGGCGTAGACCAGCATCTTGGGGCCGTGGGAGTCAAACAATGGGCCAACCAGCACGCCCAGAAGCAGTGTAACAAACACGAAGACACTCGGGATCCAGCCAACATCGGTGCTGCTGTACGCCGAGAGTTGATTGGTCTCCAGGTAAGACTGAAAGACGCCGACGGAATTCATCATGCCGTACGAGGCCATCAGAAGAGAGAACGAGCCTAGCACGACGAGCCACGACCGCGTCCCGCCATCGGGGAAGCTATCTACAATGTTTGTTGCGTCGTCTGTCGGTGTAGGCTGTTCTTGCCCTGCAGAAGGCTGCTCATGGTCGCCACGATCACTATGGATACCGTGGGACGAAACCCGGTGAAGTGACGATTCGTCTTTGTTGCTGCCTTTTTGGGCATCTGCAGCAACAAAGCCGCATGGGGGAAAATTGGTTAGTTCCAGAGGTATGTCAAAGGTCACCGGTGAATCGGCTAATTTGCTGCTGCCGGTGCTCGTTTGGTGGACAGCAGTCATGGCAATGGCAATGGCGTGTGCCCGGAATAGAGTCTATGCGATTGAAAGCCTTTCGACTGCAAAATGGGAGATGCTGAGGTGCCGGTGAAAAAGATGTTTTTGTTTGGAGAATTCAACGAGGTGATTTGAGGGGTCTTTCTGACTCACGCCGAGTGGGACGCCGGACGCCAGCCGAACTCCGCGTCGGCCTCTCAACACGGAATAGAATCTATCTTTGTTTGTAGATGGAGATATCAATAAAGAGCATGACAGGTCATATGCATTCTAGAACACATTTTGATGCGAACTGGCGCCGTTTGGGCCTGTCTGGGCGGGCGCTAGAAATTTGTTACAGTAGAGAGAGATAGCCCTAACCCTAAGTCTACTGTAACTCCGACATCGCGGACAGGAGAATACATCGGGAACCTGCGTGATTGTATGCCGCAAGCTGATGAATATGAATGAATCCTTTGTGAAGGGACGTAGAACGACGCCACAGCCAGCAGTCGGTACTATTTTGATATTCGCGGAGCCAACCTTGGGCGTTTGCGTCAACGGCCTTTGCCCGCGTGTGGAGACGCAGCTGCCAGCACTCCTTGTTTGTTTGTATACCGCCGGTGCTTTGATGCTGGCATTTCAGGGCGTTGTATTGCCCACATCTGCAGCGGAATTATCCTGTGGCTCGTCAGAGCTCTTTATCTGCATACGTCAGACAAAGGACTACAGGCCTGCGGAGTTTTCATAGCAGAGAGTTCCAACAAGTCATGGCATGGGGTGTAGAAGACGACTTCAGGCATAAAAGGAGCCAAATCACCCACTGAGCTCTTCTTTTTCTTCTCCCCCCAGGGGCTTCCTGCAAAGGTGGCTCTCCCAAATTTGCAGGAGTCCCTGAACCTCCTCGTGATTTTATATATGCAGCGGCATACCTCATGTCTCGCAGTCATTACATTTCATGGCCCTGAAGCCCTACATTTGTTCTTATTTTCGTTTTTCAACCCGATTTCCAAGCTTGACAGTCAATCCACAAAGACCACGCACTGTCATCAGCAAAGCAACATGCCCCTGTGCCGAGACAAACTGTCTCTCGAGCCTCTACTACCAAGAGGCTGCAGAGCTTCTTGATGTCTCGTCCGCGACATATTCTAGCCTCACCCTCTTTACCACAAAGTCAAACCGCCACAAAATGTCAACGAGGGAATTCCAATTGGTGACGAAGAAGAAGGAGATGCTGCCCTCAACATCGTTGATCTCCTAAACCGGTTCACTCCTACTTCGCGTGCCGACTGGTCAGAAAGTCTGAACACGAAGCCACCACGATATTCCGTGATCCGCCCTCGTACCGACATTTTTTTATACCGAAACGGCTGTTGACCTTGCAGCAATGGATCTGACAATAGCAAAAACAGCCGAGGACTTACAAGACAGACCTGATGACTCATTAGTCCGAGAAACCATCAAGGACCTGGCTCATTGACTTTGAGTCCATGCAGCTGAACGGTGATAACCATCTTAAACAAACCGATCAACAGTATGTCCCTCTCCTTACACTCAATTTTCTTCATTAAAGAATACAATAGCTCATGATCCGGCTACAGCATTTATCTCTTTTCTGCCCGCATTACCACGGTAGATGACTTCGCAGATGAGGTATGCTAAATGTAAGGGATTCTCGCTTGATATCAATGTTGAACACTGCTGATTACGTTCAGATCGGAAGGAAGGAACATATAATTGTCGTGACTCCGGACAAAGCCACACGTAATCGCGAGGTCGATGAATCAACACGTTCAAATAACCTCCATCTTTGCCTACCACCGCCTCGTGAGCGTCTTCCTCCCATTATTCTTCAATGAAGAGCTTCAAAAAGACCCCGGGGAATCCTTTCTTCCTAAGAAGCAGAGTTTTGATAGAGTCTGGATTCTTCGACGATGTTCCTACATGGTCAATAGACCAAGCAGATTGGGGGCATCATCATCTGCCCTTACAGAAAAAATCTTTTGGTGAAAACTTCCTGAAAAAGACTCACTCAGGAGCGTCCTTCGGAAGCCTTCATTCTCAGTTTTGATCGTCTACTGCCATTGCCTTGCGCTTACATCACCCCTTCTTCGTGGTGTCTGATCTTGCCCGTTGTCAACTGATTGACAACGCTTGAACGCATTGGCAACGCAGCATGCAATGCCACATCATTTCTTCAGGACGATTCATGTCCTTGCTTCACCTCCAAGATGCCCCAAAACGAAGGCAAATTCCGGCATATGCCACCAGGTCCATCATGACTGCATTCAAAAGCGTTGTGTCGTTTGCCTATCTATGGCAAAAATACGAGTTGTGGAGTTAGTCTCTCACGCAATACATCCACAGGTCGAGACAAAGTACGAATCCGGGAGGTGCTGCTATCTGTCTGAAGAGTTTGGACATACGGCCTGAACTATTGACGGACCCATTCATGAAGAAAAAGACGAAGTCGGGTATTGAACAAAAGAGATGCCGCTCGAAGGCAAATGAACACACAAACCTCGAAAGTTCGGAAGAACAAGCGGATAGGGCTAATGTTCTGACCTCCCAATCTGAAGACAAAGAGAAAAGCATCTACCAATGCTACAAACGATCTTCAGGAAGAGATATGGGGCATACAGGAGACCACCTGCGTGCTGTCAATGGTCTCGCAGTTAACATGCAATGTCTTCTGATGATGCTTGGAAAAACAAGAGCCTGTGCAAGACAAAATCGACCACAAAGCAGCCTCCAACTGTCATGAATACCACCAGAACTTTGATTGTCGGAATGCATTGGACTTAAAAACCACATCAAAACCAGCGTGAAACTCAATGTCTGTCTCCGTGGCTTCAAGTTCTTGAAAAAAGTCTTTTCGATCATCACACAATCCCTAATCGCTTCCTTGAAGTCAGGGACAACCCGTGTATAAGATCAGGCTTGAATATCCTGAGCCCTTTATACCAGGGGGGTTCCCTGTCAATCAGTATACACGACAGCCTGGCTGAAGTTGTTGCAGATCGGAGTCCACGTGTGTCACGCATGAATTGGTGGCCAACTGAATGGATCTTCAATATGTCAACCGAGAATCCTAACTCAATCCAACATATGTGATCTTCGCAAAATGAGATGTACGATGAAATAGGAACGGACCTCGTGGGCGAAATGAGAACAGAGTGGAGGTCTGAGCCACTGGGAAATCGCGTATTTCTTAATCATTCTTTGTGGTCTTTTTGCTCTCTTCTTGCTATCTTCAAAGACCACTTATTGACTTTGAGAACGGTCATGGGCAGCCTCTATTCGCCATCAACGAAAGCCTTCCCCTGACCAGAAACGAACATAATACAACGGGCATCCCAAGAGCCATAGTTATTCTGCCAGGTCGCTAGGTATATGAATGACGTGCTCGTGTGTTATTTTGAATGATGTTTCAAAGCTTGGTTTACAAAACCGGCTCTAGAATTTTGCGTGATGAACATTTTTCTACTTGTACTCGAAGGTTAGGGTTCTTCATAACATACAAAGAGCTCGCTTTATCGAACCGCCAGTTATGCAAGGCAGAAACCAAGTTCATCAGGGGCATCCCCATCACGATGATTTCAAGAGAAAACCATGGCATATATTCCTTTCATGTACGACTTTTTTTTTTGTCAAGCCATTGCCACTGTTTCTCTTATGGACCCTTGTTATGGCCATCTGTGTCATTCGCGACCACGATGGCAACTACCCTACCACTGATAAAGAGACTTGACATTCCTGCTACCATCTGAGAATCAGGAAATGACACGTATGCACAAAGAAGGCCTACTCAGCATTACATTACTGCAGATTATCAGAAGACCCCACGGTGTTGATTGAGACAGTGCTTTGAAGCCGAAAGATAGATACAAATACATCTGGGTATCCGGGCCAAGACAATCGTTCAACCCAATGCAAACAGGCCATCAGCTTTGTACGATTATCTTCTTGATTTTTGTGGGTTGGAGATTGAATCCTGGTTTTCGATACTTGCATTGAGTACCGCTGTGCATCGACGGTAATGACATCAGATGCCTGCAAAGGACACATCTGCCAGATCTGATTGATTATCACCATGTTTCCCATCGTCAGCACGAATCATACACGACATCTGACAACGCCCTCACGCGAAACGCCACGATACAGGCCATCCACTGTCACCAGATGCTTTTCAAAAGAATCACCTCTGGCGCAGGGCTACATGCAGCGGTCAAATAAACCCAGAAGTGTTTGACCTGGAGGATCACAACAGTTGTGGTGTTGATGTGGACGACGATTCTACTCTTCATTACTGCATTCGTCAGTCTCGCTTGCGACGGCTATTTTTGCTCGAACTCTTTTTTCGGTCGAGAGACTCTTGCATATCCGCGTGATCAAATCGAGCAAATGAAAGCTTGTTTGTGCGTTATTTTCGTGACATTGGATGTCGTTTTCTACTACTTAGACACTAGACAACGGGTGTCCCATCCGTATCAACTTCAGGATAGTATGGCCACACGGTTTCTCACTGAAAGAATTGCGATATGCTTGCCCCAAACTTGGTTGCCTAGAGAAACCGGGCAATTCACGGCAACCCTGTGCCCACTGAAAGTTCGGCTGAACATCGAACAACGATTCGCATTTTGGGAGATTTCATCAGGATTGTATCGATCATGTGCAATGAGAATTTGTCTATGGCTAGACCCAGAAACCGCAAAGATCCAAGGCATCGAACGGCGGCCGTGTATATTCATGCCATCTATCAAGATCAAGAACACATGGGGCGTGAATCCACTGGATCAGGAGCTGAGCAACTTGGTGCAGCGGGTTGAGAAAAATATACAGAGAGAAATACAGAATGGGGTATCGCAGGCAAGTGGTCAGAAATCCAAGCCCAACGCCCTCTGCTTCTCCATATATGGACAGAAAGCCTGCTCATGCGGAATACTACTCTTTATTGCCCTCCATAACAACCTTGCTCTTACACAGGAAGCTCTGAAGGCTGTGAGCAAAGGAGCTCCTACAGATCGCTACAGCAACTCGTTTTTAGCGTCATTGTCTAGCATCACGTATATTGCTGGAAGCTTATATGGCTGAGTTAATGCACCACTATCTGTCTTGGTTCTAGCAAGTACCACTCTAGTTAGAGGAAGATGGTGATCGTCTCTTAATTTCCCTGCATGGCGCTCACAATGTATGAGGTAAGTATCGCCTATCAAATCTCTGAAATTGCTTTCACGATTCACTAATCTCTCAAAGATGATTTTTAATCATTCTGCCCGGCAAGCTGCAAGAACGACCCCCTCATGACTGTCCAGGTTCTGGAGATGTTTCCTGGTGTCACCCAGGCCAGGTTGAACGGATTTATTCGTCGAGGAGTTCAACGACCAAGGAGAATCAGACAATCCCTCAGACCGTCTTATCCTGATTTCCACGGTCAGGATCATTGTGACTGGGTTCAATCTCAACCTTTGACTTCTCATCTGGGGCGTTCGTTTCCTCGACAGCCTGGTTCTTCTCAGACGATTTGTTCATTTTAGCAGCTCTCTTCCCAGAGAATCACGCTGGGCTTTCTCTCGACCCTGAGATCCGGGCCTTAGCCAAAATTCCGATCAGAGACAAGAAAACGATATTGTAAAGAATGATAACCTTTACCCAGGCTCTGTCGCAGTGCGAGCTAAAACTGCAATGCGATGACGTTGAACATGCTAAGAATCGTCTAGATATGGCCTGGCCAAAGTCGTTATATCAGATTTCAGAGCGGCTACTAAGCCCCTTAATACATCATACTTGAAATGGGACCCAGGAAAAAACTTGTCCGCTGGGAAGAATACATCGACACCTCCAACAAGAAAGTTAACGATCGTGTAGGCTTACACGTGATCTCTATATTGAGATGATGTACACCATGTGACTGTCCAGCCGCGCCTGAGGGCTTCAATTTCTAGACTTGGAGTGTAGATTCACAACGGGCAAGATTTTCCAAAATAGAAACGGTCGATACCTCGGCGCAAAGAACGTTGAATGGTCATGTATGATGGGAGAACGGATGAAGACTTCTAACGCACGAACATCGCCGTATGGGCTTTTGAGCTTACACAGAGGCACATCAGTCTGCCCTTCGAGCCCCGAAAGGCAATACGCAGGCTGTGCTTCTTGACCCGAGCTTCTGATAGACATAGGATTCAATATTTTTGAGGATAGTCATCGTTTGATTTTTTAATATTCAACCAATATTATTACCCACATCGGCTGAATCTAGAATGCTACACCAACAGCAAGGTATTCACAACAGCCCTACGACAGTTGAGAATTGTCGAGGAAGCAGCACAAAGAGCAACTCGCCGGAATTCCAATTCCCTTCAGTACAACCCCCGAGGTAGAGATCATGGGAGGGGATTTTTGATGAAGAACTGGGTTCTCATTTTTCTCTCCAATTTGGTTTCCTTACTCTTTAACTACCAACACAACTCAGTACCGACAGAATGGTGCCACGCCATCAACAAGTTCAATATTCACAGATGCCTGCCGCAATGCAACAGCAGGCTCTTATTAGCCCTTTGCCACCTACTGTATATTCCCATCCCTTAGCGAAGTCCTTGGAAGGTACTCCAAGCGAGGATCAGCGGTCAAATTTTACGAGCAACACCCAGTTCCGTCATCAATGAGCTGAGCTGATCGTCGTGAGGTCTTCATCAAATTGCTCTCCAGAGCTTTGGAAGGTACAGTCGGTGGCCACTTTGTTAACTTGGCCAGCATCGGGATGCCGCATGGAAGCACATCCAAGATTGGTGAGCCACGGGCAAAGGCTACCGTCATGGACTATTAGTTGGAAAACTTTTGTCCCAGAGATCGTCATGGTTGATATTCATGTCATAGGCGAGATTAAGACTTGGTGGATGTTCAAGCCCAAAAGGCATGAAAACTGCCAGTTCGGTATGGTGCTTTTCTCCGTCTGGTTTATCTCGCTGATAGATGCTAAACTCTCAAATAATCTAGGCCCAGTGGCGCGCTACATGGATGAGGTCAACTGTATATATCATAAAACGAAACATATTCCTTGACAGGAAGAACGAGTACATGTTTTGCGTATCGAAGTTGCTGTTGGATTCTCGGATCTTAGTCATTTGTATACGAGGGTCTCTCTATACTACAAGGATGCATGGAAATGAGTGCATGTACATACAATAAGAGTAGCCGTGTTCGGCTATGTTTGACGATTTGATCGTGTATCTTCGTATGCCTCATTGTATGACGATGAGGGTGTTCTGCAAGGCAGTCTGTTCATGTAATAATGTCCTGGATCTTGTTATTAGGCGTAGCCAGTCATATGTAGTGGTTATGATATAACCCAGGCAGCGAGGCAGCGAGGCAACTAGGCAACTAGGCAACTACCCGCTAACCCACTTTGTCTTTTCCTGTGGACGTGTCAGCGTCAAGACATTCGCGCGTCGTCTGATTCTGATTCAACCTGGCAACTCATTTGAAAGCCAGATGATATCTCATACGCTCGCATCTTGATTTTGAGCTATCAGTCAGGCCTTACTTCACCTCAACCAAGATGAAAATCGCCGAGATCGAGGGCGATCTCTTCGACGCGCCTGATGGCGCAGCGCTTATCCGTATGCTATGTTCACTTAGCCTATCTTCATTTTCAAGAATACAAAATGAGCCTAACTAATCCGTCAACAGATGCATGCAACTGTCTGGGATCCTGGGGCGGCGGGATTGCGAAGAGTTTCAAGAACAAGGTGAGCCAGCTCAATAACCTCATCCGACAACCAAAACAATTAACGATTAACATTTAATATATATATATGTACAGTATCCAGCAGCATTCAAAACCTACAACGCGCACTGCAAACGCTTCCTCAAAACACGCCAGCCCTACACCATCGTGCACTCAACAACCGGCAAACCGCGCACAATAAACGTCCCGCTTGGCACGGCGCTCATAATCCCTCCTCAAAAGGAAGACTACGCTTGTTTCCCAACTCCAGCAACTATAAGCGACGACAGTCACAACAGCCATGATGACCAGGATGGGATGGAAAAAAAGAAAAAACACTGGATCATCTGCCTCTTCACGTCCCGCGCCTACGGGCGATACGTTAGCAAGCCGGACATCATCCTCGAGAACTCGGTGCACGCGATTCGGGACATGCGGCAGCAGCTCGAGCGGTTGTGTGATGCGGAGAATGGAGACGAGTGGACGGGACAGCTGTATTCGTGTCGCTTCAATTCTGGGCTGTTTGGGGTGGAATGGGAGGATTCGAAGCGGGTACTAGAGAGGGAGCTGCAGGGCATGGAAGGCGTGGAGGAGGTGGTTGTTGTGCGGCCAGAAGGGGAGGAGTAACGAGGGGTTGCTCGCTTAGTCATATGGATGACATAATAATGCATCCCACTGAATAAGCGGGATGGTGGGCTGTGGGGCCGGCAAAGGGCGGCCAAGTGGGGCAGCCGCGTGGGGGTTGTTCTTGTTGATTTTGCGGGGTCGTCATCATCTTCCTCTGGCTTCCGTTCTTAATATCACCACGTAACATCAACTAAGGACTACTATGGCGTGTCGGTGAGCTTCCTGTATTTCACATACGTAAAATTACTAATTATCCAGTATTATTGGTCCCATATATGTGCCTAGTCCTGTATATGTCTGATCGCATAGCGAATATGCGTGGCTGTAAACATGCCTTGCTGCGTGGGGGCGCCTGACCTAGTATTATTATTGTAGCCAGCGACGGGGTTATTTCCCTTTCGCCTATTCTAATTTCTATTTTATCCTTTCCACTCAACCTTTTCTTTCATCTCCCTGTCCACCTCTTCACAGCTCTATCAGTCCTTACAAGGGAAAAAAAAAAAGATGTCTCCCCGACCTCTCACCGGCGGCGTCTACGTCCCAACCGTCGCCTTCTTCGACGCCAATGAAGACGTCGACGTCGCCACCGTCTCCAAACACGCCGTCTTCCTCGCCCAGTCTGGCGTCGCCGGCATCGTCGTGCAGGGCAGCAACGGCGAAGCCGTGCACCTGGACCGCGCCGAACGAAAACTCATTGCCAGCACCACACGCCAAGCTCTCGACTCAGCAGGCTACCAACATATTCCCGTCATCGTGGGCACCGGCGCGCAATCAACCCGAGAAACAATCGTGTTCTCTAAGGATGCCGCCGAGGCCGGTTGCGACTACGTGATTGCGTTGCCCCCTTCTTACTACAAGGCGCAGGACACATCGGCGTCCCGAATCAAGTATTTCCAAGACGTCGCCGACGCCTCGCCCATCCCCGTGCTCATCTACAACTTTCCGGGCGCTGCGAATGGCGTGGACCTGAATTCTGACGAGATCATTGCTCTGTCGCAACACCCCAACATCGTCGGCACAAAGCTTACCTGCGCTAACACGGGCAAGTTGGCGCGTATTGCTTCGTCGGTGAATAGGAGCGACTTCTTCACGTTTGGTGGTTCCTGCGACTTTACGCTTCAGACCCTGATTGCCGGTGGTCAGGGCGTGATTGCGGGCACGGCCAACGTTATCCCGCGCGCCAGCGTGGAGGTGTACAAGCTGTATACGGCGGGTAAGGTCGAGGAGGCTCAGAAGCTGCAGGCGATTGTTGCTCGCGCCGACTGGATTGCGATCCAGGGTGGCTATCCGGCTGTGAAGGCTGCGTTGCAGGCATTCTATGGATATGGCGGTGTCCCGCGACGACCTACGCCTGCTGCTGATGTTGCGGCGACCAAGGCTCGGTTTGAGGAAAGTTGGGCTGTGGAGCAGTCGCTTGCTTAATAATCTATGTCTCTTATGACCTTGATCTAGCAAAGATTTGGGACGCGATAGATTATCCTGTAGTAAATACGATGACAATGTGGCCACACCATCCTTTCTTTTTTTTTTTTTTTTTTTTTTTTTTTTTTTTTTTTTTCTTTTCCCCCTGGATATGTAGTATGCAGGAATAGTAGCACTAGCACATCCGAATCCGAATGCATTCATTGCCTGGAAAGGACATCTCCTGAAAAGAACATCTCGACATGCTCTGAAAGGACATTCGGTGTTTTGTCCGATGTGAGTACCCCGCGCAACTCCGCAATGCCCCCACGCTGCGTGCCTCGGCCATTTGTACGAGTGAATCCCTGCTCTTCAACTTCAGCATGCATTCCATTCTCCATTCTGCTCGTGTGGGGGCAAGCTGTTCGGGGGGTGTCCGTACTATGTTCCTAGCTCGCTAGGAATATGGTGTTGGTATCATAGAGAAATGCCGGGGTAGTCGATGATTACTGTATGGAGTACCTCAGGCAGAGATCCAGACCCAGATATAAACCGCACCCTTCCCCGACTTCCTGATTTCTTTACTTACGCCCCTTTATCCTGTGCCTATCTACGCACTTGCTATTTTATTTGAAATATATTATTTTAGTCGTCTCGTCATGGCCCCTATAAAATCCATCGAGTACTTCCGCGTCAAGCCGCGCTGGCTCTTCGTCAAAATCACCGACGAAAAGGGCCGCTATGGCTGGGGCGAGGGCACGCTGGAGGGCCACAGTCTCGCTGTTGAGGGTGCTCTCGACGAGATGATTACGCGATTGATTGGCTACGATGCAGAGTACGTTTTCGTCTCCTTCTTCTTCTTCTTCTTCTTCTTCTTCTTCTTCTTCTTCTTCCTCTTCTTCGAGCGGTTGGCACTAACCTTGATGCAGCGACATCGAGCACATCTGGCAAACAGTCTGGCGTCTGGGTTTCTACCGTGGTGGTCCCGTCTTCATGTCCGCCCTCTCTGGCATTGATATTGCGCTGTGGGATTTGAAGGGGCGGAATCTGGGCGTGCCTGTGTACCAGCTGCTGGGCGGTAAAGTGCGCAACAAGATTCAGGTGTATGCTTGGATAGGAGGTGATCGGCCTAGTGATGTGGAAGTTGCTGCGTGCGTTTCTACCTTGGGGGAGAAAAAGAAAAGAAATAATGCTAACGAATAACAGCAAAGCGCGCATTGCTCAAGGACTGAAATGCATCAAAATGAACGCCACCGAAGACGTGAACTGGGTCGACTCCCCTGCCGTGCTCGACAGCTGTGTTGAACGCCTCAAGACAGTGAAAGCACTCGGTCTCGACGCCGGGCTTGACTTCCACGGCCGTCTACACAAACCCATGGCCAAACAACTGGCCAAAGCCCTCGAACCCCACCGCCCGCTCTTCATCGAAGAGCCTCTACTCTGCGAACACCCCGAAGCCCTGAAACAGCTTTCGGGTCTGACTACTGTTCCAATCGCATTCGGCGAGCGCCTCTATACCCGCTGGGACGTAAAGCGGTTCCTGGAAGACCACTCCGTCGACATCCTACAACCGGATATTGCACATGCAGGCGGCATCAGCGAGACGCGGCGCATTGCCAGTGTGGCGGAAGCATACGACGTTGCCATTGCGCCGCACTGTCCTCTAGGGCCCATCGCGCTCGCGGCGTCCATTCAGGTTGCGCTCAACACGCCCAATTTCGTGATCCAGGAGATGTCTCTGGGCATGCATTACAACGTCGAGGCGGGCGATATTGATCTCAACACGTATCTCAAGGATCAGACCGTTTTTAATATTGAGGACGGCTTCGTCAAGGCGCCTACTGGTGCGGGCTTGGGCATTGAGATTGACGAGGCGCTGGTCAGGAAGATTGCGACGGAGACAGAGCCATGGCAGTGCAAGGAGTTTTATGGCCCGGATGGGTCGATTCGCGAGTGGTGATTTGAATTTTTTAGACAGACATTCTAGCACAATCAATACAAGCAGGTACATAGATGCATACATGATACCCCACGGTAAACCCTCTCGGTAAGAAATGCGAGTCCGCGGTCACTCGCGTGGGGAGTTCCCTAGAACTCCGTACGCTTTTATATTGCGCCCAATCCTATCCCCTGCATTCCACCATCATCATCAAGTAGGTCTACCACAGAATTCAAAATGTCTCTCCCATCCCTCTTCTCCCTCGAAAACCGCACCGCGCTGGTCACAGGCGGCACTCGCGGCATCGGTGCCCAGATGGCCATCGCCCTGGCCGAAGCAGGCGCCGACATTGTTCTCGTGCAGGTGACTACTTGACCATCCCATAACCTACTATCACTCTAGTCTGTCTGACCTGCCAAATACAGAGAGACACCACAAACCAAACAACCAAACAAACCATCGAAACCCTCGGCCGCAAAGCAACCATCTACACGGCCGACCTCTCCTCACGCCCAGCCGTTTCGGAACTCAGCAAAACCGTCCTGGCCGACGGCCACGACATCTCCATCCTCGTAACCTGCGCGGGCATCCAGCGACGCCATCCCGCCGAGCTCTTCCCAGACAGCGACTGGGACGAAGTCCTGCAAGTCAACCTCTCCACCGTCTTCACTCTGTGCCGCGACATAGGCGCCTACATGCTCACACGGCCCGTGTTTCCGGGCACGGAATCCTCCTCGCCCTCCGGGGGATATCGCGGCAGCATCATCAACGTCGCATCTCTCGTCTCCTTCCAAGGCGGCATCACGGTGCCAGCCTACGCAGCCGCCAAAGGCGGGATTGCACAGCTCACCAAAGCGCTGTCCAACGAGTGGGCTAGTAAGGGGGTGAATGTGAACGCGATTGCGCCGGGGTATGTGGCGACGGATATGAATGAGGCGCTGATCAACAATCCGGAGCGTGCGCAGCAGATTCTGGTGCGTATTCCGGCGGGCAGATGGGGCAGTGCAGAGGATTTCAAGGGGCCGACGGTGTTTTTGGCGGGGAGGGCGAGTTTGTATGTTTCGGGGGAGATTTTAACGGTGGACGGGGGGTGGATGGGGAGGTGATGTCTATACCCACAGGTTACTATAGGTAGCTAGCTTAAGTATTGGAAGAAGAAGAAGAAGAAGAAGAAGAAGAACTGCCCATATTATTATCCCATACTATTGACCAGAACGATATCACTGTTGTACATTAAACTATCCCCAGTTATATATATCTGCAACAATGCCAAACGACAGCCATCATTTAAAGAGCGAACACGGCAAGAAGGGCGGCAACAAGCCCGACGGCGCCGCTGGCCTTGTTGGCACTGGCAGCACCAGTGTACTCAGGGACAACGCCGGTCGAGGTGCTGCTGCTGCCGGGAACAACGCCAGAGGAAGAGGCAAAGCCAGTTCCAGAGGTGGTCGCAGTGGCCACCGCAGTGCTGGAACCAACAACGCCAACAGAGGTAGTGGTGGCCGTGCCGGTAGCAGTGCCGGTGGCAGTACCAGTGGCAGAAACAAAAGTTCCACTTCCAGTACCACTGGCAGAGGAAGACTCCGTGACGGTGCCAGAAGAAGCCGTAGTAGTAGCAGCGCTAGTAGCTGAGCCAGAGACGGAAGAAGTAGCAGTGCTGCCTGTGCCGGAGTAGGCGCTGATGCCGCTCGAGATAGCATCGGTGATACCAGAAGCAAGCTCATCAGCAACACCAGACAGCGCCGAGGGGACCTTGTCCGAGATGACCGAGGCCAGGCTCTGGGCGGCAGTCAGCTGGTCCTGGAGACTGGACTCGACCTCTCCGCCAGCACCGGCAGCGACGATGGCAGACTTGTCTGCGACAAGGGCGTCAATAGCGCTCTTGATATCGGTGCTCAAGGTCTGAACGTCGGTGCTGAGTGTGACGGCATCGCTGGTGTCCAGGTCATCTTCGCCCTGCAGCGTAGAGACGCCGCTGTTGGTGATTGAGACGATGTTGTCCCCGTCAGAGAGCAGGGTGCTGGGGTCACCGCTTGTGTAGGACGAGGCGTCCGACTGGAATGTGTTGACGGCTGAGTCGACGGCCGAGACTACCGACTCGAACGCAGAGAGGTCGCGCTGGACCTTGGTCGCTCTTCGTTGTACGAAGCTGGGCTTGGCTAGGGCTTGGGCAGAGAGGCCGAGGGCGATGGCGGAGACGGCGAACTTCATGTTGACGATTAACGAGTGTTTTTGATAAAAAAAAAACAACTACCAGACACTGAGAACGAGTGGGTGTGTGTATAAGGATATATGAGTCGAGGCAGGTGAGTCAGGAATGGTTCAGAGGACAGAACAGGTCTTATATATTGCCTCTGCACACCTAAGTATACTCCTTATACCTGGGTACTACGTTGGTAGCATAGATCAGCTGTCAGCTGCCAGTCAACTCATTCCTCGAGGCAGCCGAGGTACCAGGTGAATACGAGTAAGCCACTGTTATTGCTAATTTCCACATAACCATGTCCAGCCGTAGTCAGGTACAAGGGTCTGTACCGTGTCCTATAGGCAGAGAGGAGAAGGGTCGATGTTTCATGGATCCACGGGCTCATCTGGAATTGGTTGGCTATGTGGTGGCGTTTTTGACTCGATGCATGAGGTTGGCAAATTTCGAGTCATCACATAGTATCATCTATAATCTATACACAGGCATCCTCGTACAACAACAGATTACTCAGATGTTTAACGAGAACTCCTACATCAGCATCCAAACTCGACTGGCAGATCTCCTCCACTCACGGGCCAGAAAGAAAAAGAAACAGAAATTAAACTGAGACATTTCGATGTACAGCCATGTATACCTGTTCTAGCATGCATGTGCGTGCGTGCGTGCGTGCGTGCGTGCTCGACAAGTCCTGCACTGCTACCATTCATTCTATTGATTCGCCATTCGTGCATGACATGTCGCTACAAATTCAAGCTAGCACGCTGCAGCCAAGTAAAAAAATAAAGTGCTGCTATGCCCAGAATGGACGTTGTCCGCGCAAGAGTATCTAATAAACTATTTAGTATTTACCCCGGTTAGGGCAATCCGGGGTAACTCGACGGCGGCGTAGTATCGCCCCATACATATATATAGTCCAGCCCGCTTCTCCGCATAATCCAATACTTTACACTTACTAATTCTATAAATTATGCATATATCTACGTGGGAAAAAAAAAAGGGGGCCCTCGGAAATTGCTGATCGCGCCATTGGAACTAATTGCCCACCCACATAAACCCGTATAAATACAGCTTGTAGGTGAATTAATACTCTCGCCAAGTACTTACAAAGCTGCAGCTTTGGAAGTCAAGCTCGGGGAAACCCGCAGAAACTCAAAGTAACGGTGACATTAGCCTACTTGCAATTATTGAAATAACATGCATTTGGTGGCGATGTTGCTATGCCGAGATCAGCTAGTACTGGATCAGTGGCAGGCAGAGAAATGCGCTTGGGCCGAGGCTTTGCGCCAATAACTATCCCTGTTCAGAGTCCGGGGTATATAACGCTTTAACGCTTATAAGTGTAATCTGGTGTTCAGCTCACGTAAGAGAAATCCGGACATCCAGTCGATGGTAAGGTGCATGCATCCTCGATCTGGGGTGTGTGTTAGGGCAAGCCGACTGCCTAAAGAAGTAATTCGCGCAATTTCGTGAGAGGGGCTCTTATGGCGTGTATAATATAACTAAGCATGGATATATATGTATTATAAATCATGGTAAGAAAGAAATGTACCTGGGTATATGTACGTAAAAAATGTCTTCGTTTATTTTCTTGTCGCATCTAGTCCTTTCTCTGTAGATTCTAGCGCTTTTCTTCTAGATTATTACCCTCCTAGAAGTTTTCTGTGGCTCTGGGTGGAAAGATTCTTGAATAAGATTGGTAAAGAGAAGAGTAGACTAGGCAAAAAGCAACGCCATTTAGAGTAATCTATCTACGCAGCTCCCTGGACACAGAGTTTATTCAAGTGCATTCTATAATAGCATCTCCTTCTCTGTCATAATATCACGGCTTGTCTATATCGTCTTGATTGAGATGAGGGTATACCATCCGATTCGGCGGATTCCCAATTTAGGTCGAGATTTGCTGCATAGTCGAAGAATTTTTCATCGATTATTCTATACAGGTGGGATGATGATTTTATGAGTTGTATTTCCATCCAATCCTTGTACTGCTGTTACCTAAACGTGGGATACTATTTGACGACATCTCATGTTTCTTAGATATACAAGACTGAATATCGAATATTTGAAGCATCCCTAACTTCCACCACAACCTCCTCCTCCTCCTCCTCCTCCTCCATCTCCTCCTCCACACACTGCACCTCCAACACTACAATTACCATGACCACCACCATTATCACCCCCGGGTAAGATATCAAGGACATCATCCAAACCATCAACAAGCTTGCCGACATTATCAAAGAAGCTTCCATGATCCGGACCTCCGTTCTTAGCAACGCATTCACCTGCTGCCACCATATTGGCACACGTGCCCGCCGCACAGTCACCATATCCCCCCATACTGGCATTCAGCAAACCCGGACTGCTCGGGTAAGGGCCGACACTGATGCTTGGGTCGACCATGTACGGTGCATAGAGCCGATTACGATAGGGATAGCCCCATACCATCATTTCCCCAGTTGCATCTCCCTCCGTGCGTCTGTGTTTATGTGCCCGACGAATTGCCTTGGTCCACGCTTGTCGGAGACGCTCTCTTCTAATTTCCTTCTCGAAGCTGGTCTCGGTGCTGGATCGAACAGCGTTGTGAGTCGAAATATGTGGACTTTTATCCGGCTCCGAAGAGATCCGTGGATCATCGCGTAAACCTTTGGCTAGCGTCCGCGAGTGCCTTGTTGACGACGACGATAGTATGCTATCATTTCCAGGATACAAGATGGGCTCCCGTGTAGCTTCGCAGTACCAACAGGTGCATTCGCTGTATAGCTCGCCGTTGGTGAGGCGTTTGTACTCCTTGCTAGTCCATTCAAACGCATCAGAGAGCCTACCTTCGCTCACTTTATCGTCATGGTTGATAAATGTCTTAGGTGTGGTTCGACTGGTCGTATAAGCGTAGTATCGAAATGCAGATAGTTGATGCGTGTGCCACGCAAGATCAATATCCAGTGTTGGTACGGCCATTTGACCGGGATTTCTGAACAAAATTTCAAGGTAAATCGTGTACTTGCGTATCAATCGGTCCATTGTTGTTGGTAGCGTTGGTGAGTGAAGCCAGTCAAGATTATCCATCTTTTGTATGAATACGCCCTGCCGGATAACAGCCCCAACAAGGTCCAGTCCGAATATAGAACTGTTTTCCCAGTAATGAGACATCATGCGCCGGATACCGATTTTTTGTTCTTTTGTAAGTAATATTTTCATTGCTCCATTGATAGTCCCACCATTGATGCTCTGCATTATGTAGGGATCGTTTATCTGCGATTCAACCAGGTTCCGCACACCAATCATGTCGTTCACATTTCCCCCAGGTTTGAGACCGTTGTAAACCACACGATCACCAGCCTTGATAAGATCGTTTGGAAATGAGAACTCCTCGAGGGACTCGGGAATACCTTCTAGATTCAGATAAGTGCCAGGCATTGGATGGCTAGACGCCAGCAGATCTTCCACGTCTTTACGAAACCGAGCGACCCTCATGACTTGATGATTATACTCAAATCCGCACTTGCAATAAGCCTTGAAACTTTTATCAGCGTATCCAGTACATTTTCCAAATGCAAAGTCAGGTGAGGACCCAATCTCTCCAGTTGTCCATGGGACATTGAAATGACGCAAACATCTCAGACACTCAAGTTCTTTTTGCATGGGTTCATGCATATTATCCCAAAGACGCCCAGTAATCTCCGTGAACTTCCTCGCCGCCTCTTCCCCAGGTTGATAGTCAAAACTCCTGGGGTTCACAGCATTGCCGATTAACTGCCATGGAAACTCGGTATTCCATAATGCCATTTTAGAGGCTCGGATGCAATCCTCTAGATATGCACGAGGGTTGAGCATATGGGCATGCCAAACCATGAGGATATCTGCCAGGGGTTGATCTATCAATTAACCAGACCCGTTTATCATTCACCGGCACAACCTACCAAGCGGGGGCAAGTCCCTTGCTGACCACCTCATCTGGTGTGTCTGCATGATACCAGACCATTCAAAGTGGATTTGAAATACTGTAGGAAGCTGTCCAGATGGCACAACCTTTGTCCACCATTCTGCGTAACGATCTACTGCTCGGGATACATATATTTCCCAGCGTTTCTCTTTGATGCGCACCAAGGCCCGGGTCCTTTGGTCAAACTTTTCAGCCTGAGAGTCATATATTCCGAACAATCCGTCAATTGCGGAGACGGTGGCACGCAAGTCGGCTAGCGCTGCAAGTAGCTTCAAGTGTAGAATACATTGATCCTGGGTGACCGGCTTGTCCTCGGCTCCCCCAAGGCCTGGGAAGTGCGGGTCATATGCTGCAGGATTTCCATCGCTGCTCGGTGCAGATCCATGTTTGTGTTTTTCAAACAGCTTTTGTGACAGCCACTCGGCCGTCATATTGATATGTGCGAGTACTTTTGAGTCGATGATGTCTGGCTTTGATGTGCAGAGTAAAAAAGAAACAGGCTACATATGTGACCTCAACAGTTGCAAGTTTTGCTCCGCCACAGTAAAGCTAAGTAGGCTGACGAGTACTTTCAGGGAATAATTACCACTAGGGCCTATCTAGCTCAGCCTTGCCACAGGCTTCAACAAAGGTGCCTTCAGCTGAACCTGGCACCTGTCAATGACTGATTATGTCATTGGTGGCATTGCAGCTAACTAGATGTACAAGCCCGAGATTCTTGCATGCGTTAAACCATACATGGTATGGTGGTGATGCAGCAATCATCTGCTCTGCTTGATCGCTATTCCGAAGAGCTGAGATATATTAAAAGAAAAAAAAAAAAAAAAAAAAAAAAAAAAAAAAAAAAAAAAAAAAAAAAAAAAAACAGCTGATACAGTCGTGATGCTCTTTTATAACGAGAGGTCAGTGTATTAGGATTAAAGATTTAAGGGCTGCATGATTGCTGTCAAAACGTTAAACAATTTTCCGGGGTAGACTCTAGCCTGGATGTTTCTTTGAATGACGATTGTTTGTTGTCGTCAGCTTTTTAGGGTTTTTTTTTTGTTGTTGTTCTTATATGGCATTTCCTAGGAAGACTGCTTGTGGATTTTGTCTTCGATGCTTCGTAGGCCATAACGTACAAAGCTCTTCATTATATCAACTGGTTCCTTTTGTAAGGTATGTCCTTCGCATCACGACGCTGCATATTGAAAGCCAACACTACGGTTCTTGACTGTAAGGTCAAGAACTAGTCCCTCTTTTAAACCATGGTCTGCCTCTAAAGATTGTAGTCCATATAAAAGGTCTAAAAGTTTGAGAGCGGCGGCGGATCATCCAACAGGTCCCCTGATCACCTTCACAGCTAACGAGGAGTTCTGTTTGTCGAACGTATCCTTGGCTTCTGTGATAGTACCGTGGTAAGCGTTGTTGCTGCTAGAAAAAAAACCCCCTAGACTGCATTGGAAACTTGTAATGCCCATCCAAAACCAGTGGCTTCAACCTGGATAGACTCGGTGGTTATACATCAATTCCCAGGTTATTTCTAATAAATAGCCTTTATACATTCTAATTTCTACACGCATTCTGCCCTGTTAAGTCATGTGTTATCATACGATTCATGGTAGCCTCCCGGACTCCATCCAGCTCTCAATGCATACGAGTACGGGAATCTTCGGAGTAAGCGAGAGCTAATAGTTGGAATGCATAGTAAGCTCTGTCATATCCGTTCTACTCGCTAGCTAGTTGCATTAAGAAGTAACACATATATTGTACCATTCGGTGCTTGATGCTTAAGCGCGTGCTTACGGCCAGCAGCTAGTTCTACAAGGCCCATATTCGAACTCTTTAAAATTCAATATACCGAAATATTCCTCTCTTGCTTTTTCAGTTGATCTGTTCCAGTTTCATGTTATTCGGTTCACTATTTCAGTAGTTCTCGCTGAACATTAAACTCCGGTTTTTCCAACACAGAAGCTTTACCCCCGGGTGAAGCGTGGCATATGGTTGCCTACTTGCCCCCCTCACCATATGCCATGTCTAGCCTCATCCATATTCTCGTTACAAATTTGCCAAATTAAGCTCAAAAGTAGGAGATTGCCAGAAAATCGTCTATTTTCTATATTGATCACCGCAACTGCCGCAATACCGTCGAATTCTCCGAATAGCATGAAGTGGTTCAGCCTCAGGCTCGCTTGTATCATTCCTCTCTATTGATCCAGTTCCACCTGATGTGGATCCTATGTTGATCTATTTATTGCGCATATGATTGTATAAATATTCTTTCCTAGATATCAAGTATAGTCAATCAAGGGAATCAATTGCATAGTGGTGTTGAAGTTGGGGGGGATAAAGCAGACTCAGTAAGAGATACTCACGATGCTCACCATAAATTAGGCAGGCACTGACCGTTGCGCTGCCAAATGCTTCTGTTAAATCTACATTGGCATACAATATGCAATAACCTAGTTGTTCTAATGTAACTTGATGTTACTCCCGCATGTCGAGGTCCAAGTTAAAGCATATATACAGATTTCGATGACAAACAAGAAGGAGGTGCCTCAATTTTACTTACTAGCTATGTCTAAACCCTAACAAAAGGAGTCTCTTGACGGTTAGCTCAAAAACACCAAACGCTTGTATGCCTAGGCTTCCTTGACATGGAAATTGACCTATCAAACATTCTTCAAATATCCCAATAGCAAATCCGGGCCTACAAGGATGCACCGTCTGGATCATCCCATAGAATGGATATTAGCTTTCTATTTATATTTATATATGTTAGAACTCTTACGATTAGAAAGATAGTTAACTATTTCATAAGTTTGGGCTGCTTGAGATTATCTGGTTCTTCAATTTAAGCTGGCAATCTTGGAACTGTTTGTACGTAAAATCACAAAGAAAAATACCAGTAAATGGTCAAACTGTCGGTCAACGGTACAATTATCAACAAAATGGCATGAGCATCCTCATCCTCATCCTCATGGCGCTGTAAGTGCGCAGTTCTCGTGGGGTAAATTGGTAGTCAATTTGAAAAGTCAGTCATATTCATACGGATTATTTCCGCCAAGAGAAAAAAAAAAAAAAAAAAAAAAAAAAAAAAACAGGCAAGACGCCTAACTCGGTGGATCGACAATAGCTGTATCAACTCCATGCATGTTGGCAGGGAATCTGCAATTGACACCAGAGCATTTCATGTTTGAACAATTGTGCCCGGCTGTGCATCTCACATTATCACAGAAAATACCAATGGGACAGACAGATGATCTGGCGATATACGTCAAATCAACGGTTTTCTGAGAACTGAGTGCTGGTCCATGTTTGTGTGTGCAGTCATTGAAGGTACACGATCCCAAGAGGTGAAACTGGTTGCACAACTTCTGGCGTTTCAACTCCTCGACATTCTCTCTTGAAGAGTAATGCACCAGACTGTCAACACGTTGGCCTTTAGCATTCGTAAATACTTGTAGTTTTATTTTACCCCCATTCGGTGTCGTAGGACTAAGTACTAGAGGCGATGATTGTATAGGAGGGCTTTTCTTCGCTGCAGACGCGTAATCCGGGGTAGGTGTCCTCGGAGGAGTGATGTAAGTACTTGTACCGCTGAAGGACACTCGCCTTGACTTGAGCTTGTGCGACATGAATACACTTTCAAACGAAGTTGTCTCGAAGTCTGCCGCTAATTCCTCCATCTCTCGAGCAAAGGGAGGCTTCGATCCCCTGTGTGGACCGAGGACGCGGGCCCATCCATTATCAGCAGAGGCGCAAAAGACGACGCGCACACAATGGACGTCTACGATATCCTGCTCGAAATGAGCTAAAGAGTCGGGATCGGTCAGTTGGGTACTCTAAGTATTGTTTGCTGCATTTTGAGTAGAACACACAGAACAACAACTATAAGTAACTGACCTTTCAGCTTAACATCAGCACACTCCTTTCCATTTCCTGCATCCACAAAATCGCATAATATATTCGCCTTATTAAAGGCTTGAAGAAATGTGGTCAAATTCTCATTACCATGGAGAATGCTGGCATCACGATAGGCCTTCGTCAGGCCTTCCACGTTGGCATACACACGAATTTTATACGGGATATTTGGTGGCACTTGAGTACCAAGGTTTTCGATATGGTCTTCCGCTGCCTTGATCAGGAGCCGAGCGGCCTCGTAACCCCCGTTCTGCCCATGTTGAATGAACTTCTCATGGAACTAAATAGCCGAAGAATCAGTAAATGGACGAATAAATAGTCCCGGCAGATTAGAAATCAGGGGGCTTATATTCATACCATCTCCGTCAACCAATACAGAAACATAGCTAAGTTTATCCTAGAATAGCCGACATGAGGGACGAATCGATTTCACTTGAGGAAAACCCACCTGTTTACACTGTAAGATCTTCAACATATGCATGTGTGTCTTGTTATCTTCTCTATGTGAGGCAACAAGCCGCTTCTGGTCTTCCACTTCCTCTTTCGTTTTGTTCGAGCTCGTGCTTAAGGGCGTTGATACTATCAAATAGTTCCTATGTGACAGTTTTGGTAGCGACCATTTCAATTTGTTGGCCTATTCGCCTTCTGCATGAAGCAAGCGAACCGCTATTATCTCGTCCTTGCAGGCTTGAACAGCACATGCATCGGCATGCCGTCTCTTGACAGCAGACGACTCAATTTCTCTCATCCTGATCAACATATGTAATCAGAGCACTCACTATACCAGGGTAAAGGGCCCTGTGCAGCACCGAAATGCTGGAGACAGGTCAAGTACGAATTGATGGGTTATCTGCCAGGCAAAAGTTTGGATAGTATCCGATTCCCTCGGTGATGAAGCCGCCCTGCTCGAGGAAGACATACTCATGTCATGATGCTCTGCTATAACATGAGGCCAGTACATTAGGATGAACGTGTTAAGAGCTGAATGCTTAGTTCGTCCATATGTCACAGAGTGCTGTCCATTAGGTACCATGAACAAACAAATCAAGGCCAGAAATTATAACTGCTCAATTTTCTTCAAAATCGTCATGCTCCACTAATTCACTATGCATCTTTAAGGCTGAGAAAAGGGGATGGCACATGAATGTAAAGGCTTTCCCTGTAGACAAAAGTCAAGAATGTCTTCTTTTGCCGAGAACTCGCGATTTTCTCCAAATCCGCACTGTACAGTCATCACCAGCGGAGGCAAAAATATCTGGATAGGCATGGTTGAATGAAATTGAATTGACGCAACCTGTCGTATGCCCTTCCAAGATGTCCAGGATTCTGCCACTGTCACGATCCCAGATATATATGCGAGAGTCTTCGCTACCGCTCACAACCAGTCTTCCGTCAGTACCCAAGTGATGACGTCCGTGCATAAAAGACTCTGGTTGCGGCCCTCTGAAACGACGAATTAAACGCCTTTCTGCGAGGTGAATAAGCTGAACTTCACCCGATGAAAAACGTACAAGGATATACCTTGCGTCATCACTCACAGTGACACAAGTCAGCCTTTCTCTAAATTCAAGGCTGAGCTTCTTCTCATGATTCTGAAAGTCATACACGTGAATTCTTCTACGCGAATAATCCCCTGTGATCAATTGAGTTCCGTCTGGTGTTAAGGACCAGGCTACAGCAGGGAAATCTTCAGGCCACGAATACAGAAGTTCGCCGCTGTCACTCCATTGGTGTAATTGCGAGCGGTTTTCAGAGGAACTGATAAACGTTTTGCCATCGATAGAAAAGATGGCTGCGGTCGCTTTTCGATGATAGCAGTGGAATTCTAAATCACCTGTCTGAAGATGGTAAAGAAAAACGATAAGTCGTCATGTTCAATAACAGTGAGCAAAGGGAGTATAGAATACCTACAATTACGTTCCACATCCGAATGGTGCCATTCCAATAGCAACTGACCAACTTTTTATCATCTGGGCTCCATGAAATAGCAATAACCCACTCGTTAGGCTTGTGCTCACCATGAGCACATAGAAGGTGGATAATCGTAAATGATAATGTATCATAGATAATGATACTTCCATCCATGCTGCCGGTAGCAAGCTGGTTTCCACTATGCGAAAATTCAGAAACCCATACTTCATCAGAATGATCATGTAAAACATGAGATACGTAAAAGCTCGGTAAAAATGTAACACTGAGGTTATTGTTGTGCTCGCGCCGCTGATCAGTCAAGCTGACCAAGATCTTCTTCAATTCGTCTCCACCATTTTTATTTTGTTCTACTGCCATCAAAAGGTTCTCTGTAATGATTACTCGACCACCTAGTCGATCGAGGAGCAGTGTCATCACCTCGGCGTTGAAAAATCGTGCACCTAGTTCTACCACCTTGGCCGGTGTGACAAGGACTAAGTCGTAGTTATATCGTTCAGTAAGCAATAGCAACATCAACTGATTGCGACTTTCCCACCCATTCGTTGCTATAGCCACCACTAGTTGTTCTGCAATAGCGATCTGACCATTTGCTTGATCAAGTAGTAAAGCCATCATATGCAGGGCATTGTGTTTGTGATATGTTGCTTCCTCCAGAACGTCTTCAATCACAAAGTTCGGATCAAGTTGGTGAGCAAGTAACAGTGCGAGCATTTCTTCGTTATGCCATTCGTTGCGCGTCGCCGCCACCATGACTTCCGTTGTGATCGAAAAGTATTTGCCTAGCTTATGGAGAAGCAGCTTCACCAATTCGACAGGACAGAATCGAATAGCCAGTTTGACCAAGTCTGGGGTTATGAAATTGTCGATAAATCCTCGGCCCAGCAACATTTCCATTATCTCTATCCCTTCACTTGCATACCAAGTCCAAGTCTCCTCTGTTTCTTCTATAGTTGGGATCAGGTCTCCTCGCTGTTCAGGCGGAACTCCCATAAACCCAGAAGTCCGTAGAACCGCCTTGAACAGCTTTTCTGTGATAAATATCTGGTCTCCTCGCTTTTCAAGTAGAACTGCCATTGCCCCAGGATTCCTCAAAGCATCCTTGACTATTTCTTCTGTGATTAGGATCTGATCCCCTCGTTGCTCAATAAGAAATGCTATAATCTCTATGTCTCTATTGTTGTTAACCACGGATGGTCCATCTTCCTTGGTCCTCACAGCAGCTTTGACGACCTCTTCGGTGATGGGAATCTGGTCTCCTCGTTGCTCAAATAGAAACATCATAATCTCTTTGCCACATATAGCATTACTCACAGCAGCTTTGATCATATCTTCTGTAACTAGGATCTGATCCCCTCGTTGTTCAAGTAGAAACGTTATAATATCTTTCCCATGTGCAGAATTGCTCACGGCAGCTTTGACCACCTCTTCTGTAATTGGGATCTGGTCTCCTCGTTGTTCAAGTAGAAGTTTCATTGGCTCTTTTGAACCTCTAGACTGTGCTGCAGCAATGACTACTTCTTCATTAATCACCGCGTTTTCGTTCAGTCGTTCTAAAAGAGCACTGAGGATATCTGTATGTCCGAAAAAAGCAGCTATCTCTAACGGTGTCCTTCCGGATTTGTCTTTGAAGACATTATCATGATAGATCTTTGTTTGCCTATCATGTCCTTTCATTGGTATTGCGTGATGGATCAACGGTAAAATATTCCATGCCGCTGCAACATGGAATATTGTGCCCTCTTGAGGTACAGGTTTTCTCGAACTTCGCCTATACAGCTCCAGCCACGATTCCATTCCTTTGGAATTTACACTGAAAAAATCAACCTGTGATGGAACAACAGCGAAATCTGTCATTGCTAAACGGACATGCTCCATCCAGAAAAACACGGAGTACCTAAGGAATGAATCCTTCATAACGTCTCCGTAGTTGACTTTTAGGTTCGCATCCGCATACTGAATAAGGCGATCAACGCAACGATAAGCGAGCATAGCATGAGCTTTTGTTTCACTGATAAAATGCCGATGCAAGAAGTCCTTGGTAGATTTATGGAGTAACTGAACTTGATCATCCTGAATTACCACCAGGAGTCGGCAAGAATGAATTTCATCGCGCGTAAATATCAGTCGCTCTTCCTCCTCTTCATCGATGTACAACTCACAAACAAGAGATAGCTCTGACACACTTAGTGGATGACGGGAGACTGCAATCACACTCAGTAGGCGTTTGATCTTAGCCTCATCTGGATTGCTTTGCACGCATCTGTCGAGTAGTCTTTGATATAATGAGTAAAGTCCCGAAGGTAAACCTTGCAAGTATCGGATGGCATCCTTTGATTGTTTTTCATCCAGTTCGTCGCATGCGATGCCGATCCATAAGAATGTACCACCTGCTTTTTCTTTCAAGATACGAGTGACCTCGTCTGCAATCTTCTTGGTATATTTTTTTCTTGCTCTAAATTGAGCAACCCTTTCTGAGATAAAGAGCTCTACGTCTCGCTTTGACTTGTCGAATGAGCCCAGGTCCTTATTGTTGAATTGTTCCAAATCCTCCCGTATCTCTTGGTAGGGTCTGCTTGTAACCAAAATGCGTACGTGCGGGGCTGAATAACCTGACGTAGAGTCTCGAAAGGATTGTCTAAATTGTTTGAGGAGAGTCTTCTGAGACTCAGTATCACATTCATCTAGGGCATCGATGATGATGTACTTCGTGCCTGTCGCTGGGTCATTCACGATATCCATAAGGACGCCCCATAGAGAATCAAAGGATGAAAAGAGCGTTGCCTTTCGGTCGTTGTACTTAGGCAAAATAAACCGTAGAAGTTCAGGTCGTTGTATCACGAGGTGATATAAGATACCACGTAAAACTCCAGTAACTGTTGTCCGGTTTCCTGAGCTAGACTCACAGAAGAAGTATGCAAGCAGTTTCTGGCCGGAAGCGAAAGATGGTGTTTTTGATAGCTCCTCCACAAGAGTGATTGCCATGGTCGATTTACCAGTGCCGGGTAGTCCATGAAGCCATAGAATGCCTGGATCGTTTGAAGATTGTTGTATATCTCCGAGCCAAGTCTTCAATTCGATGGTATCAAGCATCCAGCTGCACGTCCCAGAAGCTCGGTCTCCTTTTCTACGCTTGAGCGCGTTCTTATCCTCAACTGGATCAGTCAAGAAAAGGTCCCGCAAACAGTCTTTTGCTTCTTTAGTCTCTAATATACCCCCTAAACATAGGTTAGAAGGGGTGTCCCCGGAAACGAATGATTAGCTTACGATTGATCTCCCCAGTCACAGAAACAGGAACTACCGATAAAAGCTCCTTACTAAATGCCGCTGCCGTAAGTGCTGCATACCCTTGCCAGCCCTTATTCTTATGAGAGTCACAATAATCACAGATCCCTCGGACCACCAGACAGGGTAGATGGTTCATAATCCCTGCCGCTTCCATCTCAAAGCAAAGAGCGTTGGTCTCTTTCGCAATCCGGTCTCGAGATTGACCATCTTTGATAACTTGGTTACCGGATGCAATCACCCCGTAGTGGACCTGAGGCTCAGTCGAGGTTCTCAGTTTTCGCTGTATCAGCTGCTTCAAATCACAGCCCGCGCATGTCTTCTCCAGATCTGGATGATCATATGCTGGCAGAAACAGCCGATCATACAGTTCATCAGGCTTTGAAAACTCACTCTTCATATCTAGGTGCTTATCGAGTATTCGCGCCACAGTCTCCGATATCTTGCTACTATTTTCCATCATTCTATCGGATCGTAGTCGTGCAATCGCAGTAAGTAGGATTGTGTGCGGCTGATTTAACATGCCAGTTCGCTGAGAATCGCCACCGCTTACTGTTTTCCCAAGATCATATTGTACCACACCCCCAACGGTGCCAGACGGATGACTGACCACCACGTCGCCCAGTCGAATGTCATTATCGTTGCTGGGCACGCCTCCCCCTATGCCGACCATGAGGCCGTAGCGGACATTTGGAAAGGTTGACCGGAGATGCGATATGACCGCCGTCGCCGAAGTAGTGCCATAAACCCCGGCTGGTAGGCACGCAATGACGACGTTATGGCCGTGAATTCGTCCGAGAGTATAGGTGTTATTGTCGGTATGCGGATTCGGAAGTTCGGCATGGGTTTCATCTAATATCGCTTTTGCAGCGGTCCTCTCCAACGGCAGTGCGCAAATCCACCCGATGGTGTAGTCCTTATGAGATCGCATCTCGACTTTGAGTTCAGAAGTCTAATTTTTTGCGAGGAAAAGACAAAGAACAATAATGCAAGCGTTGAGATTTCTAGAAACAAGTCATACAGAGGAAACAACCAATACTTGAAGTCCACGGTCTGTTACCCCCCGCGCAAGGCTGAGATGAGGCGAAGAGATTATTCATGATTGGCCAGGTCTTGCATATGTGCGACTTGTTAATTTCGTAGCACCCTACTGGCAGGAACTTCGTTTATCTCTGGTCTTGGAACCGTTACCTAGGTACGAGTATGGAGGTACCGTCCATGGTTGTGTCACCATGAAAAACAAATCATGGCAAGACATGATAATTACTTTATTTTTCTTTTTTTTTCTCCCTCAGTACCATATTCACCTACTCCCTCATACAGCTATGGGGTGGTTGGAAAGAAGGGAAAAAGCAAAATGTCTCAACAAAAGCAGGCGCCGGCCGAAAACTGTTGCTCATCTCACTCCCACTAGAGATAATTCAATTCTGCTCATAATACAGGATCTGGATTTGAATGACGTTCTTTCCTATGATGCGGACCTGCAGCTACATGTCTATAGCACTAGATTCTACGCTGTATCAACAAGCCGTCGTCGCTGGCATACACTACGCCAGGTTCTTACACGCAGCCATTTGGGGCATGCCAACAATGATATCCAAGTTTCTGAAGGCAGGAGTCTTGATGAGTAATACAACTGCTATGAACACGAACATGCTCGCGATAGTTGTATCAGTGTTGCAAAACAAAAGGCTCTCACCCTCAACTTTCATCCACTACTGGCCGCCGCGAATTTTGGGCATGTGCGAGTGGCTTTGCGGACGTCGTTGATTTCCTCCTTCTCCTGGGGTTCGTAGGCGTCAATCAGCATGTTGGTAATTGCAGCTTTCTTTATACCGCGTCTACAAATTACCATTTACCGGCGGTCAAGATGCTAGTGAAGCATGGAGTAAGAATGGAGAACGGGAGCGACACCGGCGTGGTAACCACGTCCTTTTATAGGTCCTACCATCCACTGGCTCTTGATATTGTCAAATTCCTGCTAAGGTCCGGTTGTAATGTCGCAAATGGCGGTCGCCACGCCTGTGCTTTGTTGCATATGGCCGAATTGGGCGGGAAAGGGTGCGAAGAATTGCGGCAGTTCCTCCTAGATAACGGCTCGGAATGAACGAGTTGGACGAGGGAATCATCATGGATGGTCCCATGATCAAAGCCCTTTGTGCTACGATAAGCTACATCGATACTGTGAAGGCTCTTATCGACTCATGCGCTGACATGTCCGCCATTTCCTTGATGCTCAACTACGGGCTTGAAGCTTGGACCAGCCCATATACTGCCATTAGACAATCTCTTGATCAAATTATTAAACGATAATTAGTTTCTTGTTAAGGGAGTATGCGAATGTTTCGGTCTTGTTAGCATACGATATAGATAGTCGGAGTTAATTGTGGAATATGACGGGCACTTAACCCTAATCCATAAAATTCTCCTATGAATGCCTTCTAATAAAATTATACATGACTATACTTGCCTTTGACGTCCTCTTTCCTGAATCTGCTCACTGTACCATTTCTGCACCACAAGCCATGTTAGTTGGATACTCGTTGATGATTAGTCAAGGGACATATGCTTACAAACTCGGCACCCGCACGCTGCCCGGAGATCTTCACAAGCCATGAAGGGGAGAAGGGATTGCCAATAAACCGCGCCTCCTCATCGGGTACCTTTCCATTCAGAATGACACTATTGGGTAAAGAGGGCTGGAGTGCTGCCGGTCGTGCGATTCCAGCCATGTCACACGCATCATCCTTGATGGCACCGGCGATTCCCTTTCTGGTGCGGAAACCTCCAGTCAGCAGCAGCGAGATATTGGGTACTTCGTTGCGGATAACGCTTGCAAATTCCAAAAAGAAAGCTTCACGCGCAAGAGTATGCGAAGACTTTTCCCCCTGAGGCTGGACAGCAGCTTGCATCATCTATATAGGGTGGGGGTTGATTAGCTGCAAATAATACAACCTACAATAAGAGCAATGAATCAAAAGGAAAAGCCCTACCTGGGGGTCTTCATACGTCCCACCGCTGATTTCGACAAAGTCTATCCCAGTCCCAACGATCATCTTCAGCTGAATCACGCAAGCGGCAAGGGCCTTGCGCGACTGGTGGTCGACAGAGTTCAGCTTCACGCCAACGCAGAAAGAGGCAGGGACTGCATTCCGAACGGCACAAATAATCTCAATGATAAGTCTCGCACGGTTTTCTACTGAACCTCCATAACGATCGGTGCGATGGTTTGAGTCTGCGGATAGAAATTGGGCTAGAAGATATCCATGAGCAGCGTGGATCTCTACGCCTTGAAGACCTGCTTCATAGGCAAGACGACTGCACTCCACGAACTGCTTGATTACCAAGTCTATATCTGCCTGGGTCATATGGCGTGGAGTACCGAACACAAACGAGCTGGAAAAGCGAGCTAGCAGCCCAGGTCCCAGGTTAAGCGGAATGGCACTCGGGGCAATGTTCTTCTCGAAGAAACCGCGTGAGCCTGCGCCGAGAGGCGACTGTCGTCCTGGATGGTTAATCTGCATGATAGCTGGAGTGCCATTTTTTTGTGCAGGCCTCAGCCAGAATCCTCCATTTCGCGAGGAACTCGGTTTTATTGGAGGGATCAACCGTGTTATCGCGCGCATCCGCAAGGTACCTCTTGTCAACGTTGACGTTGCCTACATAGAAAGCATCAAGTCATTCAATAATGGTCCTGGCTCCCACAGTTAACTAGGTGGGATGAGATATACCGGTAAGGATCATGCCCCAGCCACCATTTCCCCATTCCCTGTAGACATTGTTGTGCAGTGCTGTCGGAAGGCCATGATCATCTGCCATGCATTCCGCCATTGCAGCTTTCACCAGGCGGTTCTTCAGCTGCAGGCCACATTTTAGTGTCAAGGGTTGGGCGATTGTCGATTCCATGCTGCGTAAACCACGCAGTAAACGTTGGAAATGAAGTACGAGGACATGAGTCTGCAGTTTTTTTGAGTTAGTACTCAGCGGTCAGCCTACATTACCCTAAGTCTCTTGCATGTGCACTAAAAATTAGTTTGGCCGGTCTCTTCCACTTGTTTGCTCCGTACTCTTCATTAAGCCTCGCGATTAGGCAGCGCTTGTTATGTATGGCTAGCTAATGCCTAATGCTTAATCCTACCTACGAGCTGTTACGCAGCGCTTAAAAATAGCCAGGTTTAGATTTAGTCATCTGCAATTCTTCATACAATTCTGAATCGTTTTGACAAATAAGCCCCAACCATGAAGTGCATCTTCTGCAGACGTTGATCTTTGAAAATCCAAGGCGCTACTCAAAATAGAAATCCTAGGGCTAGCTTAAAGGAGCTAAACTCCTCTTAGCTTCAGCGTTCTTTCTGTTCACATCGCTAGTAGGCCATGTGATTGGTCATGTTGATTCTTGGCACTATTGACTGCCCTGATTGGCATATGGAAAGGTGGGGTGTCAGGGATATCCCGCTTTGAAAGTTTGAGCTCCAATTTTTCACGTGATCAATATCAATGCTTTTCAGCCCCATGGGCCTTGCAGGAAATGGCACCAACTTGCAAGCGAGGACGAATCGTCGCTGGTCTTATCGTTATATTTGCTCGACTTATTGCTTACTTGGCATTAGCACAAGGTTGAGTATACTAACGAACTATGCGTGGATGATTTGTATTTATGGATATATTCATATATATACAGTAAACAACCTTGCCTACATACATTAGCCAGTCCCACGCCGAAATGTTGCCCTTGATAGTCATTTACCAACAGGCTACGCCAGACCTAGGTATTCTATCTACCTAGGTACTACATAGATCTGCCAGCCGAGAAAAGTAAGCAGTAAACAAACATATTTAAGATATAAATTAAAACTTGTATTAGAATTCCTGAACTCTCTCGTATACGTGAGTCCATCCCCCTGCCATAACCACCCCGCCTTGATGGCTTCTTTCTCTACCAGTACCTGCCTAAGCAGGTAGGTAGTAACTATACTTATAGTATGACAATGTGAAATTCCACTCACCACCATATGTAATGCTAAAACATGCGTATTCGTATGCGTATGCGTGAATGAACAAACTAACAAAACAAAACACAAACAACCCCCCCACTTCCCCCAGCTATGTATAGCCCCGCGCTATGCTTGATTGAAAATAAGATGCGATGCAGAACGTAAGGAAGGGTTTGTATCGTGTGTGGTATATGCAGGTGAACAATGAATAGCGAATGAATGATGATTGATCCGTAGAATTATGTTGAGGCTGTCTTCTTTTTTTCCTCTCTTATTTTCTCTTTCCCTTGATGGCAATGGCGCAGTCGCCGCGCTAAGGCTGGCTAGTGTCATAAAAAAGTAATTTTTCTTCGGTATCAGAGACTGACACTCTACCAGAAAACATCATGCATCGTCCTGCGAACGATTAGCGTCACGGTGACATGGGCTAGGCAGGGTAGAGCAGGACAGGGCAGGACGCATGTCAAATCAGCGATATAGGCCTACTTCAGAAAACTGAGCCTCTTCATCTCCCCTCCCCGCCACCACCACTTGAGAAAGCTTTCGCAGTAACGATGCACAGATAGCACACGCTCTCTGAGAAGCCATATCCCTCAGCGCCATCTCATTGAGCCAACTAGCCGCTTTCTCCAGTGCCTGTCTGGGTTCCACAGCAGAAACTCCCCCGGCCGCCGCCGCCGTCGTCGCAGGATTCAGTGGGAAGTCGATTAAGAGTACAGCTGTTGCTTGAACCAGATAGTGTAGTATGCACCACCATGGAGCCACCTGGTTGAGCCACGAGGCATCGTACTCCGCCGGGAACAGATCTAGCATGCGGCACGCAGATTGCACACAGGAGGCTGCTATTCGATCGTAAAAGCTGTCGTCGGCAGCAACCGGTCTGTCAGAGTAGTGCAAGCATGGCTTGCAGGCTAATATCTTGGCACTGTAAAAGTGCAATGCCAAACAAAGATTAAATCGCTCCCGTGTAGCTAGTTGTTCTTTCCCTATAAATCGAAAGCCTGCCGGCAACTTGGAAAGCCAGGCCTCTAATTTGGCATTCGCGTCTGTAATGGCCCCGCCAGCGTCACGAGATGAGTTCTGGACGATTTCTGGTGCATAGAGAGTCTCAACGATCTCTCGGTTAATCCGAGTGAGATCAACGAAGCACACAAAGTAGAGCGCCATGTTCGGCTTCAGTGTCTCCATCGCACTCCGCACTGACTTCTCATCAAGCGTCACAAACAGTTCCCCAATAGGCCGCGTAACGACATGTCCCAAAAGAGTGTTGCGAATCTTGAGTTCTGACATCATGCGTATTACGTTTGTGTCCGTATATTCATGTTCTTCGAAGGGCACGGGCAGCGGCGTCGTACAAAAGTCTTTCTCCACGCTCAAGGGACGCCCCGTCATATTACCAAGAATCGTCTCAAGAGTATAAAGCGACCACCAGACTTTGTAGCGAGATTCTTTCGATGCAAGCGTCACATAATTACTTTCGCTGCGAAGATTGAGTCCCATGGCCGTCGCCGAGCGGATCGCCATGCCGCATATTCTCCATGCCCTAGTATCCGTCCGTCATATTTTAGCTCAATCCTGAACAATGGAGAGACAAAGAAAAAAAAGAAAACAGAGGCTTAAACAATACCTGTTTACATGGCCCGAAGCCAGGAGAAAAATTGCTGTCAGACCTTCAATTTGCACTTGTTGTAGGTCAGGGTGGTCCAGAAGAGCGTGATCTGTCATGCTGAGCTTCCATGCTCGGGAGAAGTATAACAGACTGTCATCGTTCGCCGCTAACGAGTTCGGCTGCATCTGATAGTTGAAACATCGCGACGAGGTGGCAAACACGAGGTTTAGAACAGCCAGCCATCTCCGGCCCGGTCGCACAAAGGGAGAGTTGTAGAAGGTATTCAGCTGGCGGACAAACGTATCTTGCACTATGATGGGAAAAGTAGGGTGCACCGTAGTGAAAAAGTTCTGCACTAAACTGTTCGCAATAGCCTGCTGCGGCCGTGCTAAAGGCTCTGCATCCTCGAGAACGGCAAGTTCATTGTCATCTAGGAAGTAGCTTACGGAGGCAATGGAATTATGATCTTGCTGATCTTCCGGTGTCCATGTTTCAATGCTGTTTATCTCCGAGAACTTAAATTCAAGCTCGCGTTTGAGTTGATATAACCACGACGTTTCCGAGTGCTTCCCCATAAAACCCAGTGACTTGGACCGCTCGTTCCGATTGAAGTCTTCCTCCGTATAATCGGCACCGCTTAGAAAGCCAGTAACAATTGGTCGCGGCGGTGTTCCTGTGAGATCTATGTCAGAAGGACCTAGTTCCGATGGCGCAGGTCGAGTCACTGGCATAGAAAGCTCGTCGGCAATGGACCCGTCACCCTCAAAGTTATACTACAGACGCTACGTTAGGCCGTTGCCGGGGAGGGAGCATGGGAACAGACAAGAAACAAGTCAAAAGAGAGGGACGGAAAGGAAAGGAGAAAAGATGACGATCGTGCGAGCGCCTGAAATAGGCAACCTACTCTAGATAGGGTCTCCTGAATCAGTTGGGTGTCCTCCGGATCGAGTTTTGTTTGAAGGTCACTAAGCAGTTGTTCGTAGTCTTGAACCTGGTTCGTAAGATCTCTGAGCTGTCTATTGTAAAGCCCGTCACAAGTTAGCCACACAGAAAATAAAAGGATCCGGGATAAGTTTGGGTTAGTGACTTTGCTGTTCTCTCTCGTTTGCGATCCCCATAGAAACATGTCAAACCAAAGTCATGACAACGTTGACATGTTGGACGATCACCACTACACTTGGTTTTTTGCTCTCGACAAGGTTCACAGGCATGACCAACCCGCTTGTTTATGCTAGACTGCTCAGAGAGGCTGGAAACTCTCGGGATAGCCACCTTGGCGGCGCTTCCTTGCCGGCTGGAGGAGAGGGGTTCATTGGGCGCACGAAATCGAGAATCACCAACGAAAGAGACTGTCGTCCCTGTGGAAGATGGCTCTGTGAGGTAAGGAAGCTGTTCAGCATTTCCAGACTGAATGACCGTTATGGATGGACGACGCGGAGGGCGTTGCTCGTCGCCCATGTTCACTCAAGATCGTTGGGCATAAGAGGTTAGTGAGTGTGCAAGCCTATCTAGTTAAGGGCTGTAGACTATTAGTTAGTTATTTGGCGAAGACATGCTAGGACTTGCCAATGGGGGGGGGAAGCCCTACTCGGCCTAAAGGAGCATAGGCAAAATTTTTTTTCTTTTTTTTTCACCTCAGCTCCTTTTTTGCACCTTATCTTCCAGGAACAAGCAAAATGGGTAATACACACGGCCCAAACCCATCAGAAAATAGAGAAAAAGCATAGAATTCCTAGAATGCATGAACCGCTGTTCCGTCAACCTGGTAGGTTGGAAGATTGAACCGTCGAAGAATCTGGCCACCAGAAAGCGGGTCGGATTCCTTCTTAAGGATATGGCTTTGGGCCAGTCAGGCCGCGATGAAAATAATAACAGCGTTGATATTTCATTAGGCTGCAAAAGAACTATTACACAAGAGTTGCTTTTCAGTTAATGCATATTTCGCTCATACGCACTGTGCAGTCCACTTAAATTGCGGCTGTTGTCTGTTTTTCTTAGCTCTTCATTTCTTACAACCAAACCACCCACAAGCGCATGGCACATACCATGATCAACGTCGACTATACATCCCCCAATAGAACCGCTAGATAACATGACGGATGGGGATCCGTCCAAAGCGTTCCACCAGTTGGACTTTCCGTGCGGATAAGTATGCCGGGCGAGGCGAGTCATAAAACGGCCGACTAAGCAATATCCCTGAGTAAGGCGAAACGCACCACAACTGGTGAGTTGAACAGTCAAGACTTAGCTGTACGTATAAGTTGCAAGGCCCTGCCAGAATAATCTGCCGAATGCTGGTTGCTGCTCAAAAAAGTCAAATTCAACAGAACGGTCAGAACCACAGCTAATTTCCTTCCCGTGGAAGAAGATTCCGCCTATCAAAACTATTTCCCTTCGTCACGTCGCTACGTACACCCGACCGAGAAATTCGCCGCTCAGGTCTGCAGCCCAAAAGGGGAAGTCCGATGCCATCATAAAGAAACTCGCGTCCGAGCCCCATGACGAAGAACGTTCAACAACCGTTGAACAGAAGTTTGGCTATTCTTTGAAAGATAGCTTCCACAAGATCACTCTCGACTCTCAAGTCAAGTTTCTAGGTCAGGATCTCACGAAGAAGGACCCTGGCATTTTACCCCCAGAATTTCCGAATGCTGAAAAGCCCCACGCGCCACTTTTCGACAATTCGCTCCCTTTTCTCTCGTCTTTGACCACCAAGCATCGTGCTTTCCATCGACGCGGGTCTATCACATCTTTCCACGCAGTACGAATGCAAGCACGTTACATGGGACTGTTATCCCAACACGCGGGGGACCGGTCTTCGACACGAATACCACGGACTGCAATCCCCGAGACAAGGACATTAGTGTGGAAAGAGTTGGCCATATGACTCGAGTCACATCAAAATAGCAATTTTCCTACGGTCATGAAGGCTATGCTATCCTCATTTTCGAGCGGTGCTGTTTTAGACCCTGATGCTTTGATGTTGCCCGGTTTACTATATGAGGCTCGGACTGGGGTCAGAAACGCAGTGTCTTTCATGGGAGGCTTTCTTGAGGACATCTGATATATAAGCCGGATCATATGGATGTCGCCGGAAACTATGATATCAGGAAATGCAAAAGCTGACGTCGGCTTGCCACGCCCAAAAAATAAGCGGTCAGTTCAAAAGTTGCTCGGTTGTGTGGAGATAATAAATGAGGAAGAATAATAGCAGTCGAACGCATTTTCCCCTGATCCGTTGGCCCCAGACGTCGCGGGTGGCGAATGAATGCGCAGTGACCGCTATTTCGAGTGGGAATCGCAACTAGAAAGCTATTTTGGAGCAGCGACAAACCCCATCCATAGTCCTAGCTGGGCGAGAGTCGCGATAGAGTATTGGAGCAGGAGAGAAGGCATTGCTGAAGCTTTTCATGCTGTGTTGGGCATTGAACGTGCTTGGAGGTTGGCGCCTTCCACGTCAGTTACCGACACGTGATTTGATCGACGATCCAAACCCGACATACAAAGCAAAAGGAAAAGGAAAAGGACTGGAGAGCGCGCGCTGCTTAAGCTCTTGTCTTCGCTGTCACGTCCACATGTTGATGCAAGTGTTTGGCAGACACTCGCACAACGTACGTACCGTCCGAGCTTTGCGGTCTGCTTTCGTTCATCCTTCGAGATGACCAGCAGCCTTGCTTGGTTGTTGGCGGCAAGTCGGAGCTTGGAAACGCTAACTCGGCATTTCTTTTCTGTCTGGAGGAACCAATCCCCGCTCCGTCAGGCCTCATCATTTTCATCCTCGCTACTTCGCCTTGCCTTTGTAACTCACCGAGCCTCTGATAAGATTGCATTATTCCTTCTGTCTCTGTTCATGCCACACCTGCGGTTTGTCACGTTGGTTCCTTTGGGTCCCTTTGGTCTCTTCGGCGACAGCTCACTATACAGAGCTCATAAGGAACTTACAAAGCGGTTCCTTCGTCCGACACGTTCTCTACCAGTTCGTCGGTCTGACAAGACCCGCAATCAATCTGGTAGAGTTCTCGGCACGCAGCCTGTGGTGAACTGTGGACAGACACAATTGTGTTTACCATCGAGACATTGACTGATTTGTTAACAAGACATTGTCACTCCTCCCAGATGCAACACTTATCGGTCCATCACTGACGAAAAGAACAGCACTAACTAGTCATTGACAGGTACGGCATAAAAAAAAGCGTGTGTTCTCTACTAATGATCCCTCAGATAAGTAATAGCAGTCAAGCTCGACCGTCGATGCCCTATCATCTGGTTACTTTTTTTTTTCTTAGATATATAGACATTTTAATACATTCTACGTTCTCTTATAACCCTACTACGAATTATTCTCCAGCAAAAAACATGAGCTCTGGATGAGTAGATACCCCCAACCAATCAAAAGGCGGCACTTCTTAGCACGCTACGCACCTGTCGCAGCCTCAGGCACTCAACCAAAGGGTCAGGGCTCCGGCGCGCCAAAGCCCTAATCGCACTGAATTTACCCGCGCCAAGCCCCAGTTCTCTCTAATTAAGCCAGAAGCAGTGAGCAAAAAATCCCAAGTCGCGACAACTCCAGACCATCGACCGTTTCGATTCTATCTATCTCCATCTACAACCCACAAAAACAAGTTTTTTTTCGTCTTCACAGATAGATACAAGATGGATTCTGCCAAGGTTCCCGTCAAGCTTGTCAAGGTGACCCGTGTTTTGGGCCGAACTGGTACGTTTTGACGATGATTATCGAGGATGATGGTGGTGGTGGTAGTAGTGGATAACGGGGGAAATTAAGGGAGGGAGAGAGAGAATTGAATTGGAAGGAGGGCAAAAATGAGAAGGAGAACGATCTTGGGATTCTCAAATCGAGTCACGACGAAATGGGAAACGGAAAACAGGCGTCTATTCGGTCGGGAAATTCGACTCGACTCTGGACGATATACATACATGTCGCAGGGAGAATTTGCGGACATTAGTTTCGGTCTCTCTCTCGATCTCAAATTCTCTCTCTCGCTCCCTCTATTTCCGGCCTTTCCACCACATCCTTGAAAGTTGGGGTATTTCAAGATTGGTCGAGCATAAAACTAACCACAGTTCATCACTCCAGGTTCTCGCGGTGGTGTCACCCAAGTCCGTGTCGAATTCATGGATGACCAGACCCGTTCTATCATCCGTAACGTCAAGGGACCTGGTGCGTTTTCCCTCTAGCCAATATGAAAACGAAAGAAACAAAGTCTAACAAGTCTCGCCATACAGTCCGTGAAGACGACATCCTCTGCCTCCTCGAATCCGAGCGTGAAGCCCGTCGTCTCCGATAGACGCGAGGTCGTGTCATAATACCCATTTATTACAAGTCGGAAAAACAAATCGAAGAACAAGAAGAATATGGAGGATTGAAAACAAATGGAATAATCGATCGGATGGGAAACCCAACTTTTATTTTTGCTGCTTTCGCTTCCTGTTATCTTTGAATAACTCTCTTCTCTTTTATCTTCGAGGGTGCAAAAAAAATGTTAAACAGAGGAAAATTATCTTTTTTTCTATTATAGATCAGGTCACAGGTCTATTAATTTTTCTCTTTCTCATGTCAAGTCATCATATACCATACGTTTGATAGCGTTGATACGTTAATACGTCGACACGTCGATTCGTTTGAGAGAGATGAATGGGATGAAAAAATGGGGGCGGGAGTTCTAACATATCATATCGTCATGATCATCAATTACAACTTGTCAATTTTCAGATATTTGCGGGAATAATAGGCAGTACCATTGATATCTTCATCTTATATCCATTCCTACCTAGGTCCATCTAACTTGGAGATCCCGCCAAAGTTGGCCAAATCTAGGTCGAGTAAATATCACTCCGTAAAGATATGTGGATGACTTTTGACATATGCAATAACCGCAAATAGGTCCACAAAACTGATCAATAAAAGGCAGCAGGATATCGAATACTATTCAATAGCATTATTAACATAATGTATGATCTGCTGAAAAGGGGTCGAATCAACCAATCTGATTGGCCAATTACTTAATCCGCCGAACTAGCCGACATCGTGAACATCCTGAAGTTTGAACATCGTCAACATCATCAAAATACATGAAACCAGCCCTACGGCATGCAAACGCATGCATCCGCTCGTTCATAATTTATAGTCTTTTACTACAGCATCCCAAATGCCTAGATTAATATCCTCTCTTTCCCGCATCATCAAATTCATCACTCTTTCATGGCTCTCCCTGATCGGTCTCTGGATATTCCTTCCATCCCCGACAATCCATGAACAACGACAACACGATGAATACATCCAGCAGGCTCTAACATCTGGTAGCATACTACATACAATCTACAGATTTACGCCATCCTTTTCCGCCGTACCTGAGCCCTTTCGACCATATGTGTCAGGCCCTGGTGGCTCTCTCCTTATTGATTGGAGACTTGTCTCCGACCCAGCCCATGATGACTCGGTGGCTCTGCTAGAGATGGGTCGTGATCTCCGAGTGCACATTAACTTGACAGAAGCCATTCTCAAGGTGCAGAAAAGGGACGAAGAAGAAAAAGCACTGCTAGATGTTAATCTTGAAATCGACAATCCTCCTCTCTACATCAGTAGTGAAATTACAGTGCAGGTCGATGCCGGTGACGAAGATCATATAATCAATATGCCTTGGTTTCCCTGGTCGGATGCAATTCTCTTCCAGAATAAAATGCACGGTTTTACATACGACGTGCAGCTACGAGTTGTAGCGCGTCGCGAGACGGGCACAGTGGAAATCTGGAAATCTGACACGCTGCTCGCATGCGCGCGAAAGCAGGAAGATAGTGAGACTCTTTTCAACATCGACTTTGATAAGATAAGTCCATCTGACCGGTCAGATGGTCTTTTGGCATCGTTCTCGAACATTCATCCCGCAGCAGAAGCAGAAACAGCAGCCCCAGGCGGTATCATTTCCACTATCAAAGTCGCAGACATGCAGATGGCAGAGCTACCATCAAAAACATGCAGACTTCGCACTTTGATTCTCATCCCACTCGCCCCGTCTATGATCGTTATACTTTACCTATTACTCGATGTGTTCACTCCGCTGCTTTTTCCGGTGTTGCTACCCATTCTGGGCGCCTATATAATTATTGTGTTGATATGCTGGGCATATTATAATTTCCATTCTCGCTACAACGCCACTTCCCGATATGACCATGAATACGGTAGTGCTGCTGCTGCTGAAAATGGGGGATTTGCAGATTGGTGTTCGAGGTTTTGGATGACGCGACATGTGTATTGTTTTCTGTTCTATTGCTGTTGTTACTGTCGTTGTTGTTTGGCGAGGTCGAGACGTGGTCGCAGAGATTATTATCACTATCATCGTTATTGGCCTGGGGAAAAGAGTGAGAAGCATAGAGGGAGGGTTGTCATTTGGGGACCGGCTGGTCCTGTATATGAGGAATAATCTGTAATATTCTAATCATGATTCCGTTTCTCTGTTTACACGACATTTCCATGCCGCATTATTCATGGGCTTAATGAAGTAAAAGCCTGGAGTTTATGGGCGTTTGGCAATAGCTGAGTATGGGAATGTGAAAGATCACGGAATATGATGGAAGATAACTATCGTTTGAATCAGAATTTTTATTTTCTTACCCTGGTCCGCGATTTTTTACAGAGACATCTCTAACTAATACCACCTAGGGACACGGCACAGCATGTCTAAAATTTTGTGTTATTGGTTAATATCATGAGCCCTGCATAGTGATTTATACCCATATACCACATCAGATTCTTGGACAAACGTAAATACATGAAAAATACTCAACTCGGGTACAATAGGTATTCCTTTGATCCATAAAATTTTTCAACGCCCAATCGATGCCATTCCAAAAACACAGAACCTGCTTCCAACTGACTAAGAAAATAGTGCATGTAGATCCGAGATAGGCAATCATTCATCCAGAGAACTCCCTCCTCCGGATTGCCCCCAGGGTAGCATAGCACATTTACGTAGATGGCTGGCAAGATCACTCACGAACGATGTCTCAGACCATCATAGAAAACTAAACAAAGCGAAGGATCAAGGATGAGAGCGAGTGGAGCGCACGTGCAGCCGCCATTTGCTTGTTGCTGGCCTCAGGCTCTGCGCCAACGCATTTGAGCTGCATAAGCACCATGCATGTCTTGGATGCTCGCTTGCTTGCTTTCTTTCTTTCTTTCAGACAGAACAGAAACAATTGCTGTGCTTGACGGAGAGGAAACAAACAGAACATCGGGAAACCATTCAACGATAATTATATCCAGTGGATGCCATAACAAACAGGCAGCAGCAAAAGGAAACAAACAAAACAAACATCGAGCATCACAATTGCCTCTTTAGGAAAATAGAGCTTATCGATAAGTTGCAATTCGGCCCGGTGCTGCCGTAAGCGCTAGTCCTATTGCAGTTAGACGGAGCCGGCCTTATGTATTCTCAACATTTCCTTAATTACGGCTTCATTTATTTTAGTGGAGTCTTTAGCATTTAGCATTCGCTAGTTTGGCCCCATGTATCCATTTTTCCCATTTATCAAGCTTGGAAAAACACAAATGCTTACTGTCAGTGTCAATAGTTCGTCTAGCTACGTAGGTCCTTGGGTTTGCCACCTTGTTTCTAAGAATAACGTGTAGGTTCGTATTTTCTCGGGAACCCGAGAAACATCCAGCCACTGTCTACAGAGTACAAGTCGAGATGGACGCATGGATAATGATTCATTCACTGGCTTGTCGTATAACCTAACTATTATTATGCTGTCATGTATTAGAAATATGTACTGGACAGTGGAAGCAAAAACTGAGACAGCCTTACCCCGGTTGGGCCTAGCGCAGACTAGCTTCTTTGGCTTCTTCCATCATTCCATGCTTCGACAACTTAGCGCACCGAGTATGAATCATCGACAGTGAGACAAGACGCCTTGGCCATGTGCGATACGAAAGATTAATCACCATGGTAACAATGCGAATACGACATACGATATATCAGGCTGGAAAAGCGTTTTTCGCGCGTGAGGCGATTTCTCGGGGCTCTTCAGCCGATCCACCTCCATCCTGGACCATCCATACGAATGGGCCCGCCACTCAATTTTTTTTCACTCTCCTCCTCCGTATAGCTCCGGGCTATGCTCCATACTCAATGACTCTGGCCTCGAGCATAGTCTTAGACATGGCATAGCCAGTTCACGAGCTTCCTGCCACTCTGCCCCCCACCGCCAGGGAAGATATGGTCGGATGGATCCTGATCATCCTCCGTGGAACAGGTTCGGCCTGTCTACCGTTGTAGTGCAGTTGACACCATATGCATAGCCCACTTAATTCCCTTGGATGCGTGGATCGGGATTATGATCGGTCTTCACTAGCTAGTCGTGGTGGCTGGTAGTAGCTACGACTAGCTGCCACTCTAGCTAGTTATGGGCGAGCGATGGCTGAAGCCTGATGCCTGATATAAAGATGCCCTGCCGCTGGATCTTCGACTAATCTTCTTGATTCTTTTCTTACTTCCTAACGATTATTAACCGTTCGGCGTTCGCTAGCATCTTCGCTTTGAACTAGCCTCCCTCGCTATTGGGCTAGAGATAGATATAGGAAAGGGAACAGAAACAAGGAACAAAAAGAAAATATGCATTCTATTCTTCTTGTCGGTGCTGCCCTCGTGGGCTCTTCCCTCGCTGCTCCCGGAGGATACTGGGATCTACACAAGCCTCAACCGACTGGTAGTGTTCCTCCTCCACCTCCAGCATCAACCTCCACCTGGACTTCGACCTCTGTCTCACCTGAAAGCACCACCAGTACCGGTGTAGGAGGGTACACTTCCACAGGCACCGAGACTTGGACCTCAACCGGCTTTGTCCCCTCGTCCATCTCCGTAGGCACCCGAGGCTCGTCCACGGTCTACTCGACCTGGCTCGCCTCGACCACCACCGTGCTCACTTCCACCTGGACCTCCGTCCTGCCCGCGACAGAGGTAACCTCTACCGGCGTAGAAACCTGCGCTCCGGCAACGACAGTCACCGAAACAGCCACCGTCAGCGTGACCGTGACTGTCTCTGCCAGCACCAGCACCAGTCCTGGCGAGGGTACAACTACTGTTGTCATTCCCCCCGCTGCTTCCACTTCCACTTCCTCCACCTCTGCCACGAGTGTAGTCGTGAGCGGCACTGAAACTGCTACCGGCACTGCTACTGCCCCTACCACTGCCACCGGCACAGAAGTAACCACCACCAGCATCCCAGCCGAAACAGGCACTCTCTCCACCTCCACCTCCACCCTCACCGTCACCACCCCATGCTCTACCCTGACCACCTCGATCGTGGCCACAGGCACAGAGACTGGCGTAACCGGCACCGCGACCGCCACGACAACCAGCACTGAGACCGGCACCACAACGACCACCGGTCCAGTCGGCACTGGCACTGGGCTAGCCCTTGTCCGCAAGTGGCATGACGGCACCAAGCCCATGATTCACTAAACAAGAAGAAAAGAAAAAAAAAAAAAAAAACGAAAGGGAGGAGAAGAATCTATAGATGGAACTAATGATTTGGCTTAATGAATATCTGTATCTAGGTAATTGATGCTGATTTATTCTAATTTACATATATAGGTATATAATATATATCTGGATGGACATATAGGCAAGACAGAGAGCCTTGGAATATATTATGAATGAAACGAATGAATGAATGATCAATATATAATTAATTACCTTATAAAATATATATAACCAGATCTAATCCCATCTAACAATCTAAGTGATAACAGTCTGATTGTAATACAAATCGCACGCATGAGGATGCTGCAAACAATACTTCGGCACTAACGGCGTCGCCATAACCCCATTCGCAACCAGATATTCTCTAAAATTCAAAATCCGTTGCGTCAACAACGTAGTCCGCTTCCCACCAGTCCTCTCGTCCCGGTTCCCAGACCAAACCAGCTCCGCCAGCGCAGCAGCCCGCGGCCAGATCCTATCCGACACAACGGTATCATCGACCTGCTCAGACCACAACGCGGCAACAGCACCCTTGACGTGCGCCGCCTGCTCTGAAGTGAGATTGGTCGTAAAGTCGTAGTCATAGATACGCTGCCAGGTTTTGTAAGGGGCACACCAACTGCCGCCGTCGCCGAGGTAGTTGAAATTATCCTGTGATGGGTCCGGGTTTGACTGCACGTTGTAGCGCGGGTCGTTGGTGACGAAGCCGCCAAAGCCGCAGTCTAGATACAAGAAATCGGCCGATGAGACGAGCACGTCATAACCCCTTGCAGTGAGGTTGTGGATGTTCGCAATCCCGTTTTGCCATGATTGCACGAGCACGTTCTCCGTGGGTACGGAGAGGGCATGCGGGTCACCCAGGAGCAGGTCTTCCCAGAAAAGAAGCTTGCGGTTGGGGATGTTTTGGAAAATTGGAAATGCATGGTCGACCCAGTACTGCACTAGATCGTTGTAGGTGCGTGTCGGATCGGATGAGAGCCAGTCGGTGACGTAGGCGCTGAACTTGTAGCAGTTGGTGTTTAGCTCGTCGCCGCCGATGTGGTAGTAGTTGTCGGTGAAGATGTCGGAGAGCTCATTGTACACGTTCTCAACCACGCCGTAGGTGTCGTTGTTGATGATGTCGAGTTGGCCTGGAGGTGGCTCGACGGCGGTGTGGTAGGCATAGTTGTCGTTGGACCACCAGGAGTTTGCGCATGCAACGATGCTAGAATCGATCTGCTGCCAGCCGGCAGCCGAGTGGCCTGGTGTATCAACCTCGGGCACGACACGAACACCGCGAGCGCGGGCGTACTCGATGATATCAGATACATCGCTGCGCGAGAACGTTTCGCGCGGACTGTAGGCGTCCCTGATCATTTCCGGGTATGTATGCATATCGAAAGGCCAGGACTGGGAGTCGGTCAAATGCCAGTGGAGGATGTTCATCTTGGACAGCGCCATGCCATCAATTTGCTCTTTGATTTTGGGTAGGCTAATGAAATTACGACCCGTGTCAATCATGATGCCCCGCCATGAGTAGAGCGGCGCGTCCTCGATGTGGACGGGCTGCTCGATGATCAATCCATTGGCGTCGTTGCTGTTGCTGCCATCAGAGATGACGATTTGCTGCAGCGTAGTGAAGGCGTGGAGAGCGCCCCAGGTAGTGTTTGCATTGATTTCGATGGTGTCTGAGCCCGGAGCGAGGTCGAGGGTATACGACTCATCGACTTCAGCCTGCAGGTCAACATCGACATCTGCCACGTTGACCTTGACCAATTGGAGCTGCTGTTGCTGTTCGTTTTCGTTGCGCTTGTGTGTTGATGGAGAGGCAGCAGCAGCAGTGGCAGTCGGGAAAGGCTCGTAAGAGGAAATCGGGGCCTGGGTGGCCTGAGGAACCCATCTCAGGCCGACAATGGTGCCCCAGGCACGATCCCAGGCATCAGCCAAGATTTGGCTCGTGGGGAGATCAACCGCGACCAAGTCAGGAACTGCGATGGGCCCGGCTGAGCCCCAGACGATCGACCGCGGCGCTGGCAGAGGGTCAACGCTGACTGCTGCTGCAGAGCCCACGCAGGCGACGACAGCGACCAGGCTGTGGGCAAGCATGGTCAGATGTCAATCAGATACACACGCAGGCAAGAGGAGAGCGAAGGGGGGAGACGACGGGAGGCGAAGGGAGAGCGATCAATAAATACTCACTGCCTACATGCTTTAGGCCGGAGTAGATCTCGGAGAAAAGTATGCTGGATCGTCATGGGATACTGACAGACGCAAGGATGGCACAGCTGGTATGTGTGCTCTAAATCACCCAGAGCAAAATTCCCGTGCTACAAGGGATGCGGGCTGATATTCTATCTTATTGTAGGACATGGATTTCATGGTTCTGACCAGACTAATAAAGAGCGAGTTATATTTCATTATATCGTTACGAGCAAGGTCAGAATTCAAACTCCTTCCGGAACACATCCACGTCCATGCCCGACACCACCATATCCGCCAAATCGCGCCGGTTCATCGACGTGAACACACGCCGCAGTGTATCATACAGGTTCGTGCTCTGGTTCTGGCTAATGTGAATCATGCGCTCGAGCTCGGCATCGTCAATGCCATCAACGCCATCCACAATCTCGCGCGCCTTTTCCCGACCCTGCTGCTCAACCACTTTGTGCATCGCCAACGCGCCCAACAGATGCTGTGCAGCTTCCGGGTAGCAGCCGATATTAATACACGACACGCCGAGATTGTAGCGCGCACGCACAAAGTTCGGGTTGATCGTAAGTGCTCGTTCGTATGCTTCAATCGCCTCTTCGGAACGGCCTGAGTTGGCCAGCGTCGCACCCAGCCGGTTCCAGAGTAAATGCACTTGTCCCTGCTGATTCGACGTGCCGGATTCTGTCGATGCCAGCGCCGCCGAGAAGCAGTCTACCGCTTTATCGTACTCTTCGGCGCAGTAGAATAAGACTCCCAGTCCGACCTGAACATCCGGATCCATGTGTTCGCCCGACGGTGACAGTTGCGCCGCCTGGATGAACAGGTCGGTCACTTTGTCGTGCAACAATTGTCGATCCGTAAAGCCGACATCAGCGTCGGAAGAAAGATCCTTGGCGTCAATAACTTGCGGGTATTTGACTGAGAGCCAACGCTCCAGAGTGCGGTATGCAGTTGAATCGTAGCCCTCGTTCGTATACGAGACAGCCAGACCCATAAGCGCATCGAGATTGTCTGGATCCAGTTTTGTTGCCTGCTCCAACGCCCGGAGCGCCGGGTTTTCCTTCTCGTTCTGAGCCTGCGCAGACCCAAGCATCGTCCAGGCCTGGACATGTTGAGGGTCCTTCTGGACCGCAGCTTCGAATGCCAGCGCAGCTAGAGACAGGTTCCCGCCTTCTTGCATGATTTTCATGCCTTCTTCAAACGGGTTGCCCACCGCGCGGAACGCGTTGTCCTCTTCAAATAGATAATCTCCTAATTGCGGGTCGCGGAGTCGTGTATTCAGGGTATCAAAGCCATCCCAGCCACCATTCTCGTCCATGTGTAGATTCGCCACTTCTTCGAAATCCATATCCTCTTCTCGTTCAGCCAGTTTTCTAGTCACAGACGCATTTTGTTCAGCTTGAGCACTTTGCCACACACGTTCAAACTCTTCAAATCCAGGGTCTCCTTCTAGGAGATGAAGATCACTGGGGACTGACCTGTCCAGCTCATTTAGTTCTGCTTCCATCGCATTATTCGCCTGTTCATCAAACGACTGCTGACCAGCCGCATCCATTTCGGCAAACTGAGCCTCCCAATTTTCATCGTCTAATTCGACCATTCTGGCTTTTCCTTTGCTGTCTTGTTGCTGCGCAGTCGAGTCCATGTGCTGTGGCTGTTGCTGCATCGCATACGCAGAACCCATCATTCCCATACCCCCCATGCCCATGTTCATGCCCATATACCCACCCATCATCGGCCTCTGGTACCCGCCCATCATCGGTGATTGTGTGGACGCAATCGGACTTGCTGTACGATTATTCTGCAATTGGCGGAAACGCGAGAACTCTGCAGCCGAGAACCCTGCAGCAGGGGCCGCACCAATACCTCTGCTATTATCACTACTAAACGCCGCTTCCATACGGGCTTGTTCGCCAGGATCAAACTCTGCCGCCCAGCCAGCTGCCGACGAGCCCGTGCGAGCGGCCGATTCGAGTTCTCGTCGCATCTGGTCCATAGCAAAAGGCTGTACGGGGATATGACCTGGTTGAGGTTGAGGTTGTTGCTGCATGAATTCGTCCATCATCTGACAAGAGATATTAGTTGTATACGAATCAACCAATCTGACATATAGAGCTATACCTGATCGCCCAGCCCTGCCATGCCCCGAGTACGCATACTCTCTTGCATTCCCCCGGGACCCCTGCCCACCATCCGATCCCGCTGTAACGACTTGTCATCTTGAACGTGCTTGGTGAACTGGGTCAATGGGTTGCCGGCCGTGGAGCACTCGGCGCCGCCGAGGAAGGACATATTTATATCCAAGTATGTAGTAATGAAAAGAAAAATATAACCGAGAACGTTCTATGCCATGCACATATGTCCTATATACCGGATGGACGCTGCTCGACAGTGTGTGAGGAAGGCGTTTAGTAATCGATATGGGCTTCCGTGGGGTAGGACTGCCGCGACAATTCGTTTTCTTCCGGGGTTGAAACTGTCAGGATGAACAGTATATAGAGCAATGAAATAACTATGATGAATGCAAATGTGTATAATGAAGATGGAAAATGCTAATAGATATTTGACTGTCCAGATTAGTTGCTTGGTTTCGGCAACTGAGTCGAGAAACCCCGGGATCTCGCCGAGGTCCGTGGCTGATCACGTGTTGGATATTCAAATATTAAGACTACTACTCCTAGCAAGGAATCTACATTGCTACGCTAAGTTTTATATATAATTTTAGCTAATTAATATAGTTTAAATCCTCTTCGCTGGCGCATGGTTTTTAGAATTTATTTCCAAAACTGGCCTTATAAGTGAATAAAATAAGACTAATAGTAAGATCTTGATTTTCAAAAATATACTCCGTACCTAAGTAATTTCTATAATCACCACTAACTATGACGACTCCAAGGCTTCCTAGACCAGTCGATTAGCCCTACCTCGTCAGGGCTGCATTGGGAATAACCTCCAGCGGTGCCATTCTGAGAATGGATTCCTCGTTACCAAGGAATAGAACACTTAAGCAAACTGGGTTCATCACATATTGGAGAAGCCTACATTCGTGGGCTTCACGATACCTTTAATATCTCCAGTCCATGCGGAGTCTATCGATGCTTGGTACATCCACCAATGCATATGTCGATCCATGCGCTGCGAATGAGAGCTAGATCATGTAAATTAAGCGACCCTCTACTTAAACAAACCTTGATCTGTCTTTTGCAAGCTCTAGACTTCCTTCACAGCGAGGCACATATTGTTCATTGTGGTACGCTCTTCTATCTCTCGGCAGTCCTTTGCATATATTGACACTATAATAGATATCAAGGCCTCCAACATCATGCTCAGTGTGGAAGATGAAAGAATCCTTGCGGAATTTGGAACGCAGGAACAAGAACATCCAAGCCCACGAAAAGTTGTGGATGAGGATCGCACGATATACACCTCTCGGAAGCTTTCATTGCCAACCGATGACTTATGGGGTCAGCCCGTTCTATGTGATCTTGGGGAGGCTAGACATGGGCGTTTCCTTGGAGGAATCGGAAGACAATCTCAGTGGAACAAACAAGCAGAATGTTCTCCAATTTATGCGGTCAATGCTGCAGTGGCTCCCTGAGGAGAGAAAGACGGCGAAAGAATTATTGGATGACCGGTGGCTGAAATCTTCGATTTAAATCACAATTCCCCCCTCCAGTATCATACAGTGATGCAAAATTTTGATACAGTGGTTTGCAGATTCAGTGAAACTTCTCTTCGCTTTCTTCTGAGACAGTGCCAAGAAGACATCATGATAGTAGTCGATAACGAAGTCGGACAACTACATCACGATAATTTAAAATGTCCATGTTTTGGGAGGGAATTCTTAAAAAATAAAGTGTGAAGCACGGGTAATTTATGATTTATAGCTATGCCAGATCGGTTTCCTACACACTAACCCCTTTTGGTGTTTAGCGTAGTCTGGTGTTGCATGGAAGATAGTTACATAGCTCTTGACAAATATGATAATACGTAACGTTATTTAATATAAACACAAAGGATACCAACACAACAACTTAATCTAATATACAAAGTAGAAAAGAAAAGAAGAAAAACTCTCGTACATGTTCTCAAAAATCATACCGACGACAAGTCCAGCTCTGAACAATTACACAAATATGGAGTTCGAGACTCGACACCATATAGAATCCCCCCTTTCGATCAGGCTTCACAGCTCTACCTTACTTTTCGACTTCGCCACTCTCGGCTTGCGTTGCCTGAGCCTCGGCTTTCTCGCTGTTATTTTCAGCGTTCCTGATAGATCGTCGACTCGCGCGCTGACCATAGTCGAGCTTGAGACGGCGACCATGCGGTGCCTTGCTGGCAAGAATTTCCGCTGCAGCCTGCGCACTGGCAACGTCCAGGAAGTCAGCATGCGCGAAGCCTCGCGGCTGGCCGGTTTGACGATCAACAGCAACACGAACTTCAACGATGTTGCGAACGCTCTTGAAGAGATCGTTGATCTCGCGGTCCGTGAGATCAAAGGGAAGGTTGCCAATGTAAAGAGTCCTGGTGGGTCGTCGTTTTGGAGGAATACCTGGACGACCTGCAGCGGCAGAAAATTGCACAAGAATACGTCGGCCTTCGTAGATTTGTTGGTTTAAGTCGGCGACGGCGCGCTTCGCAGCCTCGACGTCTTCAAAGGTAACGTATCCGAATCTGTATGGAAGTAGTAAGTTTCTGTTTTAGAACAACATACATATATTCAATTTTAAAAAAAAGGCTTACCCCTTGCTCAATCCACGAGAATCATGGACAATAACGCAGTGTTCAACAACACCAAAAGCCTCCATTCGAGCCTTGAGATCCTCTGCCGTAATATCGAAAAACAAATTTCCAACATAAATGGTTTGAGAAGGGGGAATGTTCGATCTATCAGGGCGAGAGCGTGGACCACTAGGGACTGTGAGGATAGTTCCAGGAGCAGACAAGTCTGAGCTTTCTTCTTCAGCGGCGATAGAAGTGGAAGTAGAAGCAGAAGCAGTAGTAGTAGCTGCCCCTTCACTGACAGATTTGACTGCAGATTCTTCTATAGCAGCTTCATTGGCTTCCTGCGCGGAAATTGGAGTCTCGGCCGTTGTTGATGTGGTGTTTGTTGTCGCAGCTTCACCTTCAGCTTCAACCTTGACCTTCTGGGTTTCAAGCTCAATCTTCTCAGCTACATTGTTCTTGCTGGCTTCGTCGCTGTTCCATCGTCGCTGGATGCGGAGCGACAATGTCGTGGTTGTTGCGGCGGTAGGACGACTATTGAATGTAATCGATTGAGTAGTCATTGACCTTGACCTCGCAGCTGCCAAGATAGAAGCATTCGGGCTGATAGATATCAGCCGACGAGCGGCAGGGCGGAAAACAGAATACCTAAAATGCGAAACACGAGAAAAAGTCAGCCTTTTTTCTTTCCTTGCCATGATCTGCCCATCTGTAGTGAGAACTGAGAACAGAGGATTGAAAGCCACTGACATTATTAAAATCGAGAATTAACTTGTAAGACAAATCGAAGAAACAAAGTTTGAAGAAGTGATCAATATGATTGATGAATAGAGAAAAGATTTCAACAATGAAGCAGAGTGTCGCTCGCGCATGAAAATAAATTTCCTGCAGGATTATCGCGGCAGGCAAGAAGCGGATTAGACCACGTGATTTATCCCGATTCTCTTCTCCTTTTTTTGAATCCAACTAACATCTAACAGAAACAGCTCACACGATGATAGAAAGCATGCAATTGTCATTTTTCAATTCTTTTCTTTTCTTTTCTTTTTTTTTTTTTTTTTTTGAAAAAGCCATACAGATTAAAAGAAAAACCCTAGTATACATGACAAGCAGGCTGGAGATTTTCTCTTTTCTTCTTCCCATCTTCAAAAAACACCTTATAGAACAAAATGTTTGCTTAACTCTCTTCTCTCCTGTCGAACTCCACACAAACAGATTCAGCGAGGGATTTGAAAATCGTCGGGTATCAAAGTAATGTCATGTCACCGTGATTTCCTCTAGACAAGTTCAAGAGAGAAAAAACGAGAGGGAATAAATAAAATGCTTGCTGCTATTTGTGGTTTTCATTTAAGTTTTTACTTTTTCTTCGTGTGCAACAACACTTTCATTACTGTGGTTGTTGTTGGTCCGACGAACTTATTATTTTATTAGTATTCGGGCCAGCCATGAAATATGATGGATTCGCCGGATCATAACTGGAACCGTTGTCTGAGGGGATAAAGCCTGGTAATCGAATACGAGACCTGGCGGCGTCTAGAGGAGTGCCTCGGCCTCCCGTTGAGCCTGTGGTTTGGCTAGATGATAGTGGTGATGGCTGAATTGGTGATGGTTGAGACACATCGAACATAGGAGGCCATAGTTGATTGTTATTGTTGCTGTCAATCGTAGTGTTTCCAATATAACTATCCCATGCATCCTGTTTGGAAAAAAAGTCAGCCAATTGCTTCAAAAAAGAAGTAGCTTAGAAACAAGACATGGTGCCACCTACCCAATCGAGTTGCATGTCTGGCATCTGCCCGAGCATACCAAAGGGCGACGTAAATCCCATAGCGTCTGCTGCCGTCGTCCCAATAGCTGGTGGAGACATAATCGTATCCGGGTTTTTGAACGAGTCCGTGAAACCAGCCGTAGCCGTGTCCTGAGGACTCATACCACTGCTCAAAAGCCCCAAAGTCATTGCGGCATTCTGTTTCTCATCGGGGACTTCAAGCATCGCGGAACTATTTTTTGTCTCCGCAGTTGACGGTGCCACCTTCAATTTTTCTAGCATAACAGTAATCATACCAGCCATCTTCCACGCTTCCATCGACTCGTCCTTTTGTGCATGCCAAATATCCCGCGATCGCTGGATAGCAGCAAGCATCTCATCGCGACGTTCTCGGCCCCAAATGTAAACATCACCGGTCGGCCTTCCCGCTGCCTGCAGCTGCATGCTATGATGAAGATCCAGACATATAATCGTTGCGGCGAGCAAAAAGTTGCTGTTATTAATAGCGTTATCACGGACTTTAGTCAATAGTCGACCACCAGGTAGCTTTTGGCTAAAGAATATGGACTGCTGGTATAAGAGCTCCAATGATGAGTCAATGCAAGTGCGACGTGAATGGGTGAATCTCGGATTTTCCCTGGCACGACTAATGTATCTTCTGTGCAGGACAACCTGGGCCTTGTGATAAACGCTCTCGACCTACATTTTGTCAGTAAAGTGAAGTAAGAACCAGCTAGGTATAAAACCAATGTGTTTATTTCGACTTACATAGTATCTCGACAGGATCAGGTCAGTAGGGTCGAGTGGGCATTCTTCAAACGAACGAATCTTGAGATGTTCGGGAATGAGATCTCGAGCTTGTCGAAGTTCCGAGTCAATGTCAAGCACGACCTCGTAAGGTGCGTTTCTAACCAACGAAGTATGATCCATAACCCGCCCAAAGACAAGCGACAGCCGACCTTTCGCGATCAGATAAGATATTGGAGTAGGTTGGTCATTGGATCTAGATGGCGGTATCTCTGCGCTATCTGGATTAAAATCTTCGTCACACAGATTTCGCGGGAGCTCTGTGTCAGTATCATCGGGTCGCAGCATGCTAGGCATGCCAACCTGAAAGGAGAACAAGAGGTCTGCCTGTCGAAGGTACAGCCATACTCTTCTTCGCATTTCACCTTGGAAAGGTGTTATGTTCGGAAATAGTTTGGAGTCCCTATGATAGCCCATACGCATTGCTAATCGCGAAACTATACCAACTAGCACCCAGACCAAAACGTCGGCATCCTGGGTCTGACTGAAATCGGCATGCACGTGAAGAACAAGCGTCTCAATCAAGTAGGGGTGTGGTTTCGTATAGTCCGCCAAAATCAGACATTGGCACATCAAATTACGAAAAGTCTTTGCCATATCCAGAGACTTGCCCTTGAATTCCGGTGGCTCATCCTTGTCCTGGTAATATGATAGCATAGCCAATCGCATGATGGCAAAAAGCAAGCCAATCCAGACGGCAGATGTAGCAGAGGGGTTTTTCCAGTGCTCATTGTACTTTGCGAAAGTTTAGTAATGTGGACTATTGTGATTTTTTGTTTCTGGGGTGACTTACTTCTTTTTGGAAGGTTGGGGTATGGACAATATCTAATCCTTGTCAGCAACGTATGCGATATCTCAACATTTAAAACAATCTGCAGGATAGAAGAATTTTGTATACAAGAAAAGGAAAGACCTACATGTACCAGGATTGTGGTGGTTGAAGTAACGCGCTATCAGTATATCTGTCGTATATCTCGAGGGCAATGAGGAAAGAATTTCGGCTTTGCTTGGGGGCTTCACCTCGCCGAAAAGTAACATTGTAGTCGTATCGGCGGCACTTGGCCTTGAAGCCTTTATTCGCTCCGCCTGCTCTTCATATTGTTTCCTAGAATTCACAAAATACTGGCGAACTTCGGCAATCTGCAAGTAGAGGTCAGAAACAGCTCCAAAAAAAAATACAGATTGTATGTCTTCAAACTCACGTCGTTGAGAACAGAAGCCCAATGCGCCTCACTGATATACATTGATTTGTTGTTATCAACCTTCATAATACCGAACGACTTGGTGACAGCTTCTGTATCACTCTCCTCAACATCGGCCTCGTCGTCCAATTCTAGATCTTGATAATTCTGTGTTGATCCAATGCTGTCGTTTCCTGAGAGGGCAGCGGCAGCGGCGGCCGGCCCAGCTGCTTGTGAGCCATTCGTCATGAGTGAAAGAACCAAATTCTCCAAGCGATCTATCCTATTTTGCATATCATCCGGAGAATTCATGGCACTTTGATTTGGGGAATTTCTCTTTCGTGAGCCGGGTTGAGCATAAGTACAGGAGGTTGCGTCTCCTCTTTTGACACAGTTCTCGCAAGGATGGGAGCGGTTGCATTTCAATCTTTCAAATAGCGAACATATTCAGTCAGTGATTTGATTCATGCGGCCAGGAAGGAAACAGAACTTGTCATCATCACATACTTTCTCTGCCGACATGGTGCGCATGAGAGCGGCACTCTATTCCTCTTTCTAACCACCCTATACTGGCCCTCCGGCGAATGGCCCACGCTTGATGATGTCGTAGATGGCGGGGTTGGGGTCATGACGAAAAGTATATGGAAATATTAGCGAAATCAATTCAATCCCCTATCTGAAGGGACGATTAATCGTCCGCCGGCAGACGTCCCAAGTCGGAAAGCTTGATGCGACCGATATCAATACGATGAATAAGTTCGTCTCTTCTCAGCCGACCGATATTTGGCTACAGGGCGATTTGGGGGTACGTAAGACCGCAGTGGGCGAACTTGTGACTGAGTCTGTGCACTTGGAAATCCTCCCCAAAAATCAATGGCGGGGTGCGGTGCTGCAATCTTGGATCGACCTGGCGCGCTCTTCCGTCACTGTTAGGGTATGAGCGACCTCTCTAGAACATCGGGTGAACGCGCTGTCGTGATGGGGCGTTTCGTAGTGTCTTCTGTTGCCGTATAAATTTCGGAAAGTGTGAACAACGCGAGGGCGCAATGGTTCTTCGCAGAGCGACTTGTTGAAAGTTGGAGAGTTTGGTCGTTGTTCAAGCAGCGCCACACTTTGTCGCCAAAGACGGCCCGTGTGGTCTCTCTGGCGCACCGTACAAGTTGCGTTTTTGGCTTGATGGGCTGCCGTTCAGGATCGCTGCCAACTCCCACCGCAGGGAAATATCATTGCTACCATCCTCAACCTGTCCTCGCCGAGGGGCCCGCGCCTTATTTATACTTGAGAGGTGCAGCACTGCTGCTGCAGCCTAGTTGTGTATCTACCACAGTCTACCGAGGGACGCGACCTGGTGTTAATCCGCCCGCCCAGCTCTGCATTTACTCTGCCGGTTCCTGCAAGACAGCAGATCCCCGGCTGGGGCTCTTAGGTTTCTACGACGGTTGTCAACGCACTTATACATGGTCATGGACTGCAGTGGGAAACCAAGGAGGAGCTAGATCCATTACCTGAGTGAAATTTGTAGCTCCATCGTAGTCATATGATTGGAGTCAATGTCCGGTGGATAGCCTACAATCTACGTGAATCTCGAGAGGGCATCTAGTGCTTATAAGCCTATAAGGGGCCTTTCCCAGCATGACTCATAGGCGCATAACTAGTTAGTTAGTTATGCTTGGGGGCTGTATCATTATCTCTCTAAGCCTTAGGCACACGGCATTTACGGAGAGAAGCTTTTTAAGACCGAGACAGTGCTGCCGGTGTGATTGGTCGACCATGGGAATTACTAAATCTTTACTATTGTTCGATTTTTTTTTCTTTGATGCACTTAATGCAGTGACATAAGTCACGTGCTATAGATTGATTACCCTGCATCATCAGTCGTCTTGGGGGTGGCTGGTTATTTAATGACTTTCATTACGGGGTGCGATAGGTCAGTTTACTTAAACGTTATGTAAATCAGTATTGGCAATTCCACCCCAAGGCCGTATGGAACAGTGGTAGTTCATCACCCTCCTACTAAGGTTAGGTGAGAGTCAGGAGTTCGACCCTCCTTATGGTCGTTTTCCTTTTTTACTTTTTTTCCAAATATTTTTCCTCTTCTCTGAACTGGAGAAATAGTCATTCGCTTGTTTGACCTGTGTTTTGGTTATCTTGTTTGTTTGCAACGATATAGAGTTGGTCTCTTGCGACCCGTTCTTGAACATGTTCGCTATGATCAGTCTTAATAGTAGTACATAGGACCTGATGTCTGGCTTGCAATAACTACCCAGTATTTGTTGCACATGTAGCGGAGTCTTGTGTTCTTACGTTAAATGAATACTGAATGGGCCATCAACATAGACAAGGAAGGACGGAACTACATCATTGGAAAATAGGCTCAGAATATAGTTGAGTATACAGTGTATGATCCAGCTTTCGAACTACGGCCGCGCCTGCACGGACCATTTTGTGGCGGGTGGTTTTCGATTCCCCGCTCCCTCAATTTTTTTTTTTTTTTCTTTAAAAAATAAAAATGGTAAATGAGTTTAGCACAAATCCAATCGTCTGGGACATGGTGATTTCATCATTCTGATTTTGTGTTTATCCATCACCATCATTGTAACTGTGGTGATTCAAAAGCCCGCTGCCTGAGGCTTCTTTGTCACTGCCCCACCGCAGTCCTAGTCGAGATAAACGACAACAAACGGAACTTCCCTTCGTTCTACATCTTTATGTGGCATGTCTTATGATATTATGACTCGTTAGCCCTGTCTTTTATTGTTGCGTGCTCTTTTTCTGTTTTCTTCTTCTTTTCAAGCGAGCGCTGTTCTTTCTTCGTTAATATCAAACCACTTGCTATCTTTATTGATTAATCTTCAGCCAGAGCTGGATCTCACTTCATATTACCTATCCTCTTCCCACATTTTCTGGGCTTTTTCTAGAGCCATCCTTGTGTAGCCAAGAATCTCTTTATGACTGAATACACCTAGTTGTCTGACACATAGGTAGGTTCTGACTGGGCTGGCTGATTGTCTACCCACTCTGGGGAGATATATAGCTAGCATAGCTATCCCTACTCATTGCATCTCTGCAAAACCTCCTTTGCGCCATTCTAAACCACCATTCTTGACTAGATTGGACTCCATTAATCAGCAATCTTCATAAAACGCCATCGCATTCAACGTCACCATGGCTGACAGGCGAGGTGGTGCAGCTGGCGGTGGAGGCAACCGCGGAGCTAATCGTGGTGGAAGTCGCGGGGGTGATCGGGGTGGAACTCGTGGAAGTGATCGGGGTGGTAATCGTGGAGGTGACCGTGGAGGCTATCGCGGAGGTGACAGGGGAGGCTATCGTGGAAGTGACCGGGGCGGTAATCGCGGAGGTGATCGGGGTGGAAACCGTGGAGGTGATCGGGGTGGAAACCGTGGAGGTGACCGTGGAGGCTATAGAGGTGGTCGCGGAGGCGGTCGTGGAGATTCTCAGGGAGGCTTACCTTATCGACCTACAGGAGGTGCAGGAGTATTTGGTGGCGGTGGACCAAGAGTCTACAAGTGAGTGGAGTTGAAGTCTCAAGCTCGAATGCAAATTACTCCAGCTAACGTCTCGTGATAGCCCTGGAGAGATTCCTCAGCCCAGTACCGAGGTTGTCAAAGCCGAGAATGACATTGAGGCGAAGATTCTCAAACCAAATTACACGTCCTCCAAAGCCGAGTTCCCTCTGCGACCTGGGTACGGTACTCAGGGCCGGGAAATACTTTTGTGGGCAAACTACATGGAACTCGTGACCAAGGCCAATGTTCCTGGCTGTTTCAGGTACAGCACTGACATTGGCAAAGCGCAAGGACTTCCAATTAGGAAGTGCAAACGGATCATTGAATTGTTGCTGGAGCAGCATTTTGCTGCTGATAGAGCCAAAATAGCCACCGATTCTCGCTCCAACATCGTCTCCAGAGTTAAACTTAGCAAAGTGACGCACGACGATAATGGCCAGGTATTTCAAGTTCGCTGGAAGGCGGAAGACGAAGAAGACTACAGGGACAATGCAGATGTGTATCCTGTCACCGTCAAATTCATTATAGAGATTTCAGTCTCCCAACTGGTGAATTTTCTGAGTTCGTCAAATGCAAACGCCGTCTTCGCATCGAAAGCAGACGTAATTCAGGCGCTAAACATCATTGTTGGCGAGTATCCTAGGTCTCACCCTAACGTGGCCAGTATAGGCTCAAACAGACACATGAGCCTCCAACCTGACCGGGAAGATCGCTTTGCGCTTGGAGATGGCCTCGAGGCTATCAGGGGATACTTTGTTAGTGTTCGGGCTGCCACAGCAAGGATCCTTGTGAATGTTCAGGTCAAAAACATTGCTGTCTACGAAAGCGGTGGCGGTCTCGTTGGACTCATAAAGAGCGCAACAGCTCGCAACAACAATCCTTACGCACTGGAGAAATTTCTAAAGACGTTGCGTGTACAAGTCACGCATCTCGTTAGGAAAGGGAAACCTCGCCAGAAGAGCATTTTTGCTCTGGCCAACCGGAACGATGGGCCCAAGAAAAAGAAGGGCGAACAGGGACGCGGACCACGAGTCAGTGATCATGGTGCTGGTCCAAATGATGTCGAGTTTTGGATTGAGGAAGCAGCGCCGAGCAAAGGCAAAAAGGGGCCATCAACAGCCGGAAAATACACCAGCGTTGCAGATTACTTCAAGTCCCGTATGTTTCCCGCTGTCATCTACTCTAATATTGAGTGTGTTCATTAACGATGTACATGTATCATACAGAGTACCGCATTGAAACTGATCCCAAACTTCCTGTTATCAATGTCGGAACCCGTGAGAAGCCATCATATCTCCCAGCAGAGGTGTGTCAAGTGATCGCCGGTCAGCCTGCGAAGACGAAATTATCTCCATTCCAGACATCCAGCATGATCAAATTCGCAGTTCGACCTCCGCAAAAGAACGCGGAATCGATTGTCGATAAAGGCACGCGCCTTTTGGGATTTGCGCCAACTCGGAACAATGTGCTGGTAAGACGAATTTCATGTGCTTTGCATTCTTCGACTTCTTCCAATTTCTCGATACTAACTATCCCTTGACAAATGTAGCAAAACTTTGGTCTTGATCCGACTCCTAAGCTCATTACAGTGACTGGACGGATCTTGGTCTCTCCGCAAATCAGTTATGGAAACAAGACAATCCAGCCGGATAGAGCCGACTGGAATATGAACAAGACTAGCTTCAAGACTGCCCCAGCGTTAAGCAGTTGGACTTGGGTAGCGCTAGATGCTGGGTCGTTAACGAGAATCTGGAACAACCCGAATGCGCTTAATGTCACATTGAATTCTTGGACTAAGGAACTCTCGAACGTCGGAATCCGTGTCGACAGCAAACCATCGGTTGCTGGGAGAAAGATCGACATCGCGAGTGATGATTGGGAAGTGCAGATACAAAAGGTTGTTGAGACCTTGGCCAAGCAAAAGCTCGGTTTCGTCTTGATCATCCTGCCGTACCGCGATACGGCAATTTACAATGCAGTCAAACTGAACTGCGATGTGCGGTATGGGCTTCGACATGCTTGTGTCATCGCGGACAAGTTCGCTTCCAAGGGTGTTCAATACTACGCCAATACCACGCTGAAGGTCAATTTGAAACTGGGCGGGACCAACCACGTACTCGAAAACAATCAGCTGGGCATAATTGACGGAGGTAAAACCATGGTGGTTGGGATTGATGTGACCCATCCCTCGCCGGGATCAGCCACAACTGCACCGAGCATTGCGGGTATCGTGGCTTCCATCGACAAGAACCTTGGCCAGTTCCCGGCAGAGCTCCGGGTCCAGACTGCAAAGCAAGAAAAGGTCGATGCTCTTGACCTTCTACTAAAGTCACGATTGCAATTGTGGCACAAGCACAATAAAGAATACCCGCAGAACATCATCGTCTACCGAGACGGCGTCTCCGAGGGACAGTACGACATGGTCGTGAACGAGGAGCTACCTCAGCTCAAGAAGGCCGGCAAGGACCTGTACCCTGCTACGGAGCAGAAGAAGGGGTTTCCCCGTATCTCAATTGTCGTGGTAGGCAAACGCCATCACACGCGATTCTATCCGACAAGCGAGAAAGACGCCGAAGGCAGATCCAACAACCCTCCCAACGGCACCGTTGTCGACCGCGGGGTGACCGAAGCACGCACCTTTGATTTCTTCCTGCAGGCTCATCGAGCCATGCTAGGCACAGCCCGACCGGGCCATTACATCACGGTCTACGACGAGATTTTCCGTAGAGAGAAACCCGTGAAACCGCTAATGAACCCCGCAGACGTTCTCCAAGACCTCTCTCATCGTCTCTGCTACACTTTTGGCCGCGCCACGAAAGCCGTCAGCATATGCCCGCCAGCGTACTACGCTGATCTGGTGTGCGAGCGAGCCCGCTGCTATCTTTCCGATAGCTTTGATCCGTCTAGTACCGCGGCCAGTGTGTCCGGCTCGACTGATTCTCAGCAGCGGAACATCACGCAAGCCATGGTTACTATTCATGAGAATGTCAAGGATACGATGTTTTACATTTAGCTTTGTTTGATATGCCAATCTATGCACCTTGGAGGAATCTTGCAGCGGTTTTTTTTTGGCATGTGTTTCAACAGATTGAGAAGAACCTTGATGATTTTTCGGGCTTTGTTTTATTATTTCCTTTTGTGATGATGAATGATTATGAAGAGATTGTCGCATGGAGTATCCATTCACGAATTAGTTAGTTCATGTTTAGTTTGGTGGTGATCAATAATGTAAATCTCAGAACAACCGTACATCGATATATAAATTAGGGCTAAACATCCGCTCAACCTTGTCTGCATAGTACTTGGCTAACCAAGTCATACCGAGGCATTGAATAAAATTTACATAGTAAGTCAAGCATCAAGAATTAAAACAAAACCGGAAATTTTTTTTTTCTCTCTTATTGTCCATTCGTATCACCAACACAATCCTTATTTATGATCTGACATTCTCGAAAAGTAACGTACAATAAAAAATAAAACAAGCGTCGAAAAGGGGAAAAAATAAAAAAAAGAAAAGAAGTAGACATATACACATAAAGTACACTTGAAATAAAAGTCCGTTCCACCAGGGGGGTATTAATTGAAAAGAAGAAGGGGAAAAAAAGAAGAACAAGTTCGAAAAGAGTAAAAACATACATCGAAACGAAACAATTCCATCCAGCTAGTAGCTTGGTCTACTCATCACCAAGACTCCAACTAGGCTGGAAAACAGCCCGACTTGCGCGTTTCGGCAGCGAGGTAGTCGTGGTAGTAGCCTTCTTCTTCGCATCAGGAGTCTTGTCATACATATCCCAAGATGGAGTCATCATCTGCACGGCCTTTACGCGATCACTGCTAATCGGTCTGGTATTCTCTGTTTTCTGCTCTTCATCTTGTTGCTGTTGTTGGCGTTCCTCGATGGAAGGGTCGTGGACTTCCCAATGAGGATCAAAGTCCTTTTTGCGATAGGCGTCGTTGGGGACGATGCCTAGGGGGTTCTTTTTGCTGTTGTTGTTGTTGGTAGTAATGTCATTATCATTTTCAAATGCGGTTGGGTTCCCTTCTTCGTCGTAGAGGGTGGTGTTGCTGTAGAGGCTTAGACCGTTGTTGTTAAAGGAGGCGACCATGCGCTTTTGTGGCACGGGGGCTATTTCAGCGTCGGCGTCGGATGTGAGCGCGTTGTCGGTCAGGTTGAGATGTGTCTTTGCGTCGCGACGAGGCTGGACGACGCGTGGACGCGCGGGGGGTGTTTCCATGAGTTCGTCTTCATTATCGCTCCAGCCAAAGTGTCGCACGTCTTGCGCACGGACTTTTCCACGCGGTTTCTCGGGCGTGTTGAAATCCTCAAAGTTCCATTGGGACATGGGCCGGGAAGGCCGGCCTGCTACTAGTGAACGACGGTTTTGGTGAGAGTCTTCGTCCTCGCCTTCTTCGCCCAGGTTGAAATGGCTGAATTTCTGGGGATGGGTCTTGTAGCGCAGTTCGGGCTTTGTGGGTGCTGCAGCACCGTCGACACCGTCCTGTTCAAAGACGCGGATGGCGTGGAAGTTCTTGGTTGATCCGGCCTTGGGCTGCTGGACCGCTTTCTCGGGTCCCTCTTCCTCGTCCTGGTCGAAAACGCGCACTGGCTGGAAGCCTTTGTTTGAGCCGATCTTGGGTTTGATGGGGCTTTCGACGGGCTCGTCTCCGTCGTCATCGCCAAATACGCGCACTGGCCGGTAGTGTCTATCTGCACCGGCTCGGGGCGAGATGATGCTAGCCCGAGGCGTTGAGTCGTGCTCAGGTTCGGAAAAGAAGAGCTCGCTAGGGTCGCGCGGAGGCGGCCTGGCTGATCCGGGGGCATAAGGGGCGGCAATCTTCTCCGTGGGCTTGGAAGCGCTCTCCCGGGACGGCGGAGGCGTGAGAGTGTCCTGTGCTGTGGCTCGCACTACATTGGAGATGAACCTGGACTGCTCGTTGGCATCGCGAATTGGCCAATTGCGTGCACGAGAGCCAATGACTTCGACTTGCTTGAGGAGCGAGGCCTGGTCCCAGTAAAGCCTGACCTGTTGGATCTGGTTCTGCGAGTTGAAGCGAACAATATGCACCTGCAGTAGTCAAGTAGTTAGTTCAGTAAGAAACATGTCGCAAGACAGCCCAGGGCCCAACCCATACCGTCGGAAAGGTCACCACGCGATCGGCCAGGAAGTTATCGTCCAGCGAGGGGAGATAAGCCCCGCCGCCAGTGAGAAACTCCAGGGTTGTCTCCACGTCCAGGACCAGCGCATCGGCGGTCTCGATGGCGCCGAGCGTCTTGTCACCCTTCTTCTTCACGATTCTCTGCTGGCTGGTGAGGTGCTTGACGACCTGCTCGCCGCCTGTGACCGAGGTGGTCGTCGTGATGTAGTTCCACGAGGCATCGGGGCTCAGGACCTCGACTGTCGGGGCGGCCAGGAATCGCTCGTAGACTGTTCTGAGCGCCATGTTTTCTTGTTGTTTCGGTGTGTTGACACTATTCCACGGAGTTCCAGGAATGGGCGCGGGGCTGTAAACAAACGCGATTGTCACGAAGAGTCTAGACCGGATGGCGAGCACAACCAAGAGAGCGAGTGAATGTTGCGAACGAGTGCGAGTGTTGAGAAAGAGAAGAGAAGAGGAGGAGGAGGAAGCTGGTGATGCTTTTATTTATGTACGATTGTTTGGTTCCGCTCGGCTCGTCTTCCATTGGCGACTGCTCCGCGGCTGCTATTTATTATTTACTATTTATTATTCACGGTTTATGACCGACTGTTTTGATTTGCGTTCTACACACGTATGCCTTTAGGCTTTCTGTCTGTCGCAGAGCACAAACCTCTGGGGCCGTTGCTGCAGCCTAGCTGCAAGCGTGTTTCATGTCAGATTACAATCGAGGGTGGCCGCCGACAGCCGTGGCTTGCTGAGCGCACCGAGGCAGGCTCGCTTTGCCCAAGTCAATTGCTATTACTGTATGCTTTGTTCTTCACTCGACTTGGGTGCAGAAGAGAGCGTGCAAGATGCATCGCGGAGAATCGATGGGCGAAGTCGAGAGACGCTGCTGCAATGCACGTCGGAGCATTAAATAAATTAATTATTCCAGGGTCATTGGCTGGCCCACTCGCGGGCTTCTAGGCCTGCAGGGATTCTATTCTATTCGCACTAGTAGTAGTAGCAGTAGTAGTACAGGGGAGCAGCGCCAGTTGATTTTATATACACGTGCAATAAATACCCTGCCCTGGCCACGCTGCTCGTCACTGTCATCATTGACTATCCTCGCTGTAGTGACTGGTGGTGGCTGTCGCTGTCTGAGCGAGTCCCCTGTCTCGCAGAAGCAGCCAGCCAGCCGTCGTGTCTGAGCAGCGGTTGTGACGTTGACATTTGATGACACAATACTTAATAGTCGACGCATTTGAGAGTCGAGGTGAGCTCTTGTATCTAAAAGCGCTCCATGCGAGTTTTAGAGGGTTCTACGAGAGACGGCTCGTTAGTAGCGTATACCAGAATTCGTGCGACAGAGTCAGGGAACATACCCTAGATAATCCTCTTTGATCGTGCCAATTGCATTGATGGCCGACACGTCCGGCTTCACCCCCAGTATCTTCAACCGCAGACTCGTCCCGCGCTCAATCACCTGGTCTGCGTGATCTGTATACTGGGGCGGTACCGTCCCGGGCTCCCACTTGATATCCGAGGGTATGTTCTTTCGCGCGATAAAAACCGACAGAGGCCCGGCGAGCGTGAAAATACCCGTGGGTTTGACCGAGGTCACAATGGCATCGACCTACAAAGGAGTAGTTAGTAGCGAGCCAGTGCAATGTTCTCCGGAGTTTCTGTCGAGTCTGTCGTACCGTCTCTCCGCGGAATGGCTTCCATATGATGGCGCGGTATTTGATTGTATATTCTGCATGGCCGCTACTCGGGATCACTCGGCCTTCGCCAATGTCGACCATGTCCATGACACAAATTACAAAGTGGTCGCCGGTACATCGTCCCTCCTCTTCTTCGTTGAGTCGGTTGACCAGGTATTCCTTGACATTGGGGCCGAAAAAGGAAGGGTGTAGGGTGACAACTTTGGTTTCCTCCTTGAGGAAAAACATTCTCGCAGGCTGGTTTTGCAGAGAGCAGATCTCTGCAGGCAAAGATTGGAACGGAAGAGGGAATGGCGTATTCAAGCCTGCAGCCTTGTCGTGGATATGGTGGATATGGTGGTGCTCAGGCGTGCATGAGGCTGGACATGTTCAAAAGCCGTGTAAAAGAGAGACCGAGATGATGGACACAAAGAAAGACAAACAAAGCATATATAGGGCGTAGCTCTGCTTTGCTGTGCTTCTCAGGGCAGGTCTCTGCTCTGACTGTGAATGCTTCGTCCAAACGCGCTTCGAAGGCTTCCCTGCAGTCACGTGATGGCCCACTTGTTGGCCTTGGGTCTTAGGCTTCCACTGCTGCCAGCGAACCTGACGAGCGACCGGAGTATATAATTTTTAATTTTACTTGGTTTACATGAGACCTGGCTGTATGTTCAAAGAAGCAAACACAACCTGGAACCCATAAGGCCCATTACAAGCATTCTGGCTTGTGAAGAAGACAGCTCTCAATTGCTACTGAAACCAAAGGAGCAAATGGATAAAATCAGCTTTGAAATAAAGACTGAATAAGCCTAAAATCAAAGTGCGGGGGCAGGCACGAATTAACATCCTCGGCTTGCCCAATGTCATGCAACCACGCCCAGCCAACAACAACCAACCACCAACCGCTACAACTACCACTACCACTACCACTACAACCACAACCCCAGAGCTTGATCCCAGCAGTATTCATGTGACCATATCGGCACTTGAATACTCGATTGCGGTGTTTCTTCAAGCTCTTTGTTTTCGCGAAAGAGAGAAAGAGAGAGTCCTATTCAGCCACTCTGATTGAACGTCGCTCATAGTCAAGATGGCTTTGGATCTGGAGAGACAGCTGGTCTTTGTAAGGATTATCGTGCATGCCGCTATACTCTCCTGAAAGTATGTGTGACTGACTGGTTTATTAGTATGGCGCCTATCACCATAACCCAGTAGGTTTCTGTCGGCTGCTGCCTGCCTGCCTGCTGTGACTTACAATGTCTATTCCCTCCAGGTCAACATTCGAATACACATGATTTTTGTTCCAGTCATTCTCATCACCAGTTTCCAAATAGTGCGTGTTTGCAATGACCGTTGCTTTAAAAAGCCAAAGCTACCTACAGGCTAACCATACGTTCCTTTAGTTCACCAACACACCCACGCTCATTACCCTGCCCGACGCCCTCCAGTACAAATACCTCCCCCTCAATGGCGGCACGATCGGCGCCATCGTTTATTCCCTGGGCTATATATTACTCGAACCCGTCGTCGGATTGGTCTCCGTTCCTCTCCTCCTCGGCGCCGCAGCCTACATGAACTACCTGACCATGACCTACGGCGCCGCGGCTACCTCCTGGTCGGTCGGAATTCACGTCGTGTCGTGGATTGCCCAGTTCGTTGGCCACGGGGCTTACGAGGGAAGATCGCCGGCCTTACTGGATAACCTCTTCCAGGCGCTTTTCCTCGCGCCGCTTTTCGTCTTCTTGGAATACCTGTTTATTTTTGGATACCGGCCGGAGCTACAGCGCCGGGTGGAGAGTGCGGTGCAGAAGAAGATTGCGCAGTTCAAGAACGAGAAGAGCAAATAAACCAACTCCGATGCCTCTTCCTAGGCACTGGGGGGGGCCGGGGTGTAAACTTGATAGCAGGATGACGGAAGTGGCACGGTCTATGAGAAAGTAGTTGGTCAATCGGGTTACAGGGCATGATAATGAGAACGACATGACTTCGATTAGTAGCATTGCAAGCAGGCCGAGTCCATAGTTAACTAAATGCAGTTGAATGAGTAAGAGTAAGTATCCGAATGCATGGTGCAAGTCTCACGCCAAGATGGGTGCCTGGGTGCCTTGCTGCCTGGCTCCGCGGGCCAAAATCTGCTGCCGAAATGACCCGGTGGGAACAAGTGGCCGCAACACTCACCGGCACGCGCGGGATGGGCATTGCAGCGAGCAACGGCTGGCAGAGAGGAGGATTCCGAGGGCACGATGTGGTGGCTCTCCTGTTATTGTCGTAGACCAGGCAAATTCCGTAGTTGGCACACGAGAGACCAAAAAAAAAGACACACTATGCAAGGCGGTCCTCGTCGCACTCAGGCAGGGTATTTTCGGGCACACTAGAAGGGCGGAGCCGGAGCCCGCGCGCCAACTGGGTTTAGCCTCGTCCGTCCTGCCCAGCGCCAACAAAGCTCTCCTTCGCCCGTCCACAACCTCCCCCTTCAACCTTCCTCCTCTCCCCCAATTACGTCTCTCTTCAGAGAAAGTCCATCTCAACTCTTTCTGAACCACCCCCATATCACAATGTTCAGGAACGCATTGCGGCAATCCAGCCGCTCCGTGGCCGCCGTCTCCGCCACCACTGGCAGACTCGCTTCGGTGAGTACAGAGTTCCCTTGCCCATCCGTCCTTGCTGGCATGAAGCATCATCAACCAAGACCGCCACCCCGTGGCCGATTCACTCTCCATGACTGCCTCAATGGACGGTCCCGGGTCTCAATCGCTGATTGCAATTGTTTTGGCGCGTTTTCACGGCGGTGCGCTGTTGCTAACAAATTTTTCCTTCCGTCCGACAGGCTCGCGTGGCTGCTGCTCCCAGTCCCTTCGCTGCCGCTACCAAGCAGGCTCGCTCATATGCCGCCGAGGCCAAGGCTTCTCCCACCGAGGTCTCTTCTATTCTCGAGCAGAGAATCCGTGGCGTCCAGGAGGAAGCTGGTCTTGCCGAGACTGGACGTGTCCTTTCTGTCGGGTAGGTTTTTTAGGTCGGATTTTTCGGCATTGTGAAATAAAGAAAACAACATTCCAGAATCAATTGTTCTCCGGAACGCGAGCAAATTTCTACGAGGACTCAACACTAACGAGTCTTCAATAGTGACGGTATTGCCCGTGTTCACGGCTTGAACAATGTCCAGGCTGAGGAGCTTGTCGAGTAAGTAATCTCTTTCTGATCTGTCGGGGCCCATATCTGAGCAGAGCTAATATAACTTTCAACAGGTTCGCCTCTGGCGTCAAGGGCATGACCATGAACTTGGAAGCCGGCCAAGTCGGTGTTGTGCTCTTCGGTTCTGACCGTCTTGTCAAGGAGGGCGAGACTGTCCGTCGTACTGGAGAGATTGTACGTTCTTTTTTTTTTTTTCTCCCCCTTCTGCTGATCTTATTTGATCGGCCGCTAGTGTAGGAAGAATGAAGCTAACCTGAATGATAGGTCGATGTCCCTGTCGGTCCTGAGCTTTTGGGCCGTGTCGTCGACGCTTTGGGTAACCCCATCGATGGCAAGGGTCCCCTCAACACCAAGGCCAAGAGCCGTGCTCAGCTCAAGGCCCCTGGTATTCTCCCTCGTCGTTCCGTCCACGAGCCCGTCCAGACTGGTCTCAAGTCTGTCGACTCCATGGTTCCCATCGGTCGTGGTCAGCGTGAGTTGATTATTGGTGATCGTCAAACTGGAAAGACTGCCGTCGCTCTTGACGCCATCCTTAACCAGAAGCGCATCAACGCCACCAGCGATGAGTCCAAGAAGCTCTACTGTGTCTACGTCGCCGTTGGTCAGAAGCGTTCCACCGTCGCTCAGCTCGTCAAGACCCTCGAGGAGAACGACGCCCTGAAGTACTCCATCGTCGTTGCCGCCACTGCTTCCGAGGCTGCTCCTCTGCAGTACCTTGCTCCTTTCACCGGTTGTGCTATGGGTGAGTGGTTCCGTGACAACGGCCGCCACGCTGTCATTATCTACGATGACTTGTCCAAGCAGGCCGTTGCCTACCGTCAGATGTCTCTTCTTCTGCGTCGTCCCCCCGGTCGTGAGGCCTACCCCGGTGACGTTTTCTACCTCCACTCCCGTCTTTTGGAGCGTGCTGCCAAGCTCAACGACAAGCACGGCAGCGGTTCCTTGACTGCTCTTCCCGTCATTGAGACCCAGGGTGGTGATGTGTCTGCCTACATTCCTACCAACGTCATTTCCATTACCGATGGTCAGATCTTCTTGGAAACCGAGTTGTTCTACAAGGGTATCCGTCCCGCTATCAACGTCGGTCTTTCGGTCTCCCGTGTCGGTTCCGCCGCTCAGGTCAAGGCCATGAAGCAGGTTGCTGGTTCCCTCAAGCTTTTCTTGGCCCAGTACCGTGAAGTCGCTGCCTTTGCCCAGTTCGGTTCCGATCTCGATGCCTCCACCAAGCAGACCCTCAACCGTGGTGAGCGTCTCACTGAGCTTCTCAAGCAGAAGCAGTACTCGCCCATGGCCGTCAGCGAGATGGTTCCTCTTATCTTCGCCGGTGTCAACGGTCTCTTGGACAACATCCCCGTCAACCAGATCGAGAAGTGGGAGGCGGATTTCCAGGCCTACCTCAAGTCCAGCCAGGCTGAGGTTCTCCAGACCCTCGACAAGGAAGGCCAAGTCAGCAAGGACCTTGAGGCCAAGCTCCGTGAGGTCATCACTGAGTTTAACAAGAGCTTCTTGTCATAGGTGAGCACACAAACAAAAATGAAATGATATTTGGGGTGATTTTGCCCCTCCATGTATTGTCATAATCCTAACACTATCTGTGTATAGACAAGATAGCTTGTGTACAATTTGAGACCAGTAATTTCCTTTGTTCCACGAAAAACGATAATCTCGACTACTCTCGGTCGTATAACGGGCGCCATATGTAGTTGTTTTTAAAACACATGATCGTTGGTATGGTGGTGGGAAAGAGTTAACCTAAGACTTTGAGCGAAGGGAGCCATTGGTTTGAATTTGCATTGATCTTGTTTTTTTTTTTTTTCTTTCTGTATTTCTATCATAATTCATCTGTTCTGCCATGCAAGCCTTCGAAATTGCTGCGTCCCAAATAGTAGAATAGTAGATACAATCAATTTAAGGTACCCGCCGGAATCGGATTGACGATAAGATCGCGGGTTGCCGGCCCGCCAAAAATTTTATCTTCATTCACCCCGCGCTTAATACTTTTTCTGTCCGTCCTCCACTTTTGCGATCTTTGTTGTCCGGTTCATTTTCTTAATCTAGTTATCACAATGTCCTCCTGCAAAGTCGTTCTGGCCAAGAACATCGCCAATGGCTTGCTCCAGGAAGTCCAGGACGGACTCAAGACGCTGAACCGAAAGCCTCACCTCGTGGGCTTCCTGGCCAACCAAGACCCAGCTGCTCGCATGTATGCCGACTGGACTGAGAAGACATGCCACGAGAAGTAACCATACCCCTCAAATTTATTTTTATTTCTTTTATTTTTCTTTCTTTCTTTTCTCTCATAGTTGTGTGTTGTTGCGTCCCTAACTAACCTGCGCAGTGGCTTCCAATACACCCGCCGCGACGTCTTCAAAGAAGATATCGAAGAAGCCATCCTCGCCGCCAACGCCGACGACACCATCGACGGCATAATCGTCTACTACCCGATCTTCAACAGCCGGCAAGACCAATACCTGCAGCAAATCGTCGACGTATCCAAGGACGTCGAGGGCCTCAGCCACCGCTACGTGTTCAACATGTACCAAAACATCCGGTTCTTGGACGAGGAGACCAAAACCCAAAAATCGATCTTGCCGTGCACCCCGCTTGCGATTGTCAAGATATTGGAATATTTGCATATCTATAATACTATATTGCCCTATGGGAACAGGTTGCATGGCCACACGATCTGTGTCGTGAACCGGTCCGAGGTTGTCGGGAGACCGCTCGCGGCCCTGCTGGCTAATGACGGTGCGTGCGTGTATAGCGTGGATGTCACTGGTGTGCAAAAGTTTACGCGCGGCGAGGGCCTCACCAAGACGAGGCACGAGGTCGAGGAGTTGGACGGATGGACGATTAAGGATGCGGCGCCGCTGTGTGATGTCGTTATCACGGGCGTCCCCGGCGAGAAGTATAAGTTTGATACGAGTCTGCTGAGAGGTGGAGCGGTGTGTATTAATTTCTCGAGTGAGAAGAATTTTGACCCGGTCGTTAAGGAGAAGGCGTCCATTTATGTGCCGTCAATCGGGAAGGTGACTATTGTGGTGTTGTTGCGCAATTTGCTGGTATTGTTCCTTTCACCCCCCTTATATATCTCTCTCAATGGCTTTTTTTTTTTTCTTTTGTTAAACTGTGCTAACTTACCCTGCAGAGGATTGTCCACAATCGCGCGGCTCAGAAGGCGTAGACTTGTGGTGATGAGTGTATATTAAATGATGGATGGCGCAGTAGACATATTCGAATAGATCTCGGAGGACTATTTTATGACCAAACGTATACAGTTGTTTGCTGCTGCATGATTCGTTTCATTTCTGTATCTTTTCAATTAATCAATGACATAAAAGTAACAAAATTGACGCTGCCTATGTAGTATGCACGAGCTTTCAAACCACCTTCTTTTCTTCCACTTTTTCAGCAATATCAAGAATTGAAAACTCATTTCTTCTTCCCCCTCCCCTCATCAACACTAACATGACTCGAAGCATTCCCCGTCTTCTTCAGCGTCTCCTTCTCAGCAGCAGCCAGGATGTCAATCTCCCTCGCAAGCCAGGCGCGGAATGGCTCAGGGTGGAAGGTCCCATTTTCCGAAAACCAGTGCGTGAACGAAGCTTGAATTTCCTTCTCCTGTAGAACCTTCTTCGTGTCTGAGGCTGTGTATCTGACTTTCAGTTTGTACACTGGATTATTCTTTTTTGTGTATGATTGGATTGTGATCTGTACACCAAACAATACGTCAGTCAGACGAAAAATATGTTAAGCAAGAAAGGAAATTGAAAAAAGAGATATATATACCGTCTCCCCCGTCTTCCGCGACCCCTTGAACACCTCCCCAGCCTCCACAGCCCAGATCCAGTATGTCAGGAACGTGTTCAGGACAAAGTACGCGGCAACCGCGACTTTGACCCAGAGCGCTTCGGTGGCTTCCCAGCCCAGTTGACGGTCTAGGTAGAAAGTGACGCCGGCGATTAGCACGGCTGAGTAGCCGACGACGAAGCGGATGTTGGTCTTGGTGTAGTCGCGCTTGAACGTGTAGGGCTGAGGGAGGGTGCAGAGGTAGGGCGTGAGGGCGTCGTCGCTGGTGCTTTTGAGGTCTGTACGATAATTGTAAGAAACGAGATTATTGTTGGTGCTGGTTTTGGGTCTATTAGCAAGGTGGCACGAACCGTTGAGAGAATAAACAGGCACCTTGGGCGCCTCGGTGGATGTCATTGTGTAGATGCGGCAGCAGAAGTATTATTTATTGCGAGAAGAAAAGAATTCGAGAAGCGCTTGCTCGAAATTGAAGATTCAAGATAGATTCAAGACTAGAAGCGGCATTAGTTGCGGCGAGCTGTCCTTGAAAGTTGACTCTTGTCCGTCCCGGAGCTAAGATAGAAGCGGAGTGGAGCTCAGCTCGCATTTCCTCCAGCGGCGCCGCCAGTCGAGAAAACTCACCCACCACAGACGTCTCGCATCAAGTGTATCTATCTATTCATTGCTTCAATTGAAGATGGCAGTCCAAGGCCTGGAGCAGACGATCGTCCGCGATCCAGCTCTTTTGTGAGTGCCCACCTACACACCTAACAGCGGACTGCCGACTGACTGACGTTGATAAGTTACTGGATTTTGATCCCGATCACAGTGGTGATGGTACACCCCCTTCTCCCCATATCTCTTTAAAGACAATGCTCAAAACTGGGTTCAGATTCTAACAGGAATCCTCCGCCACTACGCAACCGTCCTCATGAACACCCCTCCCAAGCCGGCAGCCACACTCCTCGAATCCCGCGAGCGTCTCTCTCTGATCCACGGCGTCAACGTGCGCAACAACGCCCACGCCGTGCTCACCCCGGAAGGCTTCGCAATGCGCAAGGAGTACCTCGTCAACGCTTACCAGAGCGGCGCGTTCCTCAAGGACCCCGAAAACCGTGGCCAGCCCCCCGCAAACCCCATGTCCGACCCGGCCGCGATGGAGGGCATGATGGGCATGATGAAGGGGAATATGATGATGATGATTCCGCAGACGCTGATTATGAGCTGGATCAATGCGTTTTTCTCGGGGTTTGTTATTTGTACGACTGGTCTTCAATCCTCTCGACGTACGGGAAAAACACGGCTTACTTGTTTTCCTTTTTTAGTGAAATTGCCCTTCCCCCTGACCATCCGCTTCAAGTCCATGCTCCAATCTGGCGTTGCTACTCGCGACTTGGATGTTCAGTGGGTGTCGAGTTTGTCCTGGTACTTTTTGAACTTGATGGGTCTTCAGCCGATTTTCGGGTTTATTCTGGGTGCAGATAACGGTATTTTCCCTGACACTTCCCCTTAGTCCTAATCGTCCTTTGAAATCTTCTTGAAAGTCATAGCTAATTCGGCCAGCTGCCAACCAAATGGCCCAACAAATGGCCATGGCCAATCCCGCTGCCGGTGCCAACCCATTCCAGCCCGGAGCAGACCCGGACAAGTTGTATCGCAGTGAGGCCGAGAATTTGGAGGTTATGGAGTATTTCAGTCTTCTCGATGGCATTGAAGAGCGGATGTTGCACAACTGGAGGTCTTGATTCGGCTGAACAATAGATATATAGCTAGCTCTTGGCTATAAGGCCTGGCAGGACTCGCTGCTATGGTATTTTATATAAAATCAAAGTTTGTGTCCTGTTGGTCTCTTTTTATATGTAACTTTGCAAGATGAAAAAAAGATTAGACATGAAATTACCATCATTCATAATTATACTATGTATCCAAGACCAGCTCGAGGCATACCGCCATCCATTGACAAAACAGCCTATTGATAATTGATAACGCCTTTCAGAACCCACACATTGCCATTCGATACCTCAGACGTCAGACTATCGACCTCGATATGCCCGGGTTCAACCTTGCCCATAAGCGTCAGCAACAGCATTCACAGCAACTTGTAAAACTTTGTCAAAAACTTACGAAAACCGTATCCCCCTCTTTAACCCACCTGACCTTCCCTCCTCCAACAGTCTCAACCTCCTCACCCTCCCCCCACGGACTCACAGGCACCAAATGAGCCTCCACAAACCGCTGTAAATTCCTCTTCGCTCTTTCCTGCCCTTCCTCCCCACTATACGCTCCTGCTTCACCATACACTCTATAATCTTCCGGATCTTCCCACGGCTTGCGCGGCAACGCACTAATCGCTGAATTCAGCGGTGCCAACACAGTGGTGTTCTTGGACTGGTCATTGAGCCGATCCAGAACAGGATGGAAATCGCGAGTTAGGGATGCAAAGACGTTGATTTTGGGCGTTTTGACGAGCATGTCGGATACGATTAGGTTTGAGTTCTTATTGTCATTATTATCATCGGTGTTGTCACCACCGCCGCCACCGGCATAGGGAGGCATGATGACCTGCTGAGGAGATGGTGCTATTTCTTCTTCTTCTTCTTCTTCTCCTTCGACTTGCGATCCTACAATGTATCCAAAAAAATCCGGTGGCAGTCGCTGCTGGGTCGTTATCTTCTTGTATGAGTGCGCGGCGCAGGGAAGCAAATCCCACTGTCGAAGAGCTAATGCTGCGGTGTTGGCGGCCGCGATAGCTAGCCAGACGAGTGTCAGACTGAGGACCGTAGCGTATATAGCCAGCTGGATATTGTAGAGGGTCTTCATTGTAGGCCGACGTTTTATATCTCCAGTTTTGAGGGATCGCTGATAATGACGCAAGATACTTCTTGCCAGTGGTGTCACGTGACGCTGATGAAGTCGGCGACCGAGTACCATCAATATGTTGCCCTTGAAGTATGGCGCTGACGGGCACTGCATACTAAGTAGCGTCTTGCATCTGCTTTGAAAGAGAGACGAAGTTGTTTGTGTTTTGTGGTCATGCCTGAGACGTCTTCATGCAACGTCAATGCACGTGACTGTTATCGATAACGGCGCCTCGGCCACAAAAAAGAGGGACAAGCAGCGAGAGTCGCCGACACTCGCACGCCCCTCGACAGCCCCAGCAACATGTCGGCATTGCAGAATTTCATGCTGACCGTGGACCGCGACAAGCAGAGCGCTATCCAGATCGCGGAAAAGACAGCTCAAGGTAAAAACAATAAATAGGAGGACCACTAAGGAAAGCAATGAGCTAATAATGCACATCTAAACTCAGATGTCGAGAACCAGCAGACTACCCTGGTTGACGTCGTCCAGTCACTTGGCGAATACATTAACGACGACGATGCCATCATTCGCGGAAAGGCCGTTTCATATCTGGCGGCAGTCGTCAAGGCGTTTTCGCCAAAGTTCCTCTCCCGACAGCAGATCTTGGTTCTGACGACTTTCTTCTGTGACCGTATCAAGGATGGCGGGGCTGTTACCGGTCTCGACACGCTGCAGAAGCTGGACAGGTTCACCAAGGAATTCGCCCAGGAAATTGCGCGGGCGTAAGCTCTGTTTGATTTTATTTTTTTTCGAGTTTTGTGGGATCGTTCAATTTTTTAACGCTCTTCTAGGATTTTCGACCATTTCAGGGAATTACAAGCTCGGGCCCAGTCGCAGAGATACCAGATATATCAATTGGTTAATGGTTTAATGGAGAACCACAGAGCAGGTATGCTTTTTATACTTTCGGACACAAGAGATACAAGGCGGTTTTTTAACGTTGGTAGCTCTCCATGAAATGGGTGATGAATCCCTGGTCGGAATCGTGGATGTGATGACAGGCGAGAAAGATCCGCGGAATCTCATGCTTGTCTTCTCGATACTCAAAGTAGTCATGGTTGAATGGGACATAACTAGCCATGTTGAAGTAAGATTTCTTTCTCCCAAAGAGATCAAACCCGATCACTGGACTGACAAAAGAATAGACGCTTTTCGACTCTGTATATAATTATTTCCCGATCACTTTCAAGCCTCCTCCCAACGATCCGTACGGCATCACGGCGCAGGATCTGAAGGATCGTTTGCAGGCTTGCATTTCCTCAAATTCCCTGTTTGCGCCCCATGCTTTCCCGGCGTTGATTGACAAACTTGATTCGACGTCGAATAATGTGAAGGTAAGATCTCTACAAGTTTCATGATTATTCGCATAATGCTTACGGATTTACGATAGCGAGATTCTTTAAATGCTTTGGTCGCATGTATAGAATCCTACGACACCAACACAGTGTCGAGATACTCCATCAAGATCTGGGATGCTGTGAAATTTGAGATCCTCAACGCGCAAGAAGAGTTTCTTTCTGAGATGTCCTTGAACGTGCTACGCGCGATTGTCAGACGTCTTTCGGAGCATATTACCCAGGTTTCTAACGACATGCCTCTGGCTCACTTTCTCAAACCGATCATTCAGGAATGCAACGATCAGCTTCGCGAGCCGCAGAATAAGCAGGCGCAACCTGCGCGAGAGATTCTTCGAGCGGTATCTTCTGCATCTACACCATCGTTCGTTCTTATCATCCAGTCAGTCGTTGCGCCGCTCTTCACCATTTATCAAGAGGCCGACTCCATAGCCAAGCAAAGAGCCTTCTTGGAGACCTATGTCACGTTACTAGACTCTGCTATCGATCTATATGGGACATGGGCCGACAGAGATTCAGCACAGCAATTCGAAAACCCTCTGTCCGCATTCCAGGACCAATTCACGGAAGTTTTCAGTCAGGCGTTGATGGGTTCGGCTAAAGAGGAGATCTCTTTCAGACAGACAGCATTGCAGGGTCTTTTACGACTATCGAAAATACGCAATTTCTTCCAGGACAACGAGATAGGATTGTTTGTGCAATACCTAGATGAGATTCTCCTCAAGGAAGAAGTCGTTGGCTCTGGGGCACTCAAGAAGGATGCCGTTTCAGCGCTTGCGGAGCTATCAAGATACAAATCGAATATAATCATGGAAATCACCCTTCCGGCTTTCATGGCTACGCTGCCGGATGAGGATGATGGATCGGATTTGAAATATATCACAACTCTTGACACTTTGGCCCAGATCAGTGCACAGCGAAACATTTTCGAGACCTTGGTCAGACGTCTCCTGAATAAGCTGGATCTATTGTTGCAAGGAGACAGCTCCCATCCTAGATATGCTAGGATTATTTTGTTGACGATCATCCATGCAATGGGCAAGAACAAGCCCAATGAACCTGCGCAGAACCTTGACGGCTATTATGATAGGATTGTTGTTGGGCTGTCGAAACGGGCGGCGTCAGCTTCAACTAATGACACATCGAAGATCCTTCGTGACGTCTCGGTCCTAGACACTTTGGGAAGACTGTGCACTCTTATCGTACTCTCAGCCTCTCGAGAGAAGCAAGACCAAGTGGCAGAGAATATATACACTCTTTTCAGCAGTTCGGATGAAAACTTCAAACCTGTCCCATTCTCGCAAACGCAGAGTGAAAGCCAGAAGCGAACGATGATCTTGTCTACAGCTTTACTGGCAGCTTTACCCAAAGACACGACTAAACTGCCGTACACTACGCCGGACATCACACCTTTGCTCAACGACCTTGTCCAACTCTCCGAGACCAGTGCAACCGACCCAGCTGTCCAGCTTGCCATCCACCGTCACCTTGCACTTCTAGTGAACAAATTCCTACCAAACTCCGCTTTACCTCTCGCATTCGAATTCTTCAATGCCAACTACCCCTCATCACCAGAGAACACATCCCCCGAACGAGTTAAGACTCTCTTCTGGCTCTCCAAAGCCCTCGCCCTCCGCCTGGCCCCGAGCACCTCCACCATCCTCTCCCAACTCCTCCTTCTCCTCTCATCCGCCGACCCAACCACCAGCTCAACCGCCGCCAAGGGCTTCTCCCTAATCCTCAGCCCAGACGACATCCTCTCGCCCCAAAACGGCGCCAACATACGCCTGCTCAGCAAACAACGCGTCTTCAGCATCGTTGTGCCCATGCTCAGCACCAAATTCCGCGAACTTTCCTCGTCTGCGTCTGCCCCACACATCAAACCAGCGTACCTCACAGCCCTCTCCGGAATCCTCTCCTCCATCCCCACCGATCTCGTTCTCCCCGAACTCCCCAGCCTCCTGCCCTTACTCCTCCAAAGCCTCGACCTAACAGACCCGACCCCGTCAACCACACTCGTGAAAACAGCCACCCTCCGAACCCTCGCAGTCCTCATCCGCGACAATGGTGGTGTACACATAATCCACGAAACGGGACACATCCAAGACCTCGTTCGCCGATTACTCAAAACCGCTTCTTTCTCCCCTCCTCAAACATCATCATCATCACCGGCGCTACGCGAACAGTCACTCCGTTGTCTATACCTGCTCGCAATAAGCCAAGTACCAACATCAACAACAACGACTGCCGCCGGAGGAGGAGAAACAGATGTGGACGCCGCCCTCGCAGCGGCACTAAGTCGACCGACTGGATCTACTACGACAACTACAAAAGACGGAATATCGCCTTTGCTGCCTGTGAAGAATCAGGTTCTTAGAACCCTGATGCAGATCTTGGATGATCCCAAGCGGGATGTGCGAAAGGCTGCTGTTGATGCGAGGGGGGCTTGGTTGAGGGCTGTTAGTGATGGGCCCGATGAGGATGATGATTGAGTGACCCAAGGAGGGGGAAAAAAAAAGGTATATATAGTGGTTTGGCTTAGATGTATGCAAAAAGAAAAGAAAAGAGATTGGCTGCTTTTTTTTGGAAATAGAAATTTTTTCACGTTCATTCTGCCTAAGATAGTTTACAATGAAGGAGTATTTTAAAAGATAAAAAGCTGTTTGCTCAACTATATCCCCCTTGACCCATCTCGCCATTCATGAAATGACTCAAAAAAAAAAAAAAAAGAAAAAAAAAAAAGAACGAATAAAATAAATCACGGCGTTAATAGGCATAAGACATCACCGACATGATCAATCATGTTCGCCGATTTTCAAACGATCCAAGACAGACTTGCCCAATCTGAACATGTTGCCGAGTCCAGAGTTACCGACAGCCAAGGTAACTGCATATGCCTTAGCAGGATTATTCTTCAGATCAATCTCCTCGCCGAGTAAATCTGTTGGGTTCCATTTTCGAGTCTTCTGTCCTAGCTCCAGATCTTGATTCGAAACCAGAAGTTTCTGGATCTCATCGCTGACAATTGACACTTCAAACCACAGGCGCTTCTTGGATGCCCACTCCTGTCTCTCAAGAATTGGGATTCTCCCACGAACCAGTGTGGGATGACTCGGGTTCCTGCCCGTGGTGAATTCTTGGACTTCCAGAACCTTGAGCATCAGGCCAGACTTTACCTCCCGGTCAATTGGCAGATGCTTGTGTCGGGCCCACCTTTTCATCAAGATCTTCTCGACGGAAAAGAGCCCGTTCGCTGGTTCAGTGCAATAGATGGTAAGAGAGTTTCCAGATTGCAACGAGATGCTCTTGACAAAGTCGTTGATAGTTGCCTCGAGATGAGGGTCCTGACGATGGTGATAGAAGTTCATCGCGCCCTTGAGAATGAGGTTCAGGTCCCAAGTTCTGTGCGGAAAGTGGATTGTAGAAGATCCCAGGGCAGACTCCGCTTGCTGGAAACTTGCCTGGCCATGTTCGTTCAGAGTGATGACAAAGGCAAACCCATTTTTCGTCCGGCAGTGGTATTCGTAGGCAATGCCCCAATCAGCGGCTTGCTCCTCGAACATTCTCTCTGCTCCTTTCTTAGACCACTCCAGATCCACAACCGAGTCGACATCAACACCAGAAGCGGTAAGCTTGTGCCAGATCCAGAAAGAAGCTAGAGGGCGCGTATCTTGGGGTTGAAAAAATTCTCTCCACTCGTCCAACGAGATATCTTTGTTAATATTCCGATAATCAGACAAAGGAGCAACTGCAATCAGCTCAACATGCACCTCGAGCTCCAACTTTCCAGGGAAGCACTTGGCGGCTTCCAAGGCAGGTTGCATGGCGTCAAAGATTTCTTCAACTTCATGGGCATCAGCACGGTGAATTGCTTTCATCAAGGGCTTTGGTACTTTCGCAACGACTTTCTCAGTTACAGTAGCAGCAGCAGGCTGCTCAACTTGCTGGGGGCTGAGCTTCTGAGAAGAATCTGCTGACTGAATTTTTTTGCTTCCCAATTTGAACGACGCAAATGATTTCAACCAACAATCTTCCAATGTCATTTGCTTGGTAGCACGTGAAATTCTAGAGGCGGCCTGCTGGGCCATGATCTGATGAGTCTTTGGCTTTGGTCTCCTCTTCAGCAGGCCAGGGACGTTCTTCTGCTCCTCGGCTGGTTGGTCGATCAACGATGGCTGCAAGCTCTGAATATCAAGGGAGTCAATGGGAGCAGCATCAATCTCGGCGTCCGTACTCTGATTCACCCATGTCTTGACGCGATCGGCCCTTTCAGGAGCGGTCAGTGGGAGATTTCCTACTGGATGCAGCTTGGACAGAGTACCAAGCTTCTGTGATACCCGACTAATGGCACTTGAAGAGGAAGATGCCGGGCCAATTGGAAGGTTTGCTACCAGAACCTTACCGTTGCCAAAACCCTGGAAGTTATAATCTTCCCAGTCGCGTGATAGTGTTGCAGGGCATGGTGTGATTGGAGTGGGTTTCTTTCGGGGGGCTGATCTCAGTGGTACTAAAATAGCCATGCTTGACACTGACTCCCATTCTTCTGCTGTTGTCAGAGTTTGTATGGTAGCTGCTGCTGCATGGGCCCCAAAGGGGAGCATTTGCAGTTGGGTATATCCCTTTGGGGGGAATACATGATGATGGTGATTCTCTTGGAACCGCTGGATGAGAGTCTGAAGACGAGTTAGAATGCTGGATTGACTATGTTAGAGAGTGTTCACGCACAAATGCTGTGTTCAAGTTAGAGAGATTATCCAATGTATGTTGGATGGCAATGTCGTTATATCCTGACACATCAAGTTGGTTTGTCTCATCATTGATAGCGAGATTTGTTTCTGCCAGAGATTCCAAGTGCTTTAACAGCACCAGGTACATATCGCGTGACGTTGGGAATGGGAATGAGGGCAGTTCCACCTCACAGGTCTTCTTCTCCTTCACTTGTTCTGGTACCTTGACGACATCGTCAACAGTGACGTCTAGTAAATGCTGGTCTGCCATGATGTGAGATATGATTGGGGTGAGGCTCATTCAGTAATGAGAGGATGACGAGGGGACCAAGGAATGTGAACTGGACAAGAAGAAAGAAACCCAGATCTAGAGTATAGTGAGAGTAAATTGTGAGCTGAGGGGCAGATATGAGAGTGGACAGCAGTGGAAATGAGCAGATTATGAGATGGTCAGGGGGGAAGAAAGGATTAGCGAGCAGACAGAACAGAGTAGGACAGAAGAAAAGGCCTGGTCACCCTGTGAGGCTTGCCAATCAGAGAGTTATATACAATAAGATGTGGCAAGGTGACAATAGGGGTGGCTGGGATGATGAAAGAGAGAAGTAGGAGGAGGAGGAAGAGAAGAGAAGAGGACAATGACTTCTTTGAGGGCACGCGAGGCTGGGATAAACAAAGCACGCCGATTGGGAAGGCCCCCCTGCCTATTATGGCAATCACATGACGCGATAGTCGAAGCTCGTTTGCAAGTGACACCTCAGGCTGACACGACAACTACGCAGGCGTATCATTTGGGAGCATAGCAGCAAACGGCCTGCAGGAGTGAAGGAGCAAACGCGGAATGAAGCAAGAATTGTGCTATTATTACATGGACACGGCGGCCCCCTAGACATTATACAGATATTATCAGACACTCGTGGGAAATTATGTATGTAGTAGCCCTTGCTGTCCCCAAGTCGGGGCACCAGAGACATGCAATGCAAATAACAGACCGCAACGCCGTGAGGACGAGAATGACATAAGGGTATCGAGATGAGATGCACGACCAGGAAGAATGATGTGTAGAGTCGATATTAGTGATGTGTGTGTGTGTGTGTGTGTGTGTGTTGATATAGGATACGCCACGGAGAGCAGCAAACAGACGGCCGTAAAAGAAAAACTTTTGACATGGCGAGGCTATTCAGCCCACTCGATGTCCTTCTTGACATGCATGACCCACTTCATTTTGTCTTCAGTCTCCTTCAGCGAGGCCACCGCAGAATCAACATTTGCTTGGTTCTGACGGCCCTTCGTGACCAGATCCTCGAATTCGCGATCACGAGATGTCTTATACGAATCATAAGCGTTGAAGATCTCTTGGATACGGCGCCTTTCCGTTTCTAGCTCTTGGTTCTGCCGGTCGATGAGAGCATCCAGCCGTTCTTGCTCCCTGTCTTTCAACTCGGCTTGCCCGCGGAGAGAGGCCAATTCGTCGCGGATTGCCTTGAATTTCCTCTGCATGTCGGACTTCTCTCTCAACGACGCCTTGGACAGCGCCTCGTACTGCGAAGAATTGTAATTCGACACCTCCTGGAGTTCAGCACACTTGCGATGGAACTCGTCTTGCCCCTCAGACATGAGCTGGTTGATTTTGGCGGTCTCTGCCTCCGCTTTTAGCCGCCTTGTCTTTTCATTTCGAACTTCGGTACGCAAGTCTTCGAGCTTGCGGTCCTTGCGAGCAATTGACGCAAGATTGGTTTCATTTGATTGCTCTGAATTCCGCAGTCGTTCACCGATGTTGATGATCTGTTCTTTCAAGGTTTCATTAATGTGCTGCGCTTCCTCAGCTCGCGACCGGTAAAGGCTGAGCTCCCTCGTTAACCGCGCAATCTCTTCTTGTAAGTTGTGAATCACACGGCCTGATTTTCCCGTACTCGCATGACCGACAGCCGACGTCCATTCTGTCGTGGGGGTATCAGCGTTCGAGCTCTTCGACAAGACTCCGTTCGCAGCCTCTAGGCATCGTCAGTTTCTTAGGAATCGTCACGCATGGTTCCCACACACCACGAAATACGAACCATCAGTCGGAACACTCGGATTGGACACGGCGCGGCGCTCCGTGGTCAGCGAGTCGAACAAGCCATTTGTTTGGTGCATTTCTAATCGAGTCTCGACGCGTGGTAAGTTCAATTGCGGAGCATCTGGTATTGTCGAGGATGAATCATCGTCAGCAGTTTGATCTTTCCATTGCTTCTTCAACGCCCTTTTCATCCGTTTAAGAGGACTCAAGCGATTCGGTGTGGTGAGTACATCCATCTGTTCAGAGACAAGCAGCTAGACAGACAGGATGGAGGGATATCGGGTAGCATGGTGCTTTGAAATGCCACCAAATGTGAAAGAAAGAGGACAAACGAAGGAGGAGGAAGAGAAGAAGAAGAAGAAGAAGAAGAAGAAGAAGAAGAAGAAGAAGAAGAAGAAGAAGAAGAAGAAGAAGAAGAAGAAGGGAGAAATAAGATTTGATGTTCACAAAAAAGTGGGTGGTGGCATGAACCATGGTTAAGGTGAGCTGCACGCAAGATGCAGGGGATTGATTGTGCACGGTATAGAAAATTCAAAATCACTGATGCAGAGACTAATTGCTTACCAGCATCCAGAGCCCAAGACCTTATCCCTAGTGCATCTGCAGGAGATTTCTTCCTCAATATATTCCTCTTCATTTATCTGCTGTGCTGGATCTGTACAACCCAGAGATCCAGAGGGAAAGAAGGAATATCCTCCGGAAATCAATCGGTCACAATGAGATAGACGCAGAGAGTGCACACTTTGTGAAATCTGCAAGTACACACTCACAGATAGCACTGTCTTCATATATAGCTGGCTGCCGGACAACAGAGGATGTGTGTATATATCAGAAGTAACCAAACAGAACATTTTGGTAGTTGCAGGCAGGCCAGCCAGGCATGATGTCAGCCAGCAGCAAATCACCGTGCCGAGAGCCCTGGGCGGTCAGCTCCAATCGCTGACCAATCAGCGACTAGCCAGCCAGGGGCTTTGCGTTCTTATTGGCTGCTTGCTACAGAGTGGAGGCTTCTCGCGGACTTCCCGATCTACAGATGTCAACCTCACTTTTGATTTCCAATAATTAACTACCTAATAATTACGAATCCATGCAGGAATCAGAACTATGTACGGTGATAGCATCTTGGTGCGATCAGTCGATCGATGCGCTGGAGTCAAAATCGGGGAATAGGCACCAGGATGCAGCAGGATGACAATGCTACTAATCACATTTTGGTGCAAAACAAAATAGGATAGAGAAGGGGAACTCGAGGGACTATTTTTTTCTTTTCTGTTACTTATCGATCGCACTAATCTACTGAACAAGCAGCAGAAAGGCAATGGAGCCACCGATAACCGCCAAAGGAACAGTCACTGCCCGGCTAGCAGAGCCCGTTTGTACGCTGGTCAACGCCGTCGCAGTGGATGACGGTCTCTTGGATCCGACGAACGGGGTATTCATTTTCGATGGCGATGCAGTCTGGGTGCTCGTCGTCGTGCTAGATCCCTCGCTGCTCGAGGTAGTGATACCAGAGGTCGCGCCTGCGTCTGACGCTATTGTGGCCGCCGGCGGCTCTGTATTGACTGATCCTGAAGACGGATCCGACGACGTTGTTGTTGTTGCTGCTGCTGCTGCTGCTGCTGCTGCTGTGGAATCTTGGTTCACGGCGTCCTTTTGAGTCTTGTCATCGGGCTTGGGGGCATCAGAACCACCGGAAAGCGGCAAAAGTCCAGTGTAATTGACTTCATCGCCCTGGTTTATTTGGAAAGCATAGTCATTGCTATTCTGGAGATCTGCTGGTGGTGTCCAGGAGAATTCGCCGTTGGTAGCATCGTTGGTCAGGACCTGGACATCATGGAGATCTGTAGATGCGCCCTTTCGTAGTGTGATGGTAGCAGGCTGTGCCAGATGATTAGACTTTTGGATATGAGAGTATTAGTTCTCTGACTCACTGCGTCGCTTCCTCCAACCCATTTCAGAGTCACTGACTGCCCAGCAGTCAAGCTCGTCGGCCACTCTGAAAACGAAATGGGGTCGGCAAGAGCAGACGCCAAAAGCGCTGCGCCTAAGATGAGGTATTTGCCAGGAGCCATTGTGATAATAAAATATGTAATTATAATTTTATCTTCGATCCAGACGAGAGAATATAGAATTGTGGAAAAGGAGAGAAAAGACAGAGTAGCTCATCCAGGTACCGACGGCACCTTTAAGACACGAACTCCTCGACTGAGGCATTAACAACACTGCAAATAACAGATCTGTATGTAAAGTTTAATTTTCTTGGAATCTCGATAGTATACCCAATAGTCCTGTCTCTACGAGCGCCGAGGAATGCCTCTTGTCGCGCAAGAATGGCCCTAGATGTAGGTAGTATGTAGTATGGGGATGGCATTCCAGCCTCTCCCAGCAACCTGGTAAATCTAGGGCGTAAATTCTTTTTCCTTCCGAAAACTTGGTACAGTCAAGCTTCAAGCTTATTTTCTTTTTGACAAGTTCCGTCTTTAAATGCTGTGCTATGCGTCCGGATTTAGATCTATCTGGAATGCGTGCACGACGGATGGCAAGCGTTAGGCTTAAAAGGCTATTTATTATTGAATGAGCATGGAGAAAGTTGAACGTATAAATTCTTCTTTTCCGTCAGATGATTTATAAAATCCTTCAATCACTCCACCACGGGGAAGTCACAAAGTCTGCGAAGAAGATTCCCCGGTGCAGTATCCTTCCCACCATCCTCCTCCAACAATCTATCAGTGAATATACGTTTGGGTATCTGAAACTCAACAACAGGCGCTTTCTTGAACGGCTTCTCTGCCGTACCCAACTCTGCCAATAGCATGCCCTGATAACTATAATCCAAAAAGTCCTCCATGTTATATGACTGTTTGGTGAACTGCTCGGATATAATGCGAGCGATGGCTGCAACGTTGGGGTGGTAATGAGACTGTAAAGTTTCGATTTCCCACAGACTGCTCTCGATGGCCCTGGTGAGAGTAGGGTCGGCTTCTTGAGACAGAAAAGGATCGTTCATGCCTTGCGTATCGACCAAGGCTTTCCCCGTTTTGTCCCGGATTTCGCGGTGGATCATGAATGTGCATGTTGGATGGCTTTTCAATAGATTGTATGTGAATGGGACTATGGCCACGATGGCGCTCGGAGGAGCGTTCAATGCGAGTCGAGAGAGGCGTTTGATAAAGCTTGCGACAAGGGTGGCGGGCAAATGAGTTGACGCCAAGAATGTGTCCAGCAGCCGAAAGAATCTGGATCGGTGTTTAGAATGCAGAAGATCCTCGGCTAGCAGTGAATATAGCTTGGTATAGAAGTGCGGGTAGTCTAGGTTTCTTTCCTGGATTAGGTAGAATAACCCAGAGAGCGCGAGGAGAGCAATAGAGCCGCCTGCATCGTAGGAGTCGGTTAAGAAATCCATGAGAAGCTCTGGTCGAAGGAACCAGGGAGCGATCGTGTGAGACATTCTTTTGAGCAATGATTTCTGTTGAGCCTCCGATAGATTACTGCGCAAGACAGCAAGCCATGCTTCCTGTGCCCACCTCTTGTGGCCGCTGGCGGATAAGAGCTGGTTTTTCTGGGTTTTCTCTTTCTTTGGAGGCTGTCCGTGAAATTTCGTGAACTTGTAATCGGCCGGAATCGCAGAATCGCATTGCGAGAGAATCCATATAAGCCTTTCAATGACATCGGGCGATCGTTCATCGGAAGCATAGGCTCTAGACATAGTTAGTTTCTTCTTCCCCCAGCGGATCATATATTGATATGGATTGTGACATACGATATCTTTTGGAAGGTGTAGAACCTGACATCGTCGAATTCCTTCACGAACTTCTCGACAAATTCCGTGCGTAGCAACTGGCCATCTTCTGCCTCCACCACAGCACCGAAAATAGACTGAAAGAGACCGGTAGTCCAAACTTGAGTTTCCGCTTCTGGTATATGTGTTGCGCGCACGTTCACGAGACGCATAGCCAAGGTAAATGCAGTGATCTAGATTTCGAGTATGAGTTTTTAAATTTACGATTGCTGTTGTGACGAGACCTAAAACGAACCTGAGAAGACGAATCGGCATATCGTATGATATGCAAAAGAGCATTCTGATACTCCTGCAATCTCTCCTTAAGCCAGCTAACTATGATTTTCTCCTGCTCGCTGGCTTTGGGTGGTTGTTGTAGATTTCCGCCAGCAATCAGCCGACAGAACACTCGACACAGGGCCACAGCCACGGCGAGGTTTGGCGACTGTTCGCTAGAATCATCGACATTGAGCATAGAAATCAAAGTTGCAATATTGTTGTAGTATTTCCTCGATTCCGAGATTTGAGCTTCTAGCTCCTCAATCTTCGCCTGTTCATTTTTTGACTTGTCGCTAGCGACGGCTCGACGTTTGGACGATGGATTGGCCTGTCCGGAAGCCTCTTTCGAGGAATTTTTCCGTTTTTTCGTAATCTCTTTCGAACCCATGATTGCCGCTTGTCCGTCTGCGATTATAGAATCAAGCGGATGTTGGGCTTATATGAGCTAATATTCGATATGACTCTTGAAAACGATATTTTTTTTATGTCCCGCGGATGGCTGTTTTTCCGAACGGAATACCGGGCCTTACCCGCTTAGGCTAGCGTCTGCGATGTTGCCAAACTCCTCTTCCCGACATCTTCTCGTTCCACCTCCGATTTCCCTAACAACAGCAAACCAGAGGTTTCACTCGCAACAATGGCTTCGCGTTTGGCAAAGACCGCCATCGGTATGTCTCTGTCGCTTCAATTTGGATCCAATTGATCGCTTTCTGACCAGCTTAACAGGCGCTACCCGCGTACGACCGGCTCTCGTTACCCGCAACATCCCTTCTATCACAGCCAACCTCACTGCGCCTCGATATGCGTCGAGCGTCCCCGCTGAGGAGCCCCAGAAGAAGGCCCAATCTATCATAGACTCTCTGCCTGGAAACTCTCTCGTTTCCAAGACCGCCATTCTTTCCGCCGGTGCCGGTCTCTCCATTGCCGCCATCAGCAACGAGCTCTACGTGTTGAACGAGGAAACCGTCATCGCTTTCTGTCTGCTCAGTGTCTTCACTGCCGTCGGCAAATACGGTGGCCCCATGTACCGGGAGTGGGCTGAGGGCCAGGCTCAGAAGTACAAGGATATCCTGAACACTGCTCGTGCCGACCACACCAACGCCGTCAAGGCCCGCATTGAGAATGTCGAGCAACTTGGCAGTGTTGTCGAGGTCACCAAGCAATTGTTCGAGGTCTCCAAGGTTCGTTTTTTTTGGGTCTTGTCAGGACTCTTATGTAGCCTTGTTTGATTGACGAGTTATTAGGAAACCGCCAAGCTTGAAGCTCAGGCCTACGAACTCGAGCAGCGCACCGCTCTCGCTGCCGAGGCTAAGCAGGTTCTCGACTCCTGGGTGCGCTACGAGGGCCAGGTCAAGCAGCGTGAGCAGCGTGAGCTTGCCGAGACTGTCATTCGCAAGATCCAGGACGAACTCAAGAACCCCAAGGTTCTCCAGCAGATTCTTCAGCAGAGCGTTGCTGACGTGGAACGTGAGTATCGTGACATCACTTAACATAGAAAGAATGCTAACGATTCTCATAGGCATTGTTTCCGCCAAGTCCCAGTAAATGGATGGCTTTTATGTACAAAATCGGAACATGTCGGTGTTATATGATGCACTAGACCCTTTTAAAATACAGAATTAACAAGTACCTGTTCTTTTCATTTGTTTCCTATGTAGCATATTACAATTTCGAAGATGAGTTGAAATAAGCGTCTAGGCATGGATATGTAATGTATACTGATAACTTCTTGCCGCTTGACATAAGAACTCACACGTATAGATCATTCTGAAAAAAGAATATCGGCGAGCAACTCTTCAGGCAAATTCAATGACGCGAAATTCTCTCGCTTCGGCATTCTGATCTGCTCGAACAATTAGCACGCGGACCAGCACTTCTTTTGTTAAGAGTAGTATATGTTAGCTACCTTGCTCGCAAAGTAGCGGCCATAAAAGGGCACGTCGGCGTAGCGATCTGTTGGTGGGATTTGCTTCGTAGGGATTCATGCTTGTGCATGAGTGTATATAAACAATAATTTCGTACGAATTTCAACATGTAGTTGTCAATGCACAAGACTGTGTTTAATTTCGGACACCTTAGGCACCGAAGTAAGGTCTTAATATTTACAAATTACAATAACCTCCAAACCGCAGCAAATCTACTATACAATATCGACAAAGAAAGGGGGGAAAATATAAGTACAATACACGCGCTGCAGTCAGCCCACTTACACAGCCTGTCCAAAACCGACCTTCAAGTTCAACCCATCCCAAACAGTATAGTAAGGCTTCAGGAACGGCGAGCCCAAAATCCACACCGGCCGGCCTTCACCAGTCGGATCCTCCATGCTCTCAACAGGATTGTTAAAGACAGCCTGGCAAATACCGGGCTGGCCGGGGTATTCACCGAGATTGAAAAACTCGCGCGGCACGGTCAGATAGTAGTCCATCTCTCCACTGCTAATGACGAAGGTGAGCTTGGGCGCAACAGCGTCTAGCACGGCACACGGCGCACCCCAAGCACCGGCTGGATCGATTTGTGTGATCAGCGGGGAGATCTGGGCGTAGATATCCTCGGCCGAGATTTTATCGGGTGTTTGAAGGAAAGCTGTACCAGTGTCAAGAGCAGCGAGACCGGCCTTGAATGGAGCCGGTTGGCCGCAAAGGCTAGTGCTCGAGTTGCCAGTAACGAGGGCCTCTTCGTCGTTGATGTAGAGCGTGACCAGATCAACGACAAAGGCTTCCGAGAGCGCGCTGAGGTCCTGGTTTAGATTGATATAGGTGAGTTCGCCGGTGTACTTGGAGTGATCGATGCCTCCGAGCGTCAACTCGGCGCCCTCTGCAGACCCCGGGATGAGATAGAAGGAGAACACGGGTTCCGGCAGCAGGCCGCTGCTGTACCAGTTCCAGAAACTCGAGACCATAGCGTCGTCGGCGAGCTGTGAGGAGATTCCCATCCCCAGGATTCCGTCCATCGGCACGTCGGCGAAGGCTTCGGGGTACTGGCTGCAGAGGGCGAACATTTGTTCGGCGGAGGTGAGGCCATCGAGAGTCACGACGTCAGTGACAATGGTGCAATTGGCCTCTTCGCTGTCGGCGATCGGCATGCTGGTTGCGCCGGTGCTGAAGTCGCGCACGACATCTTCGCCTGGAGACGAGGAGAATGAAGTCGACTGCGCGGCGTCGAAGAGAGTGTGGTTTCCGCATGTCGTGCACCCCGTGGCTGGCAGCACGAGCGCCGTGGAACCGGTGTCGAACATGACGGTGCTGATTTTCGAGGCAGAAGTCAGCTGGATGATCAAGAAATTTCAATAGTAAAACTTACAATTTCTGAGGGGGCGTGCCGACTTCGATGGTGCTGTACCACTGGAGGTCGGTGTTTGCGATCCAGTCTGTCAGCGGCACATCCACGACATGGCTCTGGTTTGACGCTCTCATGTGCAGTCTCGACGTGCGAGTGCGCTTAGCATGGCGGCCTTCGAGTTTGAGCGTCTGTGGATGGTGAGAGGCATCGATGGACGACGCCAAAGACAAGAGGCTCACCAAGAGCGCCGCGGACTTCATGTTGACAGTAGATACTATTGCTACGTACTACTTACGGGTAGACCATCTCACTATTTATATCTATGATTTCTAATCTCTCTCCGATGAGGCCGAAGCATCGAGATTCGACCTCCGAGAGCCGAAAATGGCCCCATCGCTACTGCTAATGCCATGCCAATACTATCGTAAGTAGTAACTAGTAGTATTATATTATTATTCTGATTCAGGAGTAAGCGCTTACTGAGAAGGGCCAAGACTGACGCGTGCATTTCATATTGTTCGAAGCCGGCCGGGCCGGAGTGGAAATTAGGCAGTTCGAATTTATTTCGAATTTATTTGAATTTAAAATTTATCTAGAATTTACTTAAGAATTTCGCCTCTAGCATCTAATAGGACTAGTGCTGTCTATATATAGTAGGCCGAGGATCTGTTTTTGCATCCAATCAATGCCATGCAGGCACACGCAGCGATTGGCAGGCCAAACACGGGGTTGTTGAGGCTTGAGCGCCGCCCCGCGATTTCTTGGAGATCATCATCGCCTGGCATCATGCTTTGTGCAAACCACCAGATATCCTCAGATACTTGGTATCCAGGCAGAACCAGCTAGTGCTTACAGATCGCTCGTCATGCCGCTCAAAGACATTCTGCACCGACATCGCGAGTCCATCGATCCACCGGCATCTCCACAGGAAATCAGATTCATTCGCACCGATACCCACAGCCAGGAACTGCTCAGCCCTGCCGTCGCCGACGACGAGCAAGAACCGCAGACGCCTCTGCGCAGGTCCTTCTTTCGCAGGCGCTCGCATGCATCGTCTGCTGACGCACAGTCACCGCGAGACGAGAAGGGCGAGAGCCGCCACTTCAATTTCTTCCATCACCACCGATCACATTCACGAAGCAGCAGTCCAAGCTCGGCCAACATCCCGTCAGACCTGCCGCAGATCGAGGATGGCCGCGGCGGCGACGAGCAGGACAGACAGGCTCAATGGGAGAATCGCGCCACGAGGCTGGTGCAGGGTAATCCACGACTAGGCGCTTCGCCAGATCGGACCAGGCCGAGTACCAGTACGAATGGATCTTACTTACAGGCGGGGGGAGCGCGAAGCAGGAGTAATTCAGCAGTGTCTGAGCCTCAGGCAGATGCATGTTTTCTTTTTACCCATTCCCCCTTTTTGCACTGGCTTGTACTAATCAGGTTACTAGATCAATATACAAGAGGCAATCCGTCTCCATGAAAGTGGAGGTGAGCAATCAATCATGGTTATGTTGCAGTCATATGTGCCAGTCACTGACTTCCCTGCGCAGAACTCGAGAAATCAACCCATCTCTTTGGCGTTCTCGCAGATCCCGAAGGCGCCAACAACGCCCTGGCCCAGGTCCTCTTCGGACTCGCATTACGGTGAGTTTGTTTGACTCCTGTACTTATTCCCTTCCCGCAAACTAAGAAAATCATCCACTCAGACACGGCTGGGGCTGCGAGCCAGATCTTTCCAAAGCCGTCATCTATCTTGCCGCAGCAGCATCAAACTCGGCCATGATCGAGGAAGAGGCTCTCCACGCAGGCATGAAGAAAGGCGGAGCTGCCAAAGGGGAACTCGTACTAGCCATATACGAGCTTGCGAATTGCTTTCGGAACGGATGGGGTACCGAAAAGGACCCTGTTGCCGCGAGGCAGTACTACGAGACAGCTGCCAATTTGGGAGATACGGATGCAATGAATGAATGCGCATGGTGTTATTTGGAGGGATTCGGAGGGAAGAAAGATAAGGTAACCAGCCATCAGCGCTTGTACAGAGTTGCTTTTCATTTACTAACGCTTTCCTCCCCCCCCCCCAAGTTTACGGCAGCAAAGTATTACCGCCTTGCGGAGGAGAATGGGAATAAGACGCTGGGTAACACATGGTACGTTTTACCTACTTCGTTGGTCCGGCCGTTTGCTGCTAGAGTGCACAGAAGCTAAGGTGCTTGTAGGATCTGGAAAGACAAATATAACCCCAAATGAGCAGCCGAATCTGTCATTTATAGCCAAACTCGAATACTCAGATAGGGGAACCTTTGGCATGCCATCGAAAAATTCATATGATGGAGCCTTTGTCAAGGTCCAGCTCCGATCCAGAGGAGTTGAGCAAATAACAGTGCGAGCTTACGAAGAAACGAGCCGACCTTCAAGCGACATTGATCTAGCAATCAACGCTGGTCTTCAACAGGACGAAGCACTTTATGCCATTCCGTATACCTGAATGTTTCCAACCTTCTTGTATTTAGTGAATCTCGTGAAATCGATCATTGTGCTTGATTGAAGTCCACCAGTACGGCGCTAGTCAAAACATCTGCATTCCAGTCCATTTTGCGCATTCCTCTCGCATGATATTCAAGATTATGGCCCAATAGGGTAGAAGCCACGCTGTCGAGCGCAAAGACAATTCTTACTACTCAATAGTCGATCGTCAACAGTCAATATTCGATAGGATCTCATGTTGCATTGGCTTACTGATATTGTCCAGTGTCATTCAATACGGCATTGAAGCTTGACCCGAGTAGCTGAAATAAAAAAAAAAATTCATTAAATGTTTTCATAATAAAAAGTCCACGGTCTTTATTGTTGCTGCTATTAATATTATTATTTATTTATTGTGCAGGAAATCTCCGCGCTGCTTACCTGATTGGAGCTCCCGCGCTATTTTGATTGATCCCTCGTGTTTACCTTTTTTTTTTCCCTCTCGCCTCGACTTTTTCTTCCTTCCTCATCATCCATTGCTTTCCAACCTCATTCCCCCATTTCACACTCATCCTTTCTATTCCCTCTACTAATACCCATTTCTCATCGATATCATCCTCCCACCGCACACAATGCCCCCAAAGCGCACTGCCAAAGCGGCTGCGCCCAAGGCCGCCACCGCGAAACCCGCAACCAAAACTCGCGGTCGACCAGCTGCCACGAAACCTGCCACCGCTGCTGTTGCTACTGCAGCTGCAGTCAAGAAAACCGCGCCAGCAAAGAAGAGCACTACGAAAACCACCAAAAAGACCATCCAGTCCAAAAAGCCCCTTCAAGAAGCCAAGGCCAACACAAGCGCAAAGCGCAAGGCCGATGCTGACCTCGAAGAAAAACCCCAGAGCAAGAGACAGAAGAAGCAGGTTGCCGAGAAAACCAAACCTTCCACGACCGCAAAGCGCGTCATCAAGAAGCCCACCACAAGAGCTCCAAAGCCTGCTCCGGCGCCCAAGCCTCCCAAGAAGAAAGTTGTCATCAACACTGCGCCAACTACGCGTCTTGATGTGTTTGCGTTCGGCTCGAACAGCTTTGCAGAGCTTGGTATGGGCGATACCTTCAAGAAGGCAGAGTGCCCACGCGCAAAGTTCAATACCGTCCTTTCTGAGGCAGGCGTCGTTCAGATTTCTGCCGGCGGAATGCACGGTATCGCGCTCACTCATGACAGCAAGGTGCTTACGTGGGGCGTGAATGACCAGGGAGCTTTGGGCCGTGACACCACCTGGGAAGGTGGACTGGTGGATATGGACAAGGCTGAGGAGTCGGATTCGGATGAAGACGAGGAGATTGAAGTCAACCCTAAAGAAGCCACTCCCACTGCGATTGACTTGTCTGGCGTCGAACCTGGAACTGTCTTCACTCAGGTTGTTGCTGCTGACAGTGCTTCTTTTGCCCTTACTGATGATGGTCTTGTCTATGGCTGGGGAACTTTCCGCGTAAGTTTTATCTGTAGCATCATAAACGACCTCTTGCTAACATGATGTTTTTAGAATAGCAATGGTGTCTGGGGCTTCTCGCCAGACGTCCAAGTTCAGCGTACTCCAACGCTTGTTACCGGCATTAAAGATGTCACCAAGCTCGCTGCTGGTAGCAACCATGTCCTTGCTCTCCTGACTGATGGCTCCGTACACTCTTGGGGATCGGGCGAACAAGACCAGCTGGCTCGTCGCCTTGTGGAGCGCCATGCCAAAATCCAAGGCCTTGTTCCTCAAAAAGTTGGCTCGCGCCGTGGATTTGTTGACATCGCTGCCGGCGCCGACCATTCCTTTGCCGTCTACAAAGATGGATCTGTCTATGGCTGGGGACTCAACAACTACGGTCAGACCGGTATTCCAGCCAAGGCCGGCGAGAGCGAGGCTGGCGTACTCAAACCTACTGTGATTCCAAGCTTGAAAGGCCAGAGCAAGATCACTCAAATCGCCGCCGGAAACTTCAACAGCCTTGCCATCACCGAAAAGAATGAGATTCTCGTCTGGGGCCGCATCGACAACCACGCCACCGGTATTGATCCTACCACCCTCTCCAAGGACGACGTCATTTTTGACGAAAGAGACCGACCCCGTATCCTGGCCAATGCAACCCCCATCCCCAATCTCGAGGTTACCTATGCCACCTACGGCACCGAACATGCTATTGCAATCACCAAGGACGGCAAAGCTTACTCCTGGGGCTTCAACTCCTCCAACCAGACCGGCCAGCCGGGTGACGACGTCAAGGTTGCTACTCTGATTGACTCCAAGGCCGTGCAGGGGAAAAGCTTCATCTGGGCTGGTGCTGGCGGTCAATACGGCATGATTGCGTCGACCAGTGGTCCTGCCACTGCTGATAAGGAGGAGACCACCAAGCCTGAGGCTGCCTCTGCTTAAGTACGACTTTTTTTTCCGGATTCCCAAGATTGATTAGATGGTTTTCTCTCTTTTTATCGATGTTTCTGCTACCGTATCGCTCCGATGCCCTTTTTTTTCTTTTCTGAAAAATCATTCTTTACGGCACAGCACATTTGTACATAGATTGATTGTTTCTTCTTCTCCTCTCATTTCTGCTGATGTGGCATCAAGTTTTCTGCAATGAATTTTGGGGTTGGGTGGGGGG